AGTACAAAACCCACACAGAGGATGCCTGTTTTCAATCTGCTTGTGAAAATTATCAGAGATCGCAAAGAAAGGAATATACGATAACAACAAGAAGAGGAAGAAAGTAATAAAGGACTATCTGGATTGAACTGGATAGAACTGTTTAATTAAAGCAGTAATATAAGTGATGTTTGGACTCGTTCGGAGTTTTGGACTCGTTCGGAGCTTGATGTATGGGTACCCCCAACAAAATTTAAAATTTGGCTGTATAATTTGGAACTAATGTGATTTGGATAATGTGATGTGATTGGCCTGTTAATAATTTTTTTTTTTTTAAAGAGTCTCCTCCAGCACCATAAAGCATCAATTCTTCAGCGATCAGCCTTCTTTATGGTCCAGCTCTCACTTCTATACATCAGTAGAATACCATTCAGAAAAGGAGATTTGCCCATGAAAGCTCGAACTAGCAGCCGGTAACATCCTTTCTTTGCCTTCACACAGATGAAAATTCATAGATAATATCCAACAGCATTATTGGCAGCAAGACAGTTCTGAACAAGAACTTACGTTCAGAAACCCCTATGAAGATTTCACACACACACACACACACACACACACACACCTGCATCTATCAATAGTAGGGTTGCCATATTTCAAGCAAAGTTGTTGAGCTTTTTTGGCAAAATCACAAAAAATGCCTATTTTTATGGAAAATCGGCAAGAACTGCATTGCCGACGTGGCTGCTATTTCCACACGGCACTGCCGCTACCAAGTGCAGTATTCCAGATATGTCTGGAAAATCCAGGACATATGACAATCCTATTTCAGAATTATTGAGGGACACACCTGGCAGAAGCCCCTTACTACAAATATTTAATTCAGTGGGACTTCTCAAAAGCAAAAGACTTTAAGGATCTAAGGTACTAATGAATAACTGCTGAGGCAAGTCATAGCTCTTCAGCAGAACTAATAAGTTTTCGGATTAGCTGACAGCCATAATTCCCCCCCCCCCGTGTCTATTTGAAAGTCAATTATAGTTTCATAATTTAAGTCCAGTCCCAAAGGTTAACAAACTCTTTGAGATCTAGACTTGATATAGATTGGGCTTGCAAAGGGCACATTGATTTTCAGACCTGACTCATAAAAATGCCAAGCGGTCTTGAAGGAACTGAACTTTCTCCTCACCTTGCCAGGATTAGATTTACAATAAATCTCCTTTATGATTGTTTTTCTGTACTCTATGAATATTCAACAGGATGGAAAACACTTGCTCAACTCTCACCTAGGGATTGGGGGGGGGGATTTGATTCAGTTTGCATTTAAAGCCAGATTTATCAAATTAACGCTTTCTGATACACTATGAGAACTGAAACCTAACGATGATTGCAATAATGCATATATTAGGTAAGGTAAGAATGTGCATAAGAATGAATATATTAGTGAAAATCACATACAAAAATGCATTCTTTTGGGAGAAATTGCTGGCAAACATGTGTTCAATAATCAAAACCGGATACAAAAATGTGTTTTACTTAGAGAAAAAGCTGAATAATTTTCATGAGGATTATTTCAAAAGAAAATTCACAAATTCCTGCAAATATGTGGAAAACTAAATTTAAGATTGCAAAAATGAGAAACAGAGGAAAATATTGTAGCTCTGTTGGTGCAAAGGATTTCTGTGCACACAATGGAACTTCCTCTTCCTGTCCCCTCCAGCACCCGCCCCCTGGAAGGAGGGCAATAAATATGGTGCCCGATTTATGGAACTCCAAGGAAGGCTAGTCTAGTACCTTGATGTCTTCTCAGGCCCAAACAAATACCATTTTGTTTACCCATTCCTGAAGAAGTAACCATTCTTATTTTTTCTCATGCTTTGCACAAGAAGAGCCTGTTGGATCAGGCTAATGGCGCATTTAGTTCAGCATCTTCTCACAAAGACTCTCCTCCCTGGAAGAGAGGGGAGTGGTTGTGGGCGGGAGCCCGAGCACCGCCCCTAGCAGGGGGCATTAGCCCCCTGCCTCCTCCTCTCACCTGGCTGGCGCCCACGCCCCCTCGGCAGGCATCCAACCAGGTGCCTTCGGGGGGCGTGTTCAGCAGCCTTTTGCGGCGGTGCCAGCCTCTCCTCGGCCTCATTCTTCTCCGTCCTCTCGTCGTGAGTCACCCACCCTCCACTCCCTTTTAGCTCAGGGTCTTTGTTCTTTGGCCTTGCTATGGACCTTAGGTTGGTCGCCCTGGTTGTCTAGGGGGCCTGGTAGGAATTTTTCCATTTGGCATTAGGCTTTTTGGTTTTTTCGCCTACCTCGTAGCAATCGTCACAACTTTTTGTGGTATTGGTGGGTAGGTTAGGCATTGGAATAATGTGTTGTGGTGTGTCGAAGGGCTGGGTGTGGCCATCGCCTATGCCTTCAATTTTTGGGTATTCCGTTAAAGGAATCTGGCGGTCGTGTACTCTGTCCGATGCCTGCTTGGCGGGAGGCCATGGCACGACCCCCGGTGACATCAGGGGAGAGCCTATAGTTGGATTAGCATCAACAGGCTCCACCTACTGGTGAATAAACCCCCTTGTTTTAGACATCCAATGCCTAAGCCAATACCTTTTCACTGCTGTAATCAATAAAGTTGTGGCCTTTTCTTGCCCATTAACCTTATATCACGTGTCCTTTTGTATTTATTTCACATCGCGGGGGTCGGGTCCTCGAACCACAATGGCCAACATCGGTGTCAACTCCTAGGGGCTGTGCAGGCTTTGGTCCCCACAATAAAATATTTGAGAGGGCTGGGCCCCCACAAAGTTGAGGGGCATTCCCATTCAAATGATGTGTGTGCACTGCATCATGTGACTGGTTATGTGGAGCAGGGCTTACCTGGGCTCCCACATTAATAATAATAATAATATAATAATAATTTCTTATTTATACCCCGCCTATCTGACTGGGTCTCCCCAGCCACTCTGGGCAGCTTCCAACCAAATATCAAAAACAATACAGCGTCGGACATTAAAAACTTCCCTAAACAGGGCCGCCTTCAGGTGCCTTTTAAAAGTAAAATAGTTGTTTATTGCCTTGACATCTGCTGGGAGGGCGTTCCACAGGGCAGGCGCCACTACCGAGAAGGCCCTCTGCCTGGTTCCCTGTAACCTCACTTCTCGCAGTGAGGGAACCACCAGAAGGCCCTCGGTGCTGGATCTCAGTATCTGAGCTGGATGATGGGGGTGGAGACGCTCCTTCAGGTATGCTGAACCGAGGCTGTTTAGGGCTTTAAAGGTCAGCACCAACACTTTGAATTGTGCTCGAAAACGTGCTGGGAGCCAACGAAGCCAATATTTTATTCAAGTTGGCATCCCGGTGGGATCTTTTCTCCTGCTGTTTTTATGTTTTTTTCATTGCATTTTCTTTACCTCAACAACCTAAGAACATAACAAGAGCCCTGCTGGATCTGACCAAAGGCCCGTCTAGCCCAGCATCCTGTTGTGACAGTGGCCAACCGAGCAGGATCTCATCTGAGTGCAACAGCACTCTGCAATTAGTAATTCCTAACAACTAGCATTCAGAGGCAGTATACGACCATCACAGCTAGCCTTATTCTTAATTAATTTAATGTACCTCACTTTTAAAGCCATCCTTGTTGGTGGCCATGGCCACATCTTGTAGTTGCAAATAGTTTACTTGGGAAAAGGAGCACCTTTTGTTGTCTGGCCAGAATCTTCCAACCCTTGACTTTATTGTATGACCCTTGCTTCTAGTATTAAGAGAGAGAGAGAAAGAGAGAGAGAGAGAGAGAGAGAGAGAGAGAGAGAGAGAGAATGTTTGTAAAGCATATATTGAAAAGTGTTACAAAAATCAGAGAGGGATATGGATAAATGAAACTATTCTACTCTTGGTATTATTTTTCTACTTGTACATAGAAGCCATGAATATCCTAACAGAGGTAAGGCAAGGGAATGTTGTCAGAGCTGAACTACTGCAGCCTCTTCCCAATGGAACATCCATTTATCTCTCTATTGACTGGAACAGAGGAAACTAACACCCTTACACAGTTCATTGGTCCCCTCAGTTGTTAGGGACATATTTTTGAATACTTGCATTTGGCTCCAAGTAACTGTTTTTCTGATTTATGGAGACAGTAAAAGCTATATAAGATGTATAGAAGATGCAAAGTGTTACCGCTGAGATACCATCCATGACCAGAAGTGCTGAATAGTGAGAGGCTGACTCCAAGGATAATTTTTATTTATCTCTCCAAATCACAGGAGACTAATTTAAACCACCTGTGCTGTTCTTTTCCATTTCAACATTTACCTTCATTAACAGTGTGATCCTTTGCATGTCTGCTCAGAAGTAAATCCTGCTGAGTTCAATCTAGCTTCCTCCCCAGTAAATAGCTGGGATGAGGAGCCTTTCTACAGCACAAGGGCCACATTTGTTCCTGGGAAGCATTCTAAGGGCCACATGCCAGGGATCGGCCAGAAGCCCATGTAAAATTTATGTCTGTACTATAGGCTAGCCTCTTACACACGCTCACACACAACCTCCATCCAGATAAGCAAGCAGCATTATCAAAGTCCAAGCTTACTTGGAGTGATTTTAAACCTGCTTTCTGCAGAGATCGGCTGTGTGATCGAGTTCCCCATAGGGAACAGAGCTGAATAGCTGGTTGAGCCATGTCTCTGTACCTGCTATCACATATGATGTCAGGTATGGAGCAAGTGGCCATGGTTTGGGGAAAACAGCCTTATGGGCCAAAGAGGAATCCATGCTCAAACAAACTTGGCTAACAGTCCACAACTTCCTCATCCTTGGCTCAGCATGTCATCCAAACCAGGACAATGTCTTGTTATGTTGACTCTGTGCTCACATCCTTGAAGCTTGATTGTTTTGTCTGTTTTGTTTATTAGAACCCCATGACCTTGCTGTTAGCTTTTTAAATGACTTGCATTTGGGTCAGCAATCTGTGGTCAGAAGAGTTTTTCAGGGACTTGAAGGTAGCAAACCATAGTTGCTACAAAAATAAAATAAAAATCCTTCCAGTAGCACCTTAGAGACCAAGTTTGTTATTGGCATGAGCTTTCATGTGCATGCACACTTCTAAGACCAATAACAAACTTAGCTGGTCTCTAAGGTGCTACTGGAAGGAATTTTTTATTTCGACTTCAGCAGACCAGCACGGCTACCTACCTGTAACATAGTTGCTACAGTATACTCACCATTTTTTCTCTCAAACAATAATTCTGTTCCAAGAGGTTTTGCAATGTTTTGACTCCATCCGCAAACCTGTAAACCCTCCTCGCATTAATAAAATATCTTTTTCTGCAGCTATCCTACTTACAAGTCGTTAAAAAATAAATAAACTGGAACATGGGCTGTCATCAACGGCTAGGGAACAGACGATTCTGTGGAACACATCCCAATTTATTCTTATTATATCTGTACATTCATGTGCATTTTACTCGTAAGCGGCTTTGGGAGCCAATTTTGGCTGAAACGTAGGGTGTAATGCAGCAGAATAAATGAATAAATAACAGACATAAACCAAAACCACCTCCACGTTACTGGTTTGAATGCCTTCTGAGTTGTTAAAAACCTACTTAAGAATCTTAAGCAACCATTTAAAAAAACCTGTAACTTAAGAATCTTAGTGGCAATACAGTAAGATTGCCTAAAACCAAAATCGTCTATAGTCAAAACACATTGGGTTCAGTGGCACGTGGCATTGCCAATGTATTTATTCCTGGATGCATGCTGTTTCCTGCTCCCTTATTTATTTTTTATTATTGTTCTGCCAAGTGCATAAAGCTGAATGCGCACAAGTTAAATGTGTGCAAGTTGTGGGCTGACTGTATAACATTCCTCTAAAGCATTTATTTCTGTCTGTAATTCCTTGGACCAATCAATAAACAACAAGCACTATAGAGGCTCAGACAAACCTGAATCCGGTCAATGTGGGGGGCTGACCCTAGATCCCATAGGAGAAATCTGTACACAGTATTTTTTTATCTGACACTCCTCCTGCATAACTTGACCATTTATTAATTTCTCATAAGACCAAACTTCAACTAGGATACATGCTCAATTGGGTATAGCATGGTGCTGATAATGCCAAGGTCGATAGCTACATGTTCCTGCATTGCAGGGGGTTGAACTAGATGATCCTGGCGGTCCCTTCTAACTCTACAATTCGATGATCAGGCATTACCATTAGCAGTATTGATTTACCACTGTGATAAATTTTGAATAGTAAGATGAATGACCGACAAATGGAAGAGAGTCCTTTGCCAGGCATTATTCAGTCTGCTACATAAATAAGCACCTTAAATAATGTAATGAACCACTAAGAAGACTTTAATGCAAGGGGAGGGCCCAGCTACACATAATGGTGTATTAAACCATAGACATGTGGTTAAATAAACCAGCCAGTGATTAATTTGTGATAAATAATGGTAAAAACAAATCAATCTTTATTCCGTTTTCTATATGCTGGACCATGTGTGACTAAATTAGGTAAGGTAAAGGTAAAGGACCCCTGGGCAGTTAAGTCCAGTCAAAGGTGACTATGGGATATGGTCGAAATATATATATATATATATATATATATATATAAATGTCCAGTAGCACCTTAGAGACCAACTAAGTTTGTTCTTGATATAAGCACACACACGAAAGCTTATACCAAGAACAAACTTAGTTGGTCTCTAAGGTGCTACTGGACAATTATATATATATATATATATATATATATATATATATATATATATATTGACTGTGTCAGACCAACATGGCTACCTACCTGAATCTAGAACTATGGGATATGGTGCTCATCTCACTTTTCAGGCCAAGGGAGCCGGCGTTTGTCCACAGACAGCTTTTCGGGTCATGTGGCCAGCATGACTAAACCACTGCTGGTGCATGAAGGGCCGTGACGGAAGCCAGAGTGCATGGAAATGCCATTTACCTTCCTGCCACAGTGGTACCAATTTATCTACTGGCACCTGCATGCTTTCGAACTGCTAGGTTGGCAGGAGCAGGGAGAGAGCAGTGGGAACCCACCCCATCACGTGGATTTGAACCACTGACCTTCCGATCAGCGAGCCCAAGAGGCTCATTGGTTTAGACCACTGCATGTGAGCAGTGTTATTTTTGTTGTTGCCCAGTCACTTCCTACACATTTTCCCAATGCTACTCCCATTTCAATTGTTCATCTTCTCTTGGCAACCAAATCAACTTCTGTTTAAAAAAGTAAATAAACCAGGAAGCTGTATACAACATACCCAGTGTGCATGAATTATTAGAGCTATAGCTCTTTCTTGAACAGTTCTTTGGTGCCTCAACTCTTCAAAACCCACATTTCCACTTATGGTGCAATCATATAAATCAGGGGTGGGGAACTTTTTTCAGCCTTGCGGGCCAAGGTCCCTTTATCTTCACAAGCCGCATGGACCAAGGGAAATGAATCACTATATAATGAAAAATGAAAAACAGTAAAGGAACACTAAGGGAAGAACTTTATATTACATTTTGCAAAACAAAGACAAGGCCCACATAACAGACTCTTCTTGCATATGTACAGTGGTACCTTGGGTTACAGACACTTCAGATTACAGATGCTTCAGGTTACAGACTCCACTAACCCAGAAATAGTACCTTGGGTGAAGAACTTTGCTTCAGGATGAGAACAGAATTTGCGTGATGGCAGCGGGAGGCCCCATTAGCTAAAGTGGTACCTCAGGTTAAGAACAGTTTCAGGTTAAGAACGGACCTCCAGAATGAATTAAGTTCTTAACCCGAGGTACCACTGTACAGGAGAAAACAATTTAAGTGAATTTTACTGTATGTGTATTGGAGCACTGCCTCTCACTAACAGAAGGCTAAGACATGGGTCAACTCACCAAGGTGCTTCATAAGGCAACACAGCTACAGGACAAGGTGAGGTACCATTGCCAAGGCCCTTGCTGATGCAGTCTGTAAGTTCAAGTTTGTGGTATCCCTTGTTCCATGTTACAACATCCTTTTTGAAGTCAATCTTACAAGCAAGCCACTACAAAATAAGGAAGCTGATTTAAATTCAGCAAAGGACCAAGAATTACCTTGTGGGCTGAAAGTGTTTTCAACAAGTTTTGATAGCTGATACTGAGATTGCAAAGCAGCTAGGAATGCTACCAAACTCTGAGAAAGAAAAAGGAGAAATAAATGGCAATTTGAGTATGAGGCCTAAGAAGAAGCACCGCCAGATTCCAAGTAGAAATTCAGAGTAGGTTTCTACTATGCTGCCTTAGACATGGCCAACCATGCAATCTGTTAAAAAGTTTCCAACAGATACAATAATATACCGTATTTTTCGCCCCATAGGGCGCACCGGCCCATAGGACGCACCTAGTTTTTTGGGGGGGAAATAAAGAAAAATTTGTTTATTTCCCCCCCAGGTCCGGGGGCTCCCCCCGACCCCAGCCCCCAGAACAGGCTGCTATCCGCAAGCCATGGGAGAGCTGCGTGACTTCTCCCACGGCTAGCAGACAGCTGCGCGAAGCCCGAAGCCTGGGGCGCGCTTCTGGGTGCAGGCAAGCTCTCCGCTAGCCGTGGGAGAGCTGCGCGACTTAGCGGATAGCTAATACGGCTTGCGGATAGCTTTCTGAAGCCTGGAGAGCGAGAGGGGTCGGTGCGCACCGACCCCCCTCGCTCTCCAGGCTTCAGCAAAAGCCTGCATTCGCCCCATAGGACGCACACACATTTCCCCTTCATTTTTGGAGGGGGAAAAGTGCGTCCTATAGGGCGAAAAATACGGTAATTCCTTATTTGTCTTTCTGTATGATATATACAAAAAAAAATCTACTTCAGATGTACTTAAGGCCTGCAAGCACTTGGAAAAATAATTGATGCACAGCGGAAACAAAGATAACAATGCTGAAGATCTGTGGTGTGAACTTATAGCAGTAGCTCAAAGACTTTCAAAGAGTACTTCTCTTCATTCCACAACAAAACCTCTTGGATAATGTGCCTAATGTTTCTTTCACTCTAAAGAGCCTTCTCATGCTTCTGGTGTCAGTGGCAAGTGGTGTCTGCAGTTTCTCAAAGCTCAGACTTATAAAAACGTACATGCACTCAGCAATGTTGCAAAAGAGGCTGGTTGGCTTGGAAACTGTATCATTTGAACATGGCCAAGCACCAGCCCTTGATCTGAAGGAATTGGTGACAAAATCTGCAAAGGTACGCAAAGTGAGATTTTGATGTGCCTGAAATTGAAACTTTCAAGAGACTTGAATTTTAACATCACATTTCGCAAGATTATTCAATAAGCTTTGTGTGCAGCTAAAATATTTTCTTTTGCATTTGGGAAAGACATTCAAAGCATGTTGCGCTGTAAATAAATTTAGCAGTTTCAAGTTTTGTGCTTTTTATTTTTCTACAGCTTTTGAAAATTGATGTTAGCAATTTTTTGACAGGGGTGCAAGTAGTTAGCCTTGCCCAGGGCATAAACTAGCCTGGCACCAGCACTGCCCAGATATCAGTTCACCATTATAATTAGAAACCAGTTGTTCTATATATATGGAAGCATAGGAGAATAAGCCTTGTGTACACTTCTCTCCTATGATAGAGGCCTTTTATTACACCTGTTGGTAACATATTATTCATAAGATATTCTTAATTATCCATAATTGAGAGCCAGGAGGCTGCTGACACCCATGGGGAAAAGTTTGCTATCCAAGAAAAAACACCTTATCGAAAGCAGATGATTATAAGAGAACTGGTATATACACACTCAACCTGAATCTCAGAATTATAGTGGCAAATACAATGCCAGGAGAAGATACCTGTTGCTAGAGAAGCAAACAAAGAGCTACAGAGAATGACAAGAGAGGACATGGATATATAAGAGGCCTGCTGAAACAGCATGGTCACTGTTTTAGGAGCAGAGTGTATAAGTCTTCATCTCAGCTGCAGAATCACATTTAATTGAAATGTGTTCATTGGACCCCAGGCTTGAAGATCTTCCTGGGACCATATAACACTGGTCCTAAAGGATCTTCATTGGCTTCCAGTACATTTTCCAGCACAATTCAAAGTGTTGGTGCTGACCTTTAAAGCCCTAAACAGCCTATGCCCAGTATACCTGAAGGAGCGTCTCCACCTGCATTGCTCAGCCCAGACACTGAGATCCAGTGCCAAGGGTCTTCTGCTGGTTCCCTCACTGCAATAATCAAAGTTACAGGCAACCAGGAAGAGGGCCTTCTTGGTAGTGGCACCTTCCCTGTGGAACGCCCTCCCTTCAGATGTCAAGGAAATAAACAACTATCTGACTTTTTATTTTGTTTTTAGGTATGTTGTAAGTCACCCAGAGTGGCTAGGGAAACCCCGCCAGATGGGCGGGATGTAAATAAAAATAAAAAATAAAAAATTTCTCCTGAAGTATCTCCTGAAAAAGCCAAACATACATGAAGAAAGCTGAAATGTTGATAGTCCATAGGCCTTTGGACCAGGATGCAATATAGATATCCACCCACTTGCTGGGGTTTAGAATCCCTGGTCAAAGTTACAGATGCCCATCCCTTCTAAAATATATCCTGGGGTCTTTTGTTCCATTGCAAATGTCCATTTTCAGCCATGTCTATGACACTAGCACCCAAATCCTTTTCTTTGGGGCCACTGTCTTTATAGAACAGTCTTTACTATTGCTGTATACTCTCCATCAGAGATAGTGAATGTGGTGCCCTGAATGTGTGTTGGACTACAACTCCCATCAGCCCTTTGACATCTGCAGGGCACCACACTGGCATGGTGCAATCTGTCAATTTTTGTTTCTTGCAGATTCTCATTTTTTTCAATCGTAATTTCAGCTCTCCCCATTTCTGCACCAATTTGCAATTTTTCTTTTTAAAAGGCTACCAAAGGCTACCCAAAGGCTATTGCTTGGCTAGCAAGTAGACCAGGTGGCTGAGGATGCACTGGACAGATTGTGGTACTCAGACCCATCTGAAAGGTCCACTGTTTGAGAAACACTGGTCTAATGCAAAAATCCCTCACGCCATAGGTTGAATGAGGAGCACTATGGAAAGTTGAGTTGTTCACTAAGTACTTCACCATGGGAAAATGTTTGGCTGTCCATTAATGTACCAACTGGGAGTCAGACTTCTCACGGTTTCCTTTGTTCTCAGAACAGCATAGTCAGGCAAATTACAGCAAAATCAATTTCATGCTGTGAACATCTAGTCCTACAGTCTTCAAACTCAAACATTGGAGCTGGAAAGCTCACAAAATAGGATCAATAAAATATCTTAGGTCACCTATTTTATTATTCTAACTCTATGGAGCCAAAATGATTGCACAACCATCTTTTCTGTTTAAAAATTACCCCCGCCCCACCAATTCTAACATTCTCTAGATTTTAGACAATTACCCAAGAAATATTGTTTGCAATAGCTTCACTAAATGTGCTGTCAGGGAATTAGCTAGGTCACTAATTGCATTATGTGCATGCTGGAAAAAAGTGTGTTTAATGTTCTGTTATGTTAAATTTGATCACACACTTCCAGTTCAATTATTTGCTGCGAAGAGGAAGAATGAAAAGTACCTGCATCATGTCAGATGACATCATTTTAGGATTGTCAAAGAATCCATTTTCTTCTTCTTAAATAGCTTTGTGATATGTTCTACTAAGGTAACAACTTGCTAAAGCAAACCAGGTCTTAAGATAAGATAAGCTATGTTGCTGCATTATATGTAAGGGATCAACACTTTGGACTGTGTTTGGGGTGTGGTGATGGGGGCTGTCATGATGAGCTCTTGCACTTCAGAAGTTACGGTACCTCTCATTCATTGGGTTGAAATTGAAATGAAAAACTACCTTGTGCATGGAAAACAGTGTCAGGGAGTAGATTCGGCGAGAACCAGTCAATAGCGAAGCAATACTTGCTTTTTAATTATTATTAACTCCTTTCCTCCATTGTATTCCTGGAACTGCCATTTATTTATCCTTCTTCCACTACATGCCCATTGTGAATCGATCAACTGCACTGCCTAGTCTGCCTAGCATATGAAAAGGAGCCTACCTGGCTTCCTGCTCAGAGAGACCAAATTAGCTTTAGAGGAAACAGAATTCTTTAAATAAGGGAGCAAGTCTGGGTTTATAAACAGATGTCCTTGGCAGCAGGGCTTTAGCAGCGAGGTGACACTCTGAAGTGTGGAACATATCAGGAGCAGTGGAAGAGAAAGATCTTACTTGACTCATGTGTTCCTAATTCCACAGCCCCGGAATGACACCCACTAGTGAGAAAAATGAGGTGGGGGTCGGGAAGAGAAAGGCATGTTTTCCAATACAAGTACCCTTTGTCATGATTATATATACAGTGGTACCTCAGGTTAAGGACTTAATTCGTTCCGGAGGTCCGTTCTTAATCTGAAACTGTTCTTAACCTGAGATACCACTTTAGCTAATGGGGCTTCCCGCTGCTGCTGCGCCGCCTCCGCCTAATTTCTGTTCTTATCCTGAAGCAAAGTTCTTAACCCGGGGTACTATTTCTGGGTTAGCGGAGTCTGTAACCTGAAGCGTCTGTAACCCAAGGTACCACTGTACAGAGCTTAATGTGAGCTTGCACAATTTGCAAAGCCAAATGCACATCCTTCTAGTCCCAGCAGTGTATTCATTAGCCTGCAGGCTGCTTCCCAATTCTCTTGTTTTGATCACTCTCAGGCAATAAAACCAGGGATTCTTAGCTGCTATGCAGGACAGGCTGATGGTCAGCGTTTGGCTTATTCTGTCATCCATCCATGCATGGATTAGTAATCTAAAGTAGCAGGTGTTTCATGAAACAAGCATGCTTAGCATGTTTGCTTGTGGGGAAAGCCTTGCCTCTGAACATAAGACGTTATCCTACAAAGTGATGTTCAACTCCCTCAAGTAAAATGTGGTACACTGAGGAAGCAGAGCTAGCAATCAGCTTTTGGCATCCGAACGGTGCCAATTTTCTGAATAAACTTACTTCTCATACAGTTCTCCCTCTTAATGGTGCCTCAAATTTTGAAGAAGTCACACCACACACAGTGACATCCAAAGGGAGCAAATTATTGTTACCACAAACCAGAGTTTTCTCCGGGAAACCAGACCCAGAAATCATGCGGGTAAAACTATGGAAGCTTGTCCAGTCAAGATGTCACACAAGAAGTCAGGCAATCAGAGCACACATAGATAATAGGAAAAGAGAAAAGGGAGTGCGAAAGGCTTAAGCCTGTTTCGCAAGCCTGGTTTGGCCATGATTTGTGAGTTAATAAGTAAGCAAATGATCCAGTTTTAAAGCAAGAAGCAAGGCTGGTCCAGAAATAGTTAAGACATTCATAATACATTTTTCTTTCTTTCTTTGTGTATTTTTTGCTGGCTGCAGAACAGAATACAAAACAGTAGCAGCTGCTCCCAAGCTGCCATTTCGACAGCATTCAGCTGGCTTCATAGAATAATCACAAAATGTTGAAAAAAAATCAATGATCTCATTTATTCAATACTACCACCAATTATTTTTAGGAACCCATGGGGTGGAATTCAATATAGTGCTAAGGAGATCATTCCACCAGCACAAGCATTTCTGCTTGTCTGATGGGACAATCTCCCCCCTCCCCCGCCCCCTGCCCAACCCTCCAGAGTGGATTAGGGAGAGGAGGGGGAACCGTATTGTTTTAGTGGGAGTCCTTTCACTGGCTGAGGTAATACTGGTAACACCTGACCAGTGTATTGGACTTGACAAAAGAGTGTTGATAGCCTATGATGCTCCAGTGATGCAATCCCAAAGCAGCAAAGAAGCCTAGGTGATGAAGGAGATGACTTACCCTGATTCCCCAAGTTGGTAGAATCTGTCCCTAGCGATCCCTGGCATCTTCAGTTAAAATGATCAAGTAGCAAATGACAGAAAAGACCACTCTGCCTGAGGCCCAGGAGAAAAATCCTGGGCTCATTAGACCAAAGGTCTCTCAGAATATGGCAGCCTCATACCTGCATAAATAATATTAAGGAAATTGGTGTTAATGCCTACAATTCTGAAAAATGCTTTAAAATTTTTATCAAAATGTTTCAATTTACATAGAATTTAATCTACCTTTCTTAGCAGCTTATTCCCACCTCCCACTCCTCGCCAAACAACCAACAGGGAAAATCAATATAGATCTATGGTCTTGAGCTGTGAGATGCCCAGCTCCACTTGAACGATCATAGGGAGATCCTTTCTCCTATGGAGCCCTTCCCTTGCACAGTTTCAGTTTTGCTAGATTTTGAATGAAAGGGTTGCTAGCATTGTGATAAATGGTTCTGAGAGTCTGTCTTGTTTCGATTCTGAAATTGCCTTTCTGCTCTGTTGAACCACTGATCTGTAACACCTCACAGATATGTCTTTACAATGTACAGCAGCTGATATCGGCACACTTGCTATGATACTAGACTATAGGGCAGTGCTAGAAAGATACCGCTTTCATAGTGTTGCATTAAACCAGGATACAGGCCCCTCACCTCCAGTCATAGTATGTATTGCTGTTTTTGAAATGTCCATCGTACTCATGATTATTTCATGCAGCAGTACACCCTGTTTCCTTTCCTACCTATAACACAATGTTATACCCTTAAACTTGTTACAACTCCTAGAAATTTAATCATTTAGAAAAGAAGGTGTACCCAGTGGGATTGTAATATGATGTGGTCTCACTGCCTCAACATTTACCTCTGCTGCTGCTGCTGGCTTTATTGCTAGTTCACAGATTTAAGTGCTTTCCTCCAGTTCCCAAACCTGCTACCAGTACAATCTGAAATAGCCAATATCTACAGTTTGATTGTTTTTTAAGATGTGAGGAAGAAGCAATTAAACTGGCTCTTTTCTCACAAGTAGCCCAACTAGCAATCAGCCAGGATAGTTCAGAGCTGAGTAAGGGCTAGCAAGCTGGGAGGCACTTGGAGGATGATGTAATTTATAATGGAGTTTGTGTGTTAAGTGGGCTTGTTTAGCACCTCACCAGCAGGGCTTCAATGGTCTGACAAGAAGGCTGAGAGAAGATAAGGAGATCTGTGCCTCAAAGAAGAAAGGACTGCTATCTAAGTTCGGAGGGGTCTGGGACCCTGGGACAGTGACATAAAAGTATACCATAAAAGCCTAATAATCTGATTGCAATATGCTGGCCATTTTCATAGAATCATAAAATTGTAGAGTTGGAAGAGACCACAAGAGTCATCCAGTCCAACCCACTGCAATGCAGGAATCTTTTGCCCCAAATGGGACTCGAACCCATGACCCTAAGAGTAAGAGTTTCATGCTCTACTGTCTGAGCTTCCAAGGGTTACCAAGCCACATTTGCTCTAGGATTACTTTATGCGGAGGCTGGAAGTCTGAAAATTGTGACAGAAATGTGGAATTGCACTAGTTCTATGTGCCAACAGCCTCTTGAAATTCTCCTCCATGTATTTACTAGCAGAAAGTGTTCAGCACTGCTCAGAAGATATTATGAACCAAAAAGTCTTGTGTGTTTTTGGACTGCACGCACACACACACACACATTATTCAGTGCATCTCTTGGCATCGAAATGTAGACGAAAACCACCTCCTCCACCTTGGGAAACCTCATTTGTAACCATCATGCCAAACTGGATGACCTCATGCCAAACTCATGTTTTGGTCTGCCATCTTAATTCAAAATGGCTCCTGGCATCCAAATATAGAGGAAGATCTCTGCCTCCCCCTCAGGAACCCTTGTACCAAGTTCAGTGACAATATATTAAGAGACATCCAAACTGATACAGTTGCAACCCATCATGCCAGATTGGGTGACAGTACCTTCAGAACCATCAAAATTGGTGCAGATTGAACCTGTAATGCCAAATTGAGTGAACTCCCACCAAATGGGGGTGATGAGATCTTCAGAGGCATCCATACCAGTGCAGTTTGGACATATCATGCCAATAACAGGGTGAAGTCATGCAAAGGCCACACTTTGGTCTGCCATATTGACTAAGAATGGCACCTAGTGTCCCTACATCCATCCCATAGCCACAAACCCATGCTGTAGACAAAGCTATATAGTAGTATATCAGAGACAGGAATCCTGAGAAACTGACTGACCAATCAACACAATCAAAGAATCATAGAATCATAGAGTTGGAAGAGACCACAAAGGCCATCGAGTCCAACCCCCTGCCAAGCAGGAAACACCATCAGAGCACTCCTGACATATGGTTGTCAAGCCTCTGCTTAAAGACCTCCAAAGAAGGAGACTCCACCACACTCCTTGGCAGCAAATTCCACTGTCGAACAGCTCTTACTGTCAGGAAGTTCTTCCTAATGTTTAGGTGGAATCTTCTTTCTTGTAGTTTGGATCCATTGCTCCGTGTCCGCTTCTCTGGAGCAGCAGAAAACAACCTTTCTCCCTCCTCTATGTGACATCCTTTTATATATTTGAACATGGCTATCATATCACCCCTTAACCTCCTCTTCTCCAGGCTAAACATGCCCAGCTCCCTTAGCCGTTCCTCATAAGGCATCGTTTCCAGGCCTTTGACCATTTTGGTTGCCCTCCTCTGGACACGTTCCAGTTTGTCAGTGTCCTTCTTGAACTGTGGTGCCCAGAACTGGACACAGTACTCCAGGTGAGGTCTGACCAGAGCAGAATACAGTGGCACTATTACTTCCCTTGATCTAGATGCTATACTCCTATTGATGCAGCCCAGAATTGCATTGGCTTTTTAGCTGCCGCGTCACACTGTTGGCTCATGTCAAGTTTGTGGTCAACCAAGACTCCTAGATCCTTTTCACATGTACTGCTCTCAAGCCAGGTGTCACCCATCTTGTATTTGTGCCTCTCATTTTTTTGCCCAAGTGCAATACTTTACATTTCTCCCTGTTAAAATTCATCTTGTTTGTTTTGGCCCAGTTCTCTAATCTGTCAAGGTCGTTTTGAAGTGTGATCCTGTCCTCTGGGGTGTTAGCCACCCCTCCCAGTTTGGTGTCATCTGCAAATTTGATCAGGATGCCCTTGAGTCCATCATCCAAGTCGTTGATAAAGATGTTGAATAAGACCGGGCCCAAGACAGAACCCTGCGGCACCCCACTAGTCACTCTTCTCCAGGATGAAGAGGAACCATTGATGAGCACCCTTTGGGTTCGGTCAGTCAGCCAGTTACAAATCCACTGAGTGGTAGCATAGTCAAGACCGCATTTTACCAGCTTCTTTACAAGAATATCATGGGGCACCTTGTCAAATGCCTTGCTGAAATCAAGGTAGGCTACATCCACTGCATTCCCGTCATCTACCAGGGTTGTAATTCTGTCAAAAAACGAGATCAGGTTAGTCTGACATGACTTATTTTTCAGAAATCCATGCTGACTATTGGTGATCACAGCATTCCTTTCTAGGTGCTCACAGACAGTTTGCTTAATGATCTGCTCCAGAATCTTCCCTGGTATTGATGTCAGACTGACTGGGCGCTAATTATTTGGGTCCTCTCTTTTCCCCTTTTTGAAAATAGGGACAACATTTGCCCTCCTCCAGTCTGCCGGGACTTCGCCTGTTCTCCAGGAATTCTCAAAGATGACTGCCAGTGGTTCTGAGATCACATCTCAGAACACAAGTCTTCTTCATAAATGCTGCAATCCTTCAAGGTCATACATTATGCCATACATTATGGGATTTAGACAGGGCTGCTTTTCAGGGTAATTCGCACAAGCAAATGCTGGTTTTAAGTTAGTTCAGACAGACTTTCTGCTTTTGCAGGAATGACTGGGAGACCTTATCTCAGGGAAGCCAAAGAAACCTCAGTTTAGAATTTAGAAATTCCAGGTTTAGAATTGACTACCAAGCTGTTTTAGATCTGTCGTGTTCTGGAGAAGTATCAGACCTTGAGGATGCACCATGTCAGGCCTCAGGGAATCGGTTTCCTCCCCCGTGGCAGTAGATAAGCAGAACAAAGGAAAAGGAGTCTTCTTACTAGTTAGAAACTTTATTAATCACAGTGAGAGAACAAAGAACCCACCTCCTAGAATTGGCCTGTGCTCCCAGTTAAGGATCCCACCCTCTTACGTCCCTATTAATCTACGTCACTTCTACATCTTGTAATCTGAGCTTGTACCCGCTGTGCTTTCTGTTCTGCCACTTTCTGAGCTCTCCATGACTTTGGAGAGGGGGGGATGGATGCTGTCCAGAGACTGTGAATCTGTTAACCCTCTCTCTTCCAGTGTTTCTTCTCCTAGCTGTTCCCCATCCAGGGTTTCCCAGCTTCTGCCTTCTGAACTATGTCCCTCTGCAAACCACTGTTCCAAATCTATACTGTCCTCCTCCTCCTGGGAAGATTCAGGGTCCAGATCAGGAGCAGGGGGAGGGGGAGGCTCCCACCATTCCTCCTCAGTGCAGCCCTCCTCAGCACAGTCCCTGACACACCATTACCCCAGTTATTTGCTGAATAATGTCTGCTTACTGGAGCCTTTGAACACAGCCGCTCCATTTTTGGAGCATAAACCTGCTTCTTCCTTCTTGCATAAAACTTGTCTGTGCTTCTTTTCCTTCCTCCCTCTTTCAGAGAAGTGTAGCAAGATGCACCACCTACTACATTCTGCCTGTATCCTGACACTGCCAAGTTGCCTGGCTGTAACTGAGGCAGAATGTACCAAGCGGTGTGAAACACTTGCTCATAAACCATTAAAACATTCTGCTTGACTGGCATCCAACAGCCAAGGCAAGCAGCATGGCTGGGAATTTCACTCTGACATTGACCCCTCGTGGCTAAGGGTCTAGGATGGCGTGGGCTGCTTCTCTGGGCAGGAAGGATTAGCTAGCACTCCATTTTGCCCCATTGACAGATCTGAGCAGATCTAAAACCTGCACACCCCACACTATTTTTGTTCATTTAAAATATCTCTATACAACTTTTCATTTGCAAAAATTGTTCAGATCACCAAAACAAGAGAATAACTCCATAAAAGTCAATAGTCATTAGACTAGGAGAAGTAGATTTTATAAAAGGCAATACCTATCCTCTGCTCCAGGACCACTGTGAATTTTTGAATTTTCAGTAGCTAATTAGTTATATCATAATTGTTCAGGGTGTCTGAATAAACATCTTTTTAAAAAAGAAATATACAGATGTATAGGAAGAGAGTGTGCGCACTACTTCTGAAAAATATTGCATCCACTGTGTTGTCGTCTATCATTTTGCCAGAATGCAAGCTATGACCTTGCTATAGAATAATGTAACTCCCATGAAAAGTTCAGTTTTAATGTTTTCTGTCTAGACTTTCCCATATTAGCCTCATCTAAGGGAATAGTTTTCTGTCTGTGTCAAAGAGAACAGTGAGCTGTTATGAATCCTACTGGGTTGTTTATTTGTAAATTGTGGCTCCCCCCCTCAAAAAATTGCTGCAGTGTAGCTGGATAATAGAATGTGTGCACAAAACAAATAGTTTCAATATATTATAATTCCTCCAGAAACTTTGCTATTAATATGGCCATCCATGGCTTGAATCCAATATGTTTCTTTTATTTAAAACTGCCACAGATATCTAACCTATTCCATTTGTACTCTACATCCTCTTAGTTTTAGAAATTGTGTTCCTGCAGCTGAAGCAAATCAGCTGTTATACCAAAATTAGGAAATATGATAACTTCAAAGCTTAATTAACCAAAGAAATACAATCGAAGATGAGATCTGCTTAGAAACCTTAGGGCAGAGCTGTGTAACTTGTTCAGCACAAATAAGCAGGACAGAGAACAGAGCCTGTAACTGCACGATTTGCATATTATTTTAATATTGGATGCCAATATACAGTTGATACAGTACCCTTCCAGAATCTAACTGTGCAATATTATGCATGTTTTCTTGGTCATAAGTTCCACTATGTTCAATGGGGCTTACTCCTGAGTAAGTATAAGATTTCAGTCTTAGGGTGTAAGTGATCTCTTGAAACATATTGATGTGAAGGCCAAACTAAACCCCATTCAAACAATCATACCTATGGAGAGAAATGCATGGAGAGAGGGATCATACCTGCTGCGCATCCCCTCACCTTCACCTGCTCACCTAAAGGTCAGAAGAGAGTTAGTGTGTGTACGAATATTTATACACATCAGCCCTCTGTGTGGCTGGGAAGTGAACTCTGCAACATGCAGGTTCCCTGAATAATGGATTGTATTCGTGTTGATTTGTACATCTGTTGGTTCTGTTCTGATCTTGCAGTTAATGCAAGATATGATATGGACACTATCCAGCTTGTCACACTGTTGACTTGTGTTCTGTTCCCTTCCCATGCTCCATGTTTTTAGCCAATTCCCTCTCTCTTTCTCCTCTCCCTCAATCAACTTCAAAAAAGATAAAGTAGGACAAGTTCATTGTTGCTTTCAATTATCTTTCTAGTGCAAAATTTGTTTCCCATGCATATAAAGTAGACCACAAAATTAACGGAAATTAAATTCTTAAACTAACAAAAATGCAGAAGGAGAATACATTACTGTGATTGTGCATGATAAGATTTCTCTGTAGGGCATGTTGACTGGCTGGCATGCCATTTTACCTGGGCCATTTCTTAGATTTATAATCGTAAGTAAAGGAGACAGATGGTGACTGTCAAGCCAGAGCAGCCATGCAGAATGATATCAGGGCTGGAAATATTCCAGCTGGAGATGGCAGAAAAAAAAAAATGAATGTGAGAAAATGAAAATATGCCTTATACTCGAACAGACTAAACAGAACCATGGGAGATATTGTCAACAAATCTCAAAACTGGTATTGTTTTCATCACTGATTGTGATGAACCAAATAGAATTCCTGTTTCTTGGACTTTCAGTTTTTCATGAAATGTAACACTGTTCGTTCATGAAGAGCCTGGGCTAATGAGTGTGAGTGCATTTGGGACTTTGTTGTACAGAAAAGGTGAGTAAGGGGTGATATGGTAGAAGTTTACAGAACTCTACCAACAAAGGTCCGTATAGTTAAAGCTATGGTTTTCCCAGTAGTGGTGTATGGAAGTGAGAACTGAACCATAAAGAAGGCTGATCTTTGAAGAATTGATGCTTTTGAATTACGGTGCTGGAGGAGACTCTTGAGAGTCCCATGGACTGCAAGAAGATCAAACCTATCCATTCTTAAGGAAATCAGCCCTGAGTGCTCACTGGAAGGACAGAACCTGAAGCTGAGGCTCCAATACTTTGGCCACCTCATGAGAAGAGAAGACTCCCTGGAAAAGACCCTGATGTTGGGAAAGATGGAGGGCACAAGGAGAAGGGGACGACAGAGGATGAGATGGTTGGATAGTGTTCTCGAAGCTACCGGCATGAGTTTGACCAAACTGTGGGAGGCAGTGGAAGACAGGAGTGCCTGGCGTGCTCATGGGGTCATGAAGAGTCGGACATGACTAAACGACTAAACAACAACAACACATAACATGGAGAAATTGGGTAGAGATAATAATAATAATAATAATAATAATAATAATAATAATTTATTTGGACCCCGCCCATCTGGCTGGGTTTCCCCAGCCACTCTGGGCGGCTTCCATAGAAACCAAAAATACAGTAAAATATCACAGATTTAAAACTTCCCTGAACAGGGCTGCCTTAAGATGTCTTCTAAATGTCAGGTAGTTATTTATCGCTTTGACATCTGATGGGAGGGCGTTCCACAGGTCGGGCGCCACTGCCGAGAAGGCCCTCTGCCTGGTTCCCTGTAGCTTTGCTTCTCGCAATGAGGGAACCGCCAGAAGGCCCTCGGCGCTGGACCTCAGCGTCCGGGCAGAACGATGGGGGTGGAGACGCTCCTTCAGGTATACTGGGCCGAGGCTGTTTAGGGAGAAACAAGTGTTTCTCCCCTTTGCATAACACTAGAACTCATGCATACCCAATGAAACCGAATGCTGGAAAATTCAGGACAGATAAAAGAAACACTTGCTTCATGCAATGCATAGCTGAAATATGGAACCTGACCCCAACCCACCCCCTCCCCCAGAGGCAGTGATGGACACCAACTTGGATGGCTTTAAAAGAGGATTGGAGAAGTTGGTGGAGGATAAGGCTATTGAGTGGGACGCGGGTGGTGCTGTGGGTAAAACCTCAGCGCCTAGGACTTGCCGATCGCATGGTCGGCGGTTCGAATCCCCGCGGCGGGGTGCGCTCCTGTCGTTCGGTCCCAGCGCCTGCCAACCTAGCAGTTCGAAAGCACCCCCGGGTGCAAGTAGATAAATAGGGACCGCTTACCAGCGGGAAGGTAAACGGCGTTCCGTGTGCTGCGCTAGCTCTCCAAATGCAGCTTGTCACGCTGGCCACGTGACCCGGAAGTGTCTGCGGACAGCGCTGGCTCCCGGCCTATAGAGTGAGATGAGCGCACAACACTAGAGTCTGGCAAGACTGGCCCGTACGGGCAGGGGTACCTTTACCTTTACCTTTTAAGGCTATTGACGTCTACAAGCCATGATGGCTATGCTCTGCCTCCAAAGTTTTCATCATTGCCACTTTACCCTTCCCTCTGCCATACATGAAGCATCAACCATCAGTTGCTTCAGACATCTCATAAAAACATATCTTTTTGCCCAGGTTTTTCTTGACTTATAAGATTGGACCCTGTTATTACTGATCTTATCTGTTTTGATAAGATTGTTTTAATATTCTTATGCTTGCATCTCTTTTTATGATATTGTTTAATTATTTTATGTTGTATATCACTTAGATAAGTTAAAAATAATAATAAACAAATAAAATTACAATTCCTTGCACAAAAAAGCATTTGATCTACTACCTTTATAATAGTTCCTAGGGGCAGAAACTCTGCAGCCGTGGCTTTTGCTATTGGCATGAGATACATATTAAGAAATACTGCTTTTTGGTACATAGTAAGTTTCTTTTCTGTCTCATTACTATTTTTTCATTGACTTTTCCCAACTGTAAATGCTAGTTTCCCCCCAGAATGTCACAGGTGTGATGCCATGAGTAAAATGTCCCCAGATGATCCAAGGGCCTCTTGTGATTGGTGTTTTATTTAAGGTGTATTCTGCAACATATTCTTCACAATAATAGGAGCCATAGAGCAACAGAAGTAGAACAAAAATAGAAAGTTGTGGGATTTCAGCAGGAAGCTATGAGATATGCACTCATTGGAAATACAGCAGTGTAACCACCCCAAAATCTTTTGCAGGTGCAAACAGTATTGAAAGTGGGATTGCATGTAAATGTTGAGATAGCATCATGAACACAAATCATTATTAATGCACAATAAAAAGAATATTAGGAGGGTCCCTATGTGAACTTGATTTGATTTTAAATGTGATTCAAATTGTATTTTAAGCTAATTGTTTGATTTTGTGTTTTTAATGTATTTTATGTAATTGGTGTTAGCCGCCCTGAGCCCGGTCTTGGCCGGGGAGGGCAGGATATAAATAAAATTGTTGTTGTTGTTATCTTACAGGTCTATACGGGGACAGGTGGTATTTCAGATAACCTAGTCCTGAGTTTCCAGGGCTTTATATAGTAGAAATAAGTAGCCAATCAGCAGCCAGCGTAGTTCCCTCAACACAGGTGTAATATGTGCACACCCAGGTAGTGAACTCAGCAACCTGGTTGCAGTGTTCTGCACCATCAATAATTTCTGGATCAATCTCAAGGGAACCACCATGATAGTGCATTATTGCTGTCCATTTGTGAGATTATGGACACATGAATCACAGTTGCCAAGATATACTTGTCATTTTCCATTGGTAAGAGCAGTAGCTTTTAGGGAAAAAATGAGCAAAAAGAGACTTGGATTTTCCAGCTTTGGAGCTGAAATGTTTGGGAACATTTCCGAGTTATAATTTTGGTAAGTGGGCTCAAGTTGCAGAGAAAGGGATCCAAGAAAGCAGTTTGGGCAATTTTCAAACTGAGTTGTACAGGAAAAGAGTGGGCAGTTAAGTGGTGGAAAGAGTAAGATCTGTTTAGTACATACATAAGTACTAAAGTACAATGGCTCAATTATTTCAGATGTGTATGAATCTTTAAAGACGTGGAAAATTCATGCAGAATGGTTGAAAGCTGAAACTATGAGGAATATTAAAACAGAACCATTTTAGAATTAATTATTTTAAACCACAGTTGGAAAAATTGCAAATACATAAAGTTGTCTGGTACTTTAAAAGATCAGTTAGCCAACAGAATATTTTAAAGATACATAACATAACTGAATATGGATTGTGGGGCATCTGATAGAGATTTAGCATCAGGTGAATAATCTTGAAGGAGAGAAACCATGGTTACCAGAGGTGAGGCAAGCTTCTTTAAGTCTGAAGTGCCAAAAAATTGCAGTGTGGATTGGAAACGCACAAAAAGATTTTTATTTTTTCTTTGTACAGGGAAAAAACTTTGGAATGTGTGGCATAAGCCTTGGATTGTCCAGCTTTTTGCACATTGAGAAACCATAGTTTCTAGCTGTGAACCAGCAGCTAGACCTAGTAAACTGACAACAAGGTGAAGGAAAGGTAACCACAGAAGCAAACAGTAAGAAAATGTTGCAATGTCCCATCATCTACAGTTAGGTTAGTAAATTTTATTACATTTTGGCTCTTGCTTTCCCATGAACAAAGAAGGAAAGATGCAGCACTGAAAGGACAGTGGAGTTTATACAAAATAAGATAAAGTTAGCCTACATGAAAAGGAGTGAATTTCTCTATGTAAATGGAAGAGGGTTTGGTCACAGTTCTATAGGCTGCACTTCCAATCACTTGCTTTATTAATCAATATTGATTGTAGTACACACAGACACGCACATATTGGTATATACACACAAAATGTATTAGTTGTCTTCTTCGTCCCTGAGCTTCCCAGTTAATTTTGCCATTTCGGCATAGTCCATCAACTTGATTTGCCATTCTTCTTTGGTCGGGGTTGTTTCGTCCATCTCTGGGCTAGCAGCATCCAAGCGGCCATTGTAGCATACATGAACGGGTTTCTTTTGATCTTTTGGGATCTTGGTACCTGTAATTCCTAATAAAAATGCTTCTGGTTTTTAAGGAAAGGTTAATTTAAACTTTTTTTTCATTTCATTATATATCATTTCCCCTTTTTTATTACATTACAATTCCACCACTTACGATAAAATGTACCCTTTTTTTCTTTGCATTTCCAGCATATATTGGTACTTGTTCTATACATTTTTGCTAATTTTACTGGGGTTAAGTACCACCAATACATCATTTTCATATATAGTTTTCTTTCAATGAAGAACATGCCATAAATTTCAGACCTGTTTTTCATAGCCTCTCCGAAGCCGTCATTTGTATATTATGCCCCACATCTTTCGCCCACTGTATCATCCTACTCTGATTATTGATAATACCCTCACAAACCCACATTACCATTCTTAGGTGACATTAATTAGGAGATTTTAGGAGATTCAGAGTAATCTCAACATGTGGAATTTGTATTATCTTTTGATGTAAGTTTATCCTTCTCTCTCTCTCTCTCTCCCTCTTTTCTTTTTCTTTCTTTTCTTTCTTTATTGTTGAATATATATATATATATATATATATATATATATATACACACACACACACACACATATATATATATATATATGTTTTAAATAACAGTTTAAGTTTTGGGGTTGTTGTTTTTTTTTTAAAAAAACCTTAAATAAATACCTGTTCCATTGACTGAAATGGGACTGTTTTCACTTACACCACTTATTTTGCAAATTTATCATTACATCCTTACTGGAGCTGTTCCCCAGCTTCACTCAATTCTCTTGTACAGTACTGGCAAGTCACACTGGCATAAAGGGTTCCATCAGCGGTAGTCTGCTGCTGGCACAACAGTACACACACAGCTGAAAAGAACAAAATCCTTGTCCTTTTGTTTTCTGGCAATTGTTCACAAAGCAAAAAACAAGCCATGGTACTTTTTCTTTCTTACAGATTAGCAATAACTACTTACCTGGGAATCAGCTCCATTTAGTACACTTGCTTCCAAGTATATTAAGGAATGTGTTGCTTATTTCTCTAAGTCCTGCTATATGCATGAAAAACTAAACCCTATAACGATTTCAGTTCTCCCAGTGCCAGCCCAATGGCACAAGCTACAACATTCATGGAGCAGAGGGCTATCAAGGCTGCTAGCTATGATGGCTATGCTCTACCTCCACAATTGGAAGCAGTAATTTTTGGGAATAATGGGAGGGAAGAGTGCTCTTGAGCACATGCTCTGCTCTCTGGTTTCCCACAGGAATCTGGCTGGTCACTGTGAGAACAGGATACTGGGCTAGATGGGCCATTGGCCTGACCCAGCAGGCTATTCTTATGTTCTTACATTAACAGGGAGGAAACAGTAGGCTTAAGGGAGCCCCAGGGTTTGCATGAATATTTCAAATCTAGGGTGGGGGAATATGCCAGGAAGGGAGGGCATAAAATGAAATATTCTGGAAGAAGGTATGGTTGGTTGGCTGGAACCCTGAAGAGCAGGAGCCCTGTGTTTCTTCGCAAGTCCCACTTGTTTTCTGTTTACTCCTGGTTTGCATTTTGTATATATATAAAAAATGGGAAGGTCTGTTATGTGTTCCCCCTACAAAAACATTAATCTATCTAATGACTTTGCTGGCATTCCATATGTCATGCAAAAAGAAAAAGAAGGAAGGAAAAGGACACAATGTTTAGGCGTTTATGCCCTAATGCCAGAAGTCTCAAAAGCCAAGATGTGGGATCTTGGAGTGCTTGGTACTCAAAGTGAACGTAGATATAATGGGAATATCAGAATCTTGGTGGAATGAATATAAATGGTGGGACATTTATTTATTGAATTGATACCCCACCCTTCCTCCCCAAGGAGTCTATGGTGAGCCTTGGATATAAAATACATTGAAAGGGAAGTGTATGTGTTGATCTACATAGAAGGAAAGCAAAGATATCCCACTGGCTGTGCTGAGACACCAGCTGCCTTTTGCTCTCTCTCTGGGGCTGGGGGCTGACTTCAGGCAGCCCGTGGCACAGTCTGACTGATGCCCCTGTCACCTCCAAACCCTGCCAATTTTCCTCTTTATAACAGCAACACCACTGCCCCTCTTCTTCCACCCTGCTTCCTCTCTTACACATAAAGTACAAGCAGACAAATAGACAAACCATTCCCCAAAATATAGGGTAGATGAAAGATACGTGAATATGGCATATCTTCCATGCTCTTATAATACTAGAAGCAGGATCATGTTGTTGTTGTTTAGTCGTTTAGTCGTGTCCGACTCTTCGTGACCCCATGGACCAGAGCACGCCAGGCACTCCTGTCTTCCACTGCCTCCTGCAGTTTGGTCAGACTCATGTTTGTAGCTTCGAGAACACTGTCCAACCATCTCATCCTCTGTTGTCCCCTTCTTCTTGTGCCCTCCATCTTTCCCAACATCAGGGTCTTTTCCAGGGAGTTTTCTCTTCTCATGAGGTGGCCAAAGTATTGGAGCCTCAGCTTCAGGATCTGTCCTTCCAGTGAGCACTCAGGGCTGATTTCCTTCAGAATGGATAGGTTTGATCTTCTTGCAGTCCATGGGACTCTCAAGAGTCTCCTCCAGCACCATAATTCAAAAGCATCAATTCTGGGGCTAAATATCTCTATTGGCGAAGGGTTTCGAGATGCAGTGATCCTCGAACCCCTTCCAATCTATGCCTCATCCCAAGGGATGATGGTAGGGAGAGCAAGGATTACCCACCTCCATCATTGGTCCTGTGCAATGCCAGGTCCATAGGCAACAAAACCGCCACCATGCGTGACTTTTTTGTCTCGCAGGGGATTGACCTGGCTTGCGTGACGGAGACCTGGGTACGGGAAGGCGAAGTAGTCTCCCTACATGAGATAACACCCCCAGATTTCTCTGTCCTCCATCAATCGCGGACTGTGGGTCGGGGGGGAGGTGTAGCGTTGTTAATCCGGGAGGATTGCTCTTTCAGAGCTCTGCCATCACCGGCGATCTCCGGCATTCAATGTGTTGGTCTCGTGTGGGGCACCAAGGAGAGCTTGGCTGTCTGGCTGGTATACCAACCACCCAGCACACCAGCAGCCACCCTGTCAGACCTGCTGAAGGTGGTGGCGGGCTGGGCCTTGGAGTTCCCAAACCTACTAGTTTTGGGAGACTTCAACGTCCATGCCGATGCCACTCCCTCCTCACAGGCTCTGGACCTACTGACTTCCATGGCAACACTAGGGCTCTCCCAATTTGTTTTGGGCCCCACTCATCAAGCAGGCCACACGCTGGATCTGATCTTTGGGGCTGGCATAGATGTGATCATGCTTCCCCCATGGAAGTGCCATGGTCTGATCACTACGCTCTGAAAGCCAAGATTGACTCCCCACTCCTCCCCTGCTCGGGTGGTGAACCTATTTGGGCTCGTCCGCGAAAACAGATGGACTCTGATAGATTCCGACAAGCCTTGCGGGACCCTGCTCCTCCTGGTGACTCATTAGATGACCTTGTTGAGGACTGGAATAACCGGCTCTTGGCAGCCATTGATAAGATCGCGCCTAAGCGCCCTCTGCGACCCCGTCGAAACCAGGCCCCTTGGTTTACTGAGGAGCTCCGGAAAATGAAGCGGGATCTCAGACGGCTAGAGCGAGTATGGCGACGGACTCGTGACAGAGCCTCAAGAACATCTTATAGGACGCTTATGAAAGCCTATGAGATGGCTTTGAAAGCTGCTAAGAAATCTTACTTTGCAGCTTCCATTGCATCCGCTAGCTCTTGCCCGGCACAACTTTTTAGAATAATTAGGTCAATAACGTCCTTAGGAGGACAACCAAATTTAAGCACAAATTCGACCCACAGCTGTGAGGCATTTGCGAGCTTTTTTGCAGAGAAAGTCCTGTTGCTCCGCCGTGACCTCCCTGCCAATTTAGATACAGTTACTGAACTGGAGGCCCCTCGACTGACTTCAGGTCCAGTGTTGGACCATTTCGATCGGATACTCCCTGCTGATGTGGATAGATTCCTCCAAGTTGGTAGGCCCACCACCTGCCTCCTTGATCCGTGCCCATCTTGGCTGATTAGGGAGTGTCCAGATGTTGCACGGACCCCCCTGGTTGAAATTATCAATTTGTCCCTTGACACGGGGACATTCCCGGGGAACTGAAGGAAGCAGTAGTGTGTCCACTCTTAAAGAAAACTTCATTAGATCCCTTAGACCTATCCAATTACCGCCCAGTTTCAAATCTTCCATATCTGGGTAAGGTAATTGAGAGAGCGGTTGCTGAACAGCTTGGTAGGTTTCTGGAGGAAACATCGGCTTTAGATCCATTTCAGTCCGGTTTCCGTCCTGGTTTTGGGACCGAGACGGCTCTGGTTGCCCTAACAGATGATCTCCGTAGACAACTGGATCGAGGCGGGTCAGGACTGCTGATCCTTTTAGATTTGTCAGCGGCCTTTGACATGGTTGATCATGATCTTCTGGACCACCGCCTCGCAGATGTGGGGAGACAGGGCATAGCCCGTAACTGGCTGTGGTCTTTTATCTCTGGTCGGGGACAGAGGGTGGCACTAGTGAGGGAAGTATCGTCGCGCCATTCCTTGGTGTGTGGAGTGCCGCAGGGCGCAATTCTCTCCCCGATGCTTTTTAACATCTTTATGCGCCCCCTTGCTCAGATTATCCGGAGCTTTGGGCTGGGCTGTCACCAGTATGCTGATGACACTCAGCTCTATCTACTGATGGACGGCCACACCAACTCTGCCCCGAACACACTGACCAGATGTTTGGAAGCTGTGGCTAGATGGTTTCGTGGGAGCCGATTGAAACTAAATCCTTCAAAGACAGAGGTCCTATGGCTGGGTCGGGATGGCATGGGGATGAGGGACCAACTCCCTTCTCTTGCGGGGGCCCAATTAGTGCCATTGCCTTCCGTTAAGAGTTTGGGTGTAATCCTTGACGCCTCCCTTTCCATGGAGGCGCAAGTTACAGCAACAGCCAAGGCGACATTTTTCCACCTTCGCCGCATCAAGCAGTTGGTCCCTTACCTTTCCCGCCCTGACCTGGCCACAGTGATCCATGCGATGGTCATCTCCAGGCTTGACTACTGTAATTCGCTCTATGCAGGGCTGCCCTTGAAGCTGTCCCAGAAACTCCAGCGGGTGCAGAATGCTGCAGCGAGGCTCCTCACGGGGTCTCTGCCATGGGAGCATATTCACCCAGTGCTTTTCAAACTGCACTGGCTCCCGGTAGAGTACAGGGTCAGATTTAAGGTGCTGCTTTTGACCTTTAAAGCCCTTCACGGCCTAGGACCCTCGTACCTACGAGACCGCCTCTCCCGGTATGCCCCACGGAGAGCCTCAAGGTCCATAAATAGCAACACCCCAGTGGTCCCGGGCCCTAAGGAAGTTAGATTGGCTTCAACCAGAGCCAGGGCCTTTTCAACTCTGGCTCCGGCCTGGTGGAACGCTCTGCCTCATGAGACCAGGGCCCTGCAGGATCTGATTTCTTTCCGCAGGGCCTGTAAGACAGAGTTGTTCCACCTGGCCTTTGGCTTGGAGCCAATTTGATTCCCTCCCTCTCTTTCTTTCTTTCCTTCTCCTGCGTTGAGGCTACATTTTATTTTAATGTTGTAATATTTTAATGTTGTATTTTAATTTTGTTTTTAAGTTGTAATCATTCAACTTGTTTTTATTATTGCTTGTAAGCCGCTCTGAGCCCGGCCTTGGCTGGGGAGGGCGGGGTATAAATAAAAAATTATTATTATTATTATTATTATTATTAATAGATGGCAGTTCTTTATACTATACATAATTCACTTACAGAATTTGCTACTACAAGATGAGGTGATGGTAACCGCCTGAGATGGTTTTGAAAAAGATAAGAAAAAATCCAAAGGGATACTTCTAAGAGCATGTATTAATAATGGTGCCTAAATGGAAACCTCATGTTTTAAAACAGTGTATCTCTGAATAGTCGTCACAAACAGGCAAATGTCAGGAGAGGGTTTTCTCAGCATGCTATCTCGCTGGGTGTTCCAGAGTCTTTGCCACTGTTGGAAATAGGGTGCTGGATTGGTGGACCTTGAAATAATCCAGCTCATTTGGTTTCCTTCCACACTTTTATAGATAAATAAGGTAGAATGACCAACAAAATATTCACTGTCGATATTCTTACAAAGTTGTTGATATAACAACAGCTCCCAAAATATATTTAGTTTGATGAAATTATGATGTAGGCATTCTCATTATCCAAAGTACAGTCTAGATAATTAATGTGATTTCCAGTTACATCTTCAAATCAGTTAAAAAGATGTGGTGATTTTACAAATAATAATGTTTGATATGATCATGTGAGACTCGGTGGTTTTAAACTAATTACTGCTAACTTCACCCTTAAGAACAGGATGCTTGAAATAAAACAAAGCAAGCACAAGAACATCAATGAACAGAACTGTTTTCTGGAAAATTGTGTGGCTAAGGTGTTTCTTACCAAAAATTCTGCAGGTGTAATAATTACTTGATTGCTGTTTTGGCCACCACTGTTCGGGGGGGAAAAGATGGAATGTGCTTGTTAATGGAAAAATGCCCCTAGAAAACATGCAAAGTTTCTGCATCTCTGTTATGTGCTCAGTGGGACACTCACCCACAGTATTCCCACCACCCAAGGTTTTGATATTTTTCCTTTTCATGCTGAAATAGAGTTGAAATGAGATGGAAATGGAGCCCAATGGGAAGCCTTTACTTTTAAGCACCATTCACTCTCCTATAGAGCTACGACAATATCCTTCCTCCTACAACTTCTGTACTGCGTTCAACAGTCGTGAGAATTTCTCAGTTTCAAGTGTACACAATGAACTTTTGGGAACTGTATATAAATATAACTTAAATATTGGGAGAGCTTTGGTTTCAGCTGTGCTCAATAATAAAACATAGGAAATGTTATTTAGTGAAAAGGATCATCTTATGGATTTTTTTAAGTATAAAGAAATATATTTTAAAAGGGCAAGTTCCCAAACACGAGCACTTTTGAAGTGACAGAAAACAGTACTCACTGAAAATAATCTATTCTCATTTGTGAACACAATTGTTAATGCCACTCTAGTTGCATCCTTGAAAATAACACAGAACAGAAAGGAACAGAAAGAGTGGAAATGATTTTTCCGTTTCCGGGCAACTATTGTAGTGTAGGAGTTCCTTATCAGGAATTCAGCAGATGAAATTAGTTTTTAAAACCTTTTTTATAAAAGGGCAAGCTCTCAAACATCAGGGGTTTCAAAGAGCTATGGAAATAAAACTTCTTTAAAGAAATCAATACACATTTGTTAATCCAATTCTGTCATAAATCTTAATGCCTAAATTATGCCCATGTACCATTAGACTGATGACTCCTCTGTGAGCTTTTGGAAGGGTAAATAATCATATCTTAAAAGCAAGTTTTGCCACAACAGTTAACAGCAAATTCATTTCACACCTGTTGACCTTTGATAAAATAATTCTCAGTGAAACTATCTTTGTTTGTTTGTTTTTATATTATGTATTTATTAAATCTATATACTGTCCTTAATTACGTGATCAGAGGGCGGTTTACAACACAAAAACACAAAATGAAGACACAAGCATTTATTTATTTATTTATTTATTAAATTTAATATTTCTTCTTCTGTTGAGACTGCTATTTAAAGATGGATCCAACTTAACTAAATGAGGAGTGCTTAACAATATTGGGGAGGCAGTTTTAGGTACAATGGGTACAGATTCAAGGCTCTGCCACATATATCTAATGGTACAAAAGAAATGAGACTAAAATATTTATTTTTTAAAAATCATGTATAAAGAATTGTGCAAAAAGATCAGGATAATGGGATTAAGAAAGCCAATTCATTTAGCCCTACAAAGAAGGTGTTCTGAGAAATCCATAGAGGTGAGGGAGTTCAGACAGTTTATATTTTCCCCCTCCTTTTCCTTCATGTATTTCTCACCCATTGGGTAAGGGAACACGGGGAAGTTGGCCTCAGCATGGATTTGAGGGTATGGGTGCTTTCTTACCCTCCTTCAACCCTGAGACCATCGTGTAGCTGGTCTTTGGCTCAAGGGATGAAAATAGCAAAGCATACCCTGAATCCAAGGTGCTATAGATGTATTCAGGAATAAAGGGTAGTGCTTTAGCAAGTTCTGCTCATTTAACCCCATATCAATTATGGGGACTTTTGTAAGACTGAAGAGAGGCAAATAGGAGACACTATTTCTTTCTCTTAGAAAAGAAATCTTTATTGAATTTAATTTCAGTTAACATTCCTTATTCACTTCTGAAGCAAAGCAGAAGGCTGCAATAATACTTATGGAAAACAGAAGGACAGATGTTGTGAGAGGCTTGTGCCCTTTCCCTTTGCTTATTTAACTGCCACTGCAGCTGACTTCTATGGAAGTGTGTACACGACTGTTACTGTTCCCTTTTCATTGATGGTATGGGATCATGTGCATGGGGCTTCTCTCTTTTTGGCTTGCTTTATATCTTTTCTCCAATATTAGGACAATACTCACACCACCACTCATATATTACAAGATATTCTGTTCATGGGGGCGGAGGACACAAAGTCTCTCTCAAGAGTACCCCTCACCAGCCCTCTTTTTTAACTGCTTTCCCTTTTAAACTTATGTAACTGAATCCTATAGGTTCATCCACCCACTCATTTCATTTTTGCACTCAGCATTATGATACTGCACTGCATGTATGATGGATACAATAAATTCAATATGTGGATGAAGTTTCTCAGTTTATAAAATGGAAGCAGATGAATGAAATGTGTGTTCAATGTAACTGAATTCTGTGCTGAGTTTCAGTGAGGATCATTTTGGAATAGTAATGAATAGCCATGATGTGCTGATTTTGAGCATGCTAAAACAACTTTTGAATCTTAAATGGTATCCAGATTTTTATTGAACAAGCTAGTATGTCCAGTTGTTTAAAAGAGGATTCTTGAATAAAAAAATCAATGTATCAAACTATTATTTCAGTTTACCTTTATAGGAGTGGGAACAATCAGTAATATCTTCCCTCTTTCTGTGATTTATGTACAAAGAAATCAAAGTCAGATGGTATTTTCAGCTCATTGAAATGATGTAATTTCCAATGATACTTTTAATATCCCAGTGCCCGGTCCCCTTGGACAGTGATTTTGACACTAAGGTGTCCTCTCCAAATGCAGGTCAACAGGGCTCTGACTTAGGGCTCACATATGACAGTCTGAGGGACAGCACACACCACACAGAAGAGGATTTGATATCAGGCTGTGCCTTTGAGGCCAGGGGTTCAAATTACTAAAGTTAAGTATAACCTTAAGCAGTCCCACAACCACAGTAAGTGCCAGGTGGCCTTCACTCCCATAGAAATGCAGAGAAGAGGGAGAAAAAACACCTAGAGGCCACAAAAGGAGACAGTGCATAAGAACATAAGAAGAACTTGCTTGATCAGACCAATGGCCAATATGGGGAGCCATATACAGCTCTAAGCCAAGCACAGCAGGCACATGTCTCTAAAGTAGGGTTCTGACCTTTAGCATTCTTACCAGCTTTTTACAGAGGCAGGCGTAGCCTGAAGGTACATTAGGAATTGGTAGATCTCAGAGTGATGTGGAGTACACCAGAAAGGGTCTCGAAGTACTAATTGTTTAGCAAAAGGCTCTCACTCTCCAAAATAAGACTGCTGAAATAAAGAAAGATAGTGGGTATGAGTCAGGAGCTAACATGAGAAAACTGAGCTCCAACCCGGGACTTAAAGCAAATTATTGGGCTAAGTCTGTGCTCAGAAGCAGCCTGTTCCTAACTTCTGTGTATATCTACATCCTGAGATATGATTTTGCACCTGGCTCTAGTTGGTGGTCCTTAGGATCTAGTAAAAAAACAAAATGGATCCTGCAGGCCTGACATCTGCCTCAGTAGCCTTTGCTCTCAGTTAAATTCAGATTATTGTCTAAGCAACCTGTCTTGGTTGCTAAATTTGCTGGGAGCTCTCCCAGGTCCTGAAAGACTCAACCTCAACCTGCTGTTTGAATTCTGACTTCTGAGATCTTACATCTGTTGCTTTCTACCAGGTCTCTGGAGTGAGATGATTCATGCTCCAGCAGGAACTGCTCCACAGGCTCTCAGTCTAGCTAATCCAAGCCAGGATTATGACTAGCATCTATATTTCTGACCAGTTCTTACTTTTCTAACTGAATATATCAAGTTCATATTTATTGCTTTGTAAGGTAAAGGTAAAGGTAAAGGACCCCTGGACAGTTAAATCCAGTCAAAGGCGACTGACTCTGGGGTGCAGTGCTTATCACGCTTCAGGCCAGGGGAGCTGGTGTTTGTCCACAGACAGCTTTCCAGGTCATGTGGCCAGCATGACTAAACCGCTTCTGGCGCAGTGGAACACTGTGACGGAAGTCAGAGTGCACGGAAATGCCGATTGCTATGTAGACTAGAAGTGTCAACCAGTTATCTGTGTAAACCTAGCAGACACATATGCCATTTAAAATGTAGTTAGCCTTCAGGTAGTGAGTGATAGGTTCCTTTTGTGTCAACAAAAGATGCAAATCCATCAAATGAGAAACATTTTGCATGATATACTAATTAAGGTAGATATTACCTTCATTGGAACAGAAAGCATATGGTATTGGTGCCAAAATTTTGCAAAGATGTAAACATAGTTCTTAAATCAATTAAGGTCATCATACTGCTTTATAATTATCTCAACATGCCCTTCATCTGATGGATTAAGAAAATCCCTAAGAAGAAAATCACAGACTTTTGCTTGAACACTGAGTATCTTTATCAGTATTTGCTACTATTACTAATGAATCTTTTTTGTAAACTGAGGGTGTTTATTGTGGTATTTTTTGTTTTACAACAAAGCAATGTATAAACTTAATGAAATAACTATATAATGAATGGGATTGTTAACATTCCCATTAACCACTATTTTATATCAATTTGGCGCTGTGGTGTAAACCACAGAGCCTAGGGCTTGCTGATCAGAAGGTCAGTGGTTCGAATCCCTGCGACAGGGTTGCTCGGTCCCAGCTCCTGTCAACCTAGCAGTTCGAAAGCATGTCAAAGTGCAAGTAGATAAATAGGGACCGCTTCGGCGGGAAGGTAAACAGCGTTTCCGTGCACTGCCCTGGTTCGCCAGAAGTGGCTTTGTCATGCTGGCCACATGACCCGGAAGCTGTACGCCGGCTCCCTCGGCCAGTAAAGCGAGATGAGCGCCGCAACCCCAGAGTCTTCCGCGACTGGACCTAACGGAGAGGGGTCCCTTTACCCTTTATTTTTAATTCAGCTGTGAATGTGTGTGTGTGTGAGAGAGAGCACGCAAAAGGACCAACAAATTAGCTCCCAAATTTGGTTTATTATTACTGTCTTTTTCTGCTTTATTAGTTTGTTGTGTCTGTCAGGTGAATATAAAATACAGGTGAAGACAAACATATGATTTTAAATGTTGGAAGAGAGGTTTGAACACAAATCACTAAAATGCAGAGAATGTGTGTTGGGACCACTTTCACTTTCAAATGTTTGGTGTACATAGGAGTAAAAGTGCAGAAAGAATAAAGAAATGACAAAATGAAAGGGAGAAGCAAAAGGGAAGGGATGGTAAGGAAATCTAATAAGAGACTTGAAGAAGAATGTTGCTGGAGGGCATTTGATGCAAAACAAGCTATGAGTAAGCAGCCACCAAGCATGGGGGAGGGGGGGAATCAGTCAACATCCTGAGCTTTAATAAGTGAATATAGTGGTACCTCGGGTTAAATACTTAATTCGTTCCAGAGGTCCGTACCTAACCTGAGACTGTTCTTAACCTGAAGCACCACTTTAGCTAATGGGGCCTCCTGCTGCTGCTGCGCTGCCGGAGCACAATTTCTGCTCTCATCCTGAAGCAAAGTTCTTAACCTGAAGCAATATTTCTGGGTTAACGGAGTCTGTAACCTGAAGCGTATGTAACCTGAGGTACCACTGTACAGAACTGTACTTAGCTCAGCACCTTCATTCCTATTTATTCTTATAATGGTGCTATGGCTCCTTCTGATAGCCCTGCTACTGTCATGGTAATGCCATTACATATTCATCCTAAAACTTTTGCTCTTTTGGGCTTTCTACAGGTGAAAGACAACATAAATGAAGTGTAGACAACGCAGTTCAAGTTCTGTGGAGCTCTCTTGTTATAGAAGCTTCCATTGCTTGCTTTTTGGAGTCAAGCTAAAACATTTTTAATATCCTGATGAAGTAAAATGTTATTTGACCTTGACATAATAAATTGTGAATTTCATTTTATTATGCATTGTCTTCAATCTTTTTATGTGTATTAATTGTTGTACGCCTCACTGTTCTTTTATAATGGGCTATAAATGTTTAGTACAAATATATATATACTAATGAAAACTGGTCCAGAAATGAGTTTTCAGAAGACAGAGGAAAAGACAGAGAAAACGAGACATATTCAAAATAAGGAAAAAAAAACAGATTAAAGAGAATCTGGATTTTTAAAAAGGTAACAATGAAAATGAGCTGATAGGAAGCATTAACTACAGCCAGCCATAGTACTGGCACACTGAGTACCTGCTTCATCTGAATATCTCTGTATCTCTGCCAACTTACACTCTTCTTGACCTGAAGCCACCCCTTTAATTCTAACACTGGAACACTTTCGTGACTAAGCAGCCTGCTAATTGGAATTAAGTGGCACAGGAAAATGGGCACAGGGATAACATTTTCAGTCTGCAATTTGTCTTACAAGTCATAGAAATGTTAACTTATCTACCTCTAGGGTGGCTCATTATTATTCTTTATTAATTTGTTAGTTGTCTAATACTGACAGTCTCTATGAGCCATAGAACAAATCTAAAACATGCAAAACACACAAATAGCATGATAACATTAAAAAGCACACCAGCCTCTAAAAAGAAAAATAAGTATTCTCAACAATTCTTATATATATGATTGAAATCCCCTCCGTCAATTTTGTTGAGCTAACATAAATTCATTTTAAACCCTCCAGGTATCAGTCATACATTCTGATGACAAGGTGGGCAAAAAATAGGTTCAGCAGCAACCAAACGTTGGCAGAAGGTAGCTTGTTGTTAGTTTCTGGTAGACCCCAGCACCTGCTGGTTGTTGGGATTCTTCCAAATAACGGTGGAGTAAATCTGGCAATTTCCCCCCCTTAATATAAGTACTGCCTACTTGTATAATATAACATAGATTAACTTTGCCTTAATTGTAAACAGCACTCAAACACCCACTCTTGCTTTGTGTAAATAAAGGCTTATATTCCACCTTTCCACTATTTAGGTATTCAGTTCTGCATTGAATTTAATGAAATAAGGTTGTGAATCCCAGGAAATGCACCTATACTTGTACAGTGCCGTGCAGATTAATGACACTAACAAAAGACCACAGAGGACAAACACCAACCCACCATCTTTGTACAGCCTCTGGCACATTTCTCTCATGTTATAGAAGCTTACATTGAATTAGATGGGATTTAAATTGGTCATCAATTTTTCATTTTACACAGCAAGGATTCTGGGATGAAGCAGCAACGGCTCTGCCCTAAATAAAGACTGGCTTGTAACCCAGATCTTAAATGGGATTAAAGTTAGTTGTAACAAATTTACATCATGACTGATTTTAGTCCTATTGAATTTCTTGGGCCGCAACCCTAACCCTACTTATCTGGGAGTTAGTGCCATTGAGTTCCATAGGACTTACTTCTGAATAAGCCATGGTGTAAGTCTATACAGTCATACCTCGGGTTACAGACGCTTCAGGTTGCGTCTTTTTAGGTTACGGACCGCCAAAACCCAGAAGTACCAGAACGGGTTACTTCCGGGTTTCGGCGGTAGCGCATGCGCAGAAACGCCAAATCGCAACCCGCGCGTGCGCAGACACGGGTTGCAAACGCTGTGGGTTGCAAACGTGCATCCCACATGGATCACATTCGCAACCCAAGCGTCCACTGTATTTGAAAGTAATATGAAGGCATATATGTATCTGAATGTACAATTTCTGCACCCCTGTATATGTTCCTGTAGCTCAGGATAACATTTCATGCACTTGAAGACTTATTTATTTATTGCATTTATATCCTGCCCTTTTCTCCAGGCAGCTCACGTACATGGTTCTCCCGAATGATCACGTAATTCCCACAACAACCCTATGAGGTAGGTGAGGCTGGAAAGCAATGGTTGGCCCAACGTCACCCAGTGAGCTTCAAAGCCGAGTGGTGATATAAGGCCAAGTTCTCCCAGGTCCTAGTGCGACACTCTAACCACTACACCACCAAAACATATGGTGTAAGAAATCTGTTAAGTCTTCATGCAGAGGCAAATTTAGGGGGCTGTGACCGGTTTGGTTGCACTTGGTGCAAAGCCTTGTGGGCTATGATTTACAATGGAGCATGAGAGGCATAGGGTGCCACTGAAATCTAACACATCAAGACCCGCCACTGCTTTGCGGTTGCCACAAGTGCCCTTGCTCCGCTCAGGGTCGGCCCAAGACATTTTGGCACCTGAGGCAGACCTCGAAATGGCGCTCTTCTCCCCACCCAGGAAGACTGAGCAGTAGCAAACTTTGGGCTCTCAAATTTCAACAGCACCCTGTGTGGCACTAAAATTTGGCACCCACCCACCCACCTCTGGCGCTCTGCTCTACATCATTGTTGTAGATCCTCTCTGGCACCCAGTACAGCCAAACCGGTTGTGCTACCCGGTGGAGCCCATGGGTGCAGCCAGGATTTTTTGGGGGGGAGGCTTTTTTATGGGGGTCAGAACCTCAGATTTGTATTGCTTTGGGGGGGCAGTTGACCCCCCCCAGTTACGCACATGCTCTGGAGTACGGGAATATCTACATCAGAAACAAGGCAGGGTGGTAGTGGAGAGAGACAGATCGACATGGGGATCTGCTGCTCGGGTGGATCCCGCTACCTGAGGCAGTCGCCTCACCTTGCCGGCCCTGGCTCCACTTGCGACGCTGAACTAATGCAGCAACCCCCTCAGGAAGCTGGATGCGCGCGACGCTCCTTAGATAGACTGCCTCAAGCGCGTCTCTTTTCACATAAGGCCTTTTTATCCGGCGACGCCCGCGGCGGGTGAGGCAGGGAAACAACACCCAAGCACCCCACCTCCTCCTTCACACCCACGCCCGGCCTCCGAGAGGCTGAACAGCGAGGCTTGGCTCGCGTTGGGAGGCTGCAGCAGCAGCAGCGGCGGGTAGCGGCGTCGGCGGCCTCGCCGCGCGGTTTGACTGACAGCGGGAGAATGTGGGACGACCGTTGGTCCGCGAGATGGTGTCAACTGCCGCGCCGCGCGCCGGCAGAAACAGAAGACGAAGAAAAAGCCACCGCCGCACTTTCGAATCTGGGCGCGCGGAGCTGGGAGGGAGGAGGAGTTGGAGGGGGGGAGGAGGAGTCACGCGCAGGTCCACAGCCCTGGCACGCTCCGCTCTGTTTAACAGCCCCCCCTCCCTCCTCCTGCCGCTGCCTCCTCCTTCCCCCCCCCACCCTCGGGCGCTTCCCTTCCCCTTCGCCGCTGTTCCTTCCCGGCTCTACCCGACAGCGTGTGCCTCCTACGTGCGTTCCACTTGGTACGGCCCACCTGGAAGATCATGGCGATTGATGGTAAGTAGGCCAATAACGGGCTCCTCTCCTCTCGAATAACCCCCCCCTCTTCCCCCTACCTGGGCAGCGGGCGCGGGGAGCGAGGGGGAGGGGCGAGCAACGGCGCTGTGGTGCCGGTGGGTGGTGGTCGGGGGGGGGGGGGGGAGGCGCGCGCGGGCTGCTTGCCCCTGAGGAGAGGCGGCGGAATAAACAAACGCATAAATTAAAAGAATGAGAATTTTAAAAAACAAAACCCAAACCAGGGTGGCGGGCGTGGGGGGATGATGATGAGTGGTCTTTTCCCAAAGTGAGCGGCGGGGGTGAAGGGGCGCTCGGGGCGGCTCTTCCCCTGCCCTGTGGTGCCAGGCGCTGCCTCAGGTCGACCCGCGGCAGCGGCGGCCGTTTGTTCCCCGTGGAGTCGAGGCATTTTTTGTGGGCGCCGAAGACGAGAGGCAGCCGCCTCCGCAAACCCACGCCGATATAATGGTGGGGGTCCTGTATAGTCTGTTTACATGGTGTAGGTGGCTGACTCTTCGCTGACGTGTAAAAATTGTCCCCCTCAGGAATAGTAGTTGCCACACCGTTATTGACCCGTTTTACTTAGAAGTTCTGTCTGCTTTAGCCCCCCCCCCGCCCTGTGCCACAGGCAGCAGCAGCTCCTGGAAGGCGAAAAGGTGCCTCAAGAAGAAGTGGGGCGGAAGAAACCCGCTTTCTTTTTCTCACTTCGCCAAACGCCTTCTGGCAAGCCTTTAATAAGTGCCTGAAAGAAATAAAACCAGCCTCGCAAAGGCTGCCGTCACGCAGCTGGGTTTCCGGGGGGCTGCAAACAAGCAGGGTTCAACGTCCCACCCTTTCCCGCCGCCTGACCCATCTCCTAGAGATGCTGCCCTCAACCCTGGATACAGCTGGTTGCGTGGAGTGTTTCCAAGTCTGTTGCGCTTTCTGCATCATTTGAATAAGAGGAGGAGGTAAATATATATATATATATATACATATACATATACATATACATATACATATACATACATATACATATGATGCAGAAAGAGCAACAGACTTGGGTAGACTTCAGGCGGACTTTTTAATCAGCTGCTTCACAACTAAAAGTCTGCAAACAAAAAAGAGAGAGGGAGAGAGGAGCTTCTCTTTCCCCACTTCCCAAGGAAGGCAGTCATTGGTCTTTCTGAACTCCATTCTTTTCAAATATACATTTTAAATTTTGTAGAGTGTGGGAGTATTCAGTGCATTTGGTTGACACTGCAGGAAGTTGGGGGGGGGAATTCATTGCCGCTGATGAGATGGAAAATGTTCTTATTAATATCATGTTCAATTCTTAGAGATAGGTACAGATTTAACACTGCTAATGTCCGTTTACTTGTACTCTGTACATAAAACTAAAGTTTGTCTGAAAATCTTGTCTTCTTTTCCCGTTTTCCTTACTTCTATTCTTTGAGAATAGTTGGTTTCATGCATTTGACATGCACATTTATCTAGTTTGTGTATTGGCAGTCTGATCCAATGCATGCTTCCTTGAAAATAAGTCACAGTTGCTTCAGCAAGTTTTGTTGTTGTTGTTTAGTAGTTTAGTCGTGTCCGACTCTTCGTGACCCCATGGACCAGAGCACGCCAGGCACTCCTGTCTTTCACTGCCTCCCGCAGTTTGGCCAAACTCATGCTGGTAGCTTCAAGAACACTGTCATTATGCATAGGATCTTAGTCTGAATCAGTCCTTTCCCATGTAAGGTATATAAATGCAGACAATTATGGCAGTAAAATAATCCATATGTCATCATTTATGGCAAGATTTGTTCCCTTTAAGCTTTAAGCATTGCAAGTGGGCATAGAAGGTGTGATTATGTTCTTGGAAGTGCACATTGGGAAACAATATTTCACAGTTACTCAGTTGAATTACATACTAAGGTGGAATCTACACAAATATAAAAAAGCTGTGAAAATGCTGTTTTAAAAAACGTTTTGAAAAATACATTGAATTTTGCATAGCTCAGTGTCGTCATCTAGTATTACATTTGTATATTGTACCTTACACTTCATTTAAAACATGTTATTTGCATCTGAATGGACAGAGTAATTTTCTACCTAGCCAACTAGCTTGTGTCTGTTTTATAATCTTGAAAAGTGTGTAACAACACATGACATTAATAGAGTAGTGCAGTCTTTGTTGATCATTTCCAACTATGCTGTCTGGTGTTTTGGCCTGTCTTAGAAGACAGTTATTTGTCTTGATCAAATTAATTAGTAGTCATTGCCATCTTTATTATCCTTGTTTGTTTATCTTGTAGACATTGATTTTCTTTTTTTAAGAAAAAATGAGGGAGATTATCATGCAAATATCTGAATATGTCTTATATCTGAAACTGTTTTAATTATTTTTCCAGTTCACCACATTTAATAACAAGAGAACACATATATTATCTGTTAAATTTATATCCTGCATCTTCTTCCAGAGGTGCCTAACACTTAATATTATTGGGTGTTTTGTTGTTGCTTTTTATTGATATACATCTTGCCTTCATAAAAGTGCACTTTTCAGAGCCAGTTACTAAAGATAGGATATTTGTTAAAACTCCTAAATGGAAAATGCATTCTTAAAGTGTAATGGTAGTGAATGGTTCTAGATGTTAATTTTGTTACGTAGAATACAAGAGAAATATCAGTGATGGGCCCTTCTGAGTCCCTGAGCCCAACCATTCTATGCCTGAACTGAGACTTAAGAGTTCCTCTTGGCACTTTTTCTCCTGTTTTCATGGTACAGTAGCCTCTGCAGGTGGAGCAGTGGTTGTTACTATGGTCCGTCAATTCAAAACATGGATTGCGATTCTGCTTTACAAAATATGGTTCATCATTTTGGACATCATGTCAAACTATAGTTAAGCTTTTTAAAGTGTTGTTTGCCAGATGATGCTGGGATACATTCCTAACACGGGATGGTAACTCCTTCATTGTGGAATAGGCAGGGTCCTTGTAAGTCTTCTGCCTCTCCCTTGTAGGGAGGAGCCATCCTGCCCTCCAGACCAGAGCTTTGATTAGGTTGGGTCTGGCCTAAGCTCTGAAGAGTTCTGTCAGAAATACTTTCAAGTTGCTATGGGTGTTTCGGGGTTTGTCTTTCCTTTCACCTTCTGTTGCTTCTAAATCTTTTTCTCTGGTGTTCTGTCTCCATGTTGCTTTCTGTTTTATTGTCACTATTTGCTGGTTGAAATCTCATTTTTTCTTGTTTTTCACTTCATCCCCCCCCCCCCCTATCTTTGGAGGGCGAGTTACACATAGTTTTCATTGAGGGATATGTTTTGTTAGCCCTGGGGTTGCTGTTACCTGCCAAGCAATTGCTGTGATGTGAGTGCCTTCAGGCACAGAGCTTTTGCAGGTCTTCCTTCCAAAGTTATTGGAAAGGCATTTTGTTTGTGGCTCTTGTGCTATCTCCCTTACAATCCAAAAGGATGCAGTTGGTCCAGTGAGAGCAAGTCCCACACCCTCTATAACCCAGCACAATTGCCTGGGTCAATACTGCTTTTAGCAGCATAATATTGCTACTTAACCTTGGTGTGGTTTTGTAATTATGCTTGTCATAATCCAGAGCAATAAAAAAAAAGGTCCTTGGTGCAAATTTGATTGAATAGTAGTGGAAATAGTGAGATACTGTAAATATAACTACCCCAGTCTCTGAAATTCAGAAATTCAGAAGTATATGCTGTAGGTTCGTTCACCATACATGGATGAAGGGATTTACTTTACATACAGTGAAAAAACTTTCTTACACAATTTCTTGAAATATTGTTGAATCTCTGGCTGCTAAAGACTTAATGAATAAACCTGACTGGTGGGACTGAGGATCACATTTTGTAGTAATTATATAGTATAATATTGTTGCATGCCACCCCAGTCTCCAAGCTGTGCAATATTCCAGGGGTTCTGGGCACTTTCCCAGGGTTTATGTTTCCTTTTGGAAATGAGGCACAGTGGAGACTGTGGTGTCTTTATGATATATGGTTCATTTACACATACAGCGGTACCTTGGTTTGCATACGTTTTGGATTACAAACATGTCAAATCCGTAAGTGCGTGTCCCAGTTTGCAACCTTTTTTTTGGATTACAACCCATCTTTTTGGATTACGAACAAATTTTGGAGGCCCCATTGGCGAAAGCACGCCTTGGGTTACAACCTGTTTTGGTTTACAAACGGACCTCTGGCACAGATTATGGTTGTAAACCAAGGTACCACTGTATATACAACCCGAGCCTACAATGTAGGGGTTCCCAGCATTAATACCCCAAAAGGATCTTGTTTCTCCCATAGCCGCAGCCTTAGATTCAAATAGAAATCAAACATTGCTCTCAAATGTATCTCTGCCTATCTCTCCAGCTTGCTGCTTTATTTCTAGATCACATCACTGCCCTCTCAACTCTCTTCCAAACTCTGGCTTGTCTCTTGAGTGAGCCCCCCCCCCCATTTGCTATCTCACACCAAGCTCCTTAATCACCTCATCAGACATCTAACTTGGCTTGGTTAGTTTTTAACACTTGGTGGATCCAGGGATTAGAAGGTTCTGGCACATATCTCAACACCACAAACTCCTAGCAATATAGTCTTGCACAGGTATTACAGGTATCCACAAATCTGCTTGCCAGGGACGAGTACACACAGCAGCCCAAAGGCTCGTTTTCCATTGCAATTTTTAAACAGGTAAGAAATAGCAGCAGTCCCTTCCCATCAGCATAAGAAAGACTGCTGCTGTTTCTTATCTTACCCATATGCTGCCAAAATGTGAGATGACCCTGCATCTCAAGAAATGGGAAGTGACTGGTGACAGGCACTAGTAAGCCTGGCTAGTAAGCCAAGCCAACATTTTTGGACACTTAAGTATTGTAAATGTACAGATGGCTTTTGATTGGGTTACTTGCTCTGGGGAACAACTCATTTTCATTAGCTTGAAATTTCATTCTGTCCAGTAAAGTACTCTGTATAACTTCAAAGCTTACATACTTAAGTACCAAGGTAAATTGCTCCAATATGAGTTATAATTATAATTTGGATATTTTGAATCTACTGTTGTCTATAGAGGATAGAATAAGAAACTAATAACCCCCATTTGATACTGTAAGTAAGTTTGAAGGTCTTTCAAATAATTAAAAATACCATTGGATGATTATTAAGCCGGCCTAAGATAAGTTTATGAATACTGAAATATATTGTATCGTTTCCCCACTTAACTCTCTTTCTATGGACAGGTGGTGAAAGACCCTGTGGCGTACATGAACTAATTTGCATTAGAAAAGGTAAGCAACTTCTTTGAATACTTTTAATTATGTAAACATTTTTTTAAATAGGGGAACAGCCTAGAAGAGTTAAGGAAAGAGCAATCCAGACCTTTATGTTCAGCTCTCCTCAGCTCAGCTGGTCTCCCACTGGCTGCTGAATGTCCCCACCAGTGGGGGCAGCACACAGCCCTGGAATGGGGCATTCCAAGGTTGTGAAGAGGCTGATGTTGAGCTGGCTCAAGATCTGCTGCCTCACAACTGTTGTATGTCAGCATTGGAGCTAGCCATTGTGCTAGCTGGTAGGTGGCATAGCAATCAGGTCTGAATTGGGCCCAATTGTCCTGTCTCCTACTCTGCTGTTACTGCCATGAGTGTTAGGACTATGGATGCAGTGGTTGTTCCTTTACTCTGCAATCAGATTTCCAGGAAGTTGCTTCAAATTCAATCTAGTTGTGCTTAAGAATCATTTCTATATTTTTGCATGTAGTAAAGCCTATTTCAGGCCAACTATTCTTCTGCTGTCTTCATGTGAGAAATGCTTGCTACAGTGCAATTTGTATAGCCACTGTAGTGTAGTGGACAGAATCTTAGATTTGGCCTGGGAAGACCTTGGTTCAAATCTCCTTCAGCGTGAAGTGCTGCTGGCAAAAATTTGGGTGAAAGATGACTGGTGGGCCATTTCAAAAGAATTGAAAGGCAAGACCTGGTCCAGAGATGGACAGTTTGTCACACCTCTCTTTAAGGAAGGACATAATACAAATGTGATAGAATAATAAAATAATTGATTTACGAATTGTAGGGTCATCTAGTCCAACCCCCTGCAATGCAGGAATCTCAATGAATAAATGGAACCTTAATTAAACTCTTTTAAGCATGCCAAAGCACTAAAGTTGTCCAGTGGAAATTATTTTATTCTTTTCTTCTTCTTGCATGGCAAACTCCCATTCAGTATCACAATCTGCATTTGAAATTTTCAGTTTCAAAAGAGGCTTGCAATGCAGCATGGAAAATTGCTGTTCCAGAAACACAAGTCAAAAGTTTATTTTACTGCATAGCCACAGTTGTATGGTTCTTTGGATCCAGGCTGTAGGCTATATGTGTCAAATCTTAATTGTACTGAAAGTTATTTATTTTACTTATATAATTCATTTATAGACCGCTTACTGTCAGTAGATCTCAAAGTGGTTTACATTTAAAAAGTCCAAGTACATATGTATTCAGTAAGTCCATTCTCCTTTCAAGTTTAAATTAAAGTACTTGGAAAATATAACCTATTCAAAATACATGATTGATTTTGGTGTAATACATTTTACAGCTAACAATTTGAATATAAGTCTGGCATATCAATAAGAGCAGCATAGTAACATCCCTTAAATGCCTGAATAAATACAGGTTTATCTCAGCACCAAAGTGCTATGTCAGAGTAGTATCAGACAAACATGGAATCATCACAAAACTTTGCAAAGAGGAATTTATTAGGAGTGAACCCTTCCTTATATACCTTGGCTGCTAATTAATTTACACCATGATACTATTTGTGGGTAAGGGACGCGGGTGGTGCTGTGGGTAAAACCTCAGCGCCTAGGACTTGCCGATCGCATGGTCGGCGGTTCGAATCCCCGCGGCGGGGTAAGCTCCCGTCGTTCGGTCCCAGCTCCTGCCCACCTAGCAGTTCGAAAGCACCCTTAAGTGCAAGTAGATAAATAGGTACCGCTTTATAGCGGGAAGGTAAACGGCGTTTCCGTGTGCTGCTCTGGTGCCGGTTCGCCAGAGCAGCTTCGTCACGCTGGCCATGTGACCCGGAAGTGTCTGCGGACAGCGCTGGCTCCTGGCCTCTAGAGTGAGATGAGCGCACAACCCTAGAGTCTGTCAAGACTGGCCCGTACGGGCAGGGGTACCTTTACCTTACTATTTGTGGGCCACAAGCATTCAGATGGCATCTTATGCCTATCTCATGTTCAGGCCTTTTAGTTTTCTGTTTTTCTTAGCAACAGAATTGTGCTTATGGGGGCTGTTTTGCAAAATGTTTTGTAGAGATAACCCAATGCTCCACCTCACTGGAAACATTGTTCCTTTTGTTGGTCTATCACCACCTCTGACACTTGAAAGGGGTAAAGCTAATCTGCAAAGAGGCCTAAATTCCAATAACCTGTAGGATATAGAGAGAGTTTTGAAACTATTCCAGACACTCCTGCCCCTGTTTAAATAATTAAGACTGAATGGATGTGAGGAAACATATTTTTATCATTGTTGTAAGTTGCCTTGAGCATTGAGAATAGGAAGTAAAATGGTTAAATAAATATTTTAAGCATTAGCAAAATAACTTTGTCATCACCAGTTTGTTTTTTAGAAGGTATGAAACTAGATACGTTTTTTTCCTTTAGTCTGTTATTATCGTAATGCTTGTGTTTTGAAAGCCATTTACTAGCTCTTTAATAAATCAAGATTATATAACCCAATGAAACTAGATAGGTACTTGGCTATGGTAGATTGAATTTCCATTGGTAACAATCAACTGAAATATTGTCTGGTGATTTCCAGCTTAAAAATGTTGCATAGTGTAGCTTTGTCCACTCATTTCCATATGACATATTGTTTATTAGACAACTCTTAAAGAAGTAGTAGTAGTAGTAGTAGAAGTAGTAGTAGTAATAATAATAATAATAATAATAATAATAATAATAATATTTCTATCCTGCCTATCTGACTGAGTTGCCCCAACCACTCTGGACAGATTCCAACATAGAATAAAAACACAACGGAACCAATTTTGTTATGTATTAATAGCAAAAATGCCATATCCTCCAAAGTATCTTAACAAATGAAAGTAGGGTCACACTTCTAACCTTTCATGTCTGTCATGTCCCTGTTTAAATGCCCTTAAAGCAAGCAAGCAAGCAAGCAAGCAAACAAACAAACCCCAAAACACAGTTGTAACCTTATGGCATAAACTGGGAATTGCTCTACCCACTTGAACATTTTGGTTACCCCCTTTTTAATCTCTCCCCGCCCGCCCCTAGTTCTACATAACTTTTTGAGATGGCATGCCCAGAACAATACAGTGGTACCTTGGTTCTCAAACTTAATCCGTTCCAGAAGTCCGTTCCAAAACCAAAGTGTTCCAAAACCAAGGTGCACTTTCCCATAGAAAGTAATGCAGAACGGAGTCACCTGTTCCAGACTTTTAAAAACAACCCCTGAAACAGCAATTTAACATGAATTTTACTATCTAATGAGACTATTGGTCCATAAAATGAAAACAATGTAAGGTAAAGGTAAAGGGACCCCTGACCATTAGGTACTGTCACAGACGACTCCGGGGTTGTGGTGCTCATTTCACTTTATTGGCCGAGGGAGCCGGCATACAGCTTCCAGGTTATGTAGCCAGCATGACTAAGCCGCTTCTGGCAAACCAGAGCAGCACACGGTATCAATGTGCTGTACTATAAAATAAATAAGACAGTATTGTAGATTATAAAAATTAAAATTATTTTTTCTCCTTACCTGCACTGATGATAGTCATTGTTTGGATGGGGGACTTTTATCCATTTCCACAGTCACACAATCAACCAATAAGTAGCTGAATTGGGTTCCACACAGTCACAAAAACAAATTAACCAAATAAGCCTCAAAAACGCAAAATAAATAGCAAAAACAAAAGCTCCAAACGTAATCTGCTCCGGAAGTCCGTTTGACTTCCAAAATGTTTGAAAACCAAGGCACAGCTTCTGATTGGTGCAGACGCCCTGGAAACAATAGCCAACAGCCGCTTCGGACGTTTTGCTTCCGAAAAACATTAGAAAACTGGAACACTTACTTCTGGGTTTTTGGCATTTGGGAACCAAGGCATTTGAGAAGCAAGGTACCACTGTACACAGTACTGTACTTCAAAGCATGGGCACACCATATATTTGTATTTTAATTATGTGATGATGGAAGTTTTATTTTAATAATAGCTATCATGGGATTTACTTTTTTCACAGCTGCAGCATCCTGGTCAATTGTTTTCATTGAGCTATCCACCACAACCTCAAGTTATTTGTTGGTCAGTCAATGTCAGCTCAGACTCCAAAGTTGCCTTGTAAAGTTAGGATTTTTTTTTACCATGAAATGTATCACTTTGCTGTTACTTACACTGAACACTTTATGTTACTTATTTAACAAGTCCCCCCCCCCCCGTTTAAACAACAAAAACCTCTTTTGTTTTTAGGTTTTACATAAAGCAATACAAAAATTCATTAAAACACCAATAAAAACAGTAGGCAAAGTAAAATGTATCAAAATATAAGTAAAAGTCTGTAGTTTTACAACAAATAGATGTAATAAAATTATATGTCTAGTAGGTTTACCTAAGCAAAAAAGTTTTTAGCAGTTACCAGAAACTACAGTGAGGTTTTCATCCTTAGATGGCACTTGTCAAAGTGCCAGCTTTGCAGATTGAAGCATTTGAGTGGGTAAGATCATTTCGCCTTTTTATTGCCCATTCAGCCAGTTAGGAGAGCTCTTTTTGGAGTTTTTTTTGCTTTTTTTACCATTCTGAATAATTTGGTGTCATCAGCAAACTACCATCTTATTGCTTATGCCTAGCTCCAGATAATTAATGAATAATTTAAAAAGTTCTTGTTCCAATACAGTTCCTTACCTCCCTCATTGTGAAAACCATCCATTTGTGCTCTGACCTCTTATCCACTAGCTTCTAAGTTTACTTTGGTGAAGGAATTAGTCAAACACTTTTTGAAAGCAGAAGGATAAAATGTTCTTGTTGTCACTGTCAAGGAACTCTGAACAGAATAGTGAGGCAGACTTATTTCTGCAGAAAGCACATGAGGTTATTCCAGCAAAACTTGTTCTTCTCAGCACTTGGTAATTTTATCTTTAACAATATTTTCAGTGTATTTAGAATATACTTTAAGCTAACAAGTGTGTAATTTTTTGGCGCCCCCACATCCTTTTAAAAAAAGTTATACTGGGCGCTTTCCAGTTCTCAAGTATGGAGATTGATTTTATTTCAAGATCAGCAATTTCACATTTGTGTTTTTAAGGAACTCGTGGATGGGATACCATTAGAATCTGCTAATTTTTTAAGTTGTCAAGGCTTTGAAAACTAGCAATACAATTTTAAATTACCTTCCAATCTAAAGGCACTAAATGTAAGGAATGTAGGACAGATACGATCTGATCACAGTTGCTTAGAGCAGTAAGTAACTATGCTATTCCGTTATGAACAATTTAGTGACAAAGCAGCATTACTGGAGGCCCATATAGGAGGAAATAGCAGAAACTGAGCTTTGTGACCACCAGGGACCATTGGGGCAAAACCACCACAGGACAAATAAAATCACAATTAGCACATCAATCTCAAACTTAGTATTCAAATTTGGAAGATGATGACGACCCACTTCCTTGATCTGAACTTGTCAATGCAAAAGAAATTGAGGACATTAATATTGTGCCCTTCAGACCCTCATATTGCACCCTTCATACATTCCCCACCAGTCTTCCCAGCAGGCCATATTCAGGATTTCTCCAGGTCAGAGAAAAAAGTACTATGATTCAAAGGGGTAAGAGATACATTATGGTTACCTATGGCACTCTTAAGTGTCTGCTACTGAATCACATGGGTGTAGAACAGCACATAGAGGAACACATTTAAATCTCTTTGGAACAACACGTAATTGTTCTTCATTAGTGATTCAATCTCATCTTGTGGATATAAATTTTGTAGGTATATTTTATTCAAGTTGGCTCATCTTGAAGAGGCAGTTCATGTTCAGTCATTTCTGATGGGATGCAGCTGTAAGGTCCAGTGTAATCATAATGGCTAGCTGTCCTTGATCTAAACTCTTCAGCAGATCAGCCATGCCCATAGAAAGTTTGAGGTTACAGAATTAAAAAAATTGGGGATAGTAGGTCAGTGCACCTAGAATACGGCTTGGAGGCACCTATAATTAAGGGGCTAAAAGAGGTCAGTTTTGTGTACTAGTTATTGCCATGACTATGTGCTAGTTAGGGCTGGAATAGCTACTGTTCCTTCTGAGGTGGTGATTCAGAAGTGGGAGAAAATTTGGTAAGGCTCATGCAGTGACCGCTCTCCATGTGTGTCCTTCTTGTACCTGTGGAAGAGCTAAATATACATGCCACCTCTGGCAAATTATTGTGGATCTACTTGGGTCTTAGCTGGGAGTAAGTCCCACTGAACTCGATGACATCATAACTGAAGTAACATATATGAGTGCATAATGCCCTTCCTCCCAATAAGACCAATAAGTTCAGGGTCTAAAATTACCTAGCTGCACCACTGGCACAGTTCCTTCCTGAAATAGACCATTCCTTAAATTGGGGCTTACGCCCTCTCTGTGTTCCCTTCCTCTCTCCCTTCTCCAAGCCTAAAAAGCCTTACTTTATAGTTTGTGTACATCAAATGAATTTTATATGGACTAGAGAAAATGATTATAACCACAATCCTGTAACTCTCACCAGTAAGTAAATACCAAGGAAATCAGTGGGTTTACTCAGAACTGAGTAGACATGTAGAGAATTGTGCTGCGTGAAGGCAGTCTTGATTACGGTGAACACTTAGCTGGAGTAAGCCTTACTGAATACAATAAAAAATTACTTTGAGGTAAAAATGCATAAGATTGTGCTGTAAATTCAGACTTCCGCTTGTTTTGTGTTTATTTAACAGTAACCTTATTAATTTTAAAAAATAATATTAACTCCTAATTTATTTTCATTGAATTATATTTTTAGTTTTTATCCCATCACTATATCATATACTTTATAATACATATTTCAAAATGTATATTAAGGTTTTGTGAAAGTCTTAATTGTTTGATGGACTCAAATTTTATATTACAAAAAGGGCTAATTTTTGTCTAAATCTTTGTTAAACTTACCGACTTTGAAGCAAAAAACGTAATTCAATTTCTTCCCCTCCCCCTTTTCATCTAGTTTATAGACCATCTGCTGGGTGTAGTTAGAGCACATGAAAGTGCGAAGGATGGTAGAGAACGAGACAAGCAGCTTTGACATAGGTAACATGTCTCAAAAGAAAAAAAGCAAAGTAATCAACATTTCCCATTGAATTTGTGGTTCAGATATATTAAAAGAGTAAAGATGACTAGAATTTCTTAGTTTTAAACTATGAATAAAATCTTTTATGTGAAACCAAAATTATATAGCGTAAATTAAGTTAGATACTGACTGTATTGGAATATTGCAGTAAACCTGCTGTTTCCCTAGCACAAATAGGAGCAACAAACCACAGTCCTTGGATTAGAGTTATGTCTGAACTAGCAACTGTGGTTTGATTTGCTTCACATGAATTACAATCTAAAATCAAAATTCGTTTTTGGCTTTCTGAACATGACTTGTTGAAGAAAAACAAACCACCATCTTTGGGTTGGATGTAATGCTAAGCCAGGGATAATGGTTTATTGCTTTTGTTTGTACTAGAGCAGGATCAGATTTGGAATGATCTGTGCCTTATGTGCAAAGAGGACCAATGTGTGTATAACTATAATATAAAAATTCTGTTTTTGGAAATATAATGAATAATTACAATATTTAGTGCTTCAGCAAAATTTGAGGGTAATGTTTTTGAAAGCATTGAACTTCACGGAGCTCAATATAATATAAAAAGTTCAACAGTGGGGAAAAAGCTTGCTCCTTTCTTGAAGGTTAAGGAGTATGTCAGAGACACTTTAGTACAGTAGTACCTTGGTTGTTGAACTTAATCCGTTCCGGGAGTCCTTTTGGCTCCCGAAACGGTTTGAAAACCAAGGTGCAGCTTCCGATTGGCTGCAGGAGCTTCCTGCACCCAATTGGAAGCTACAGAAACTGCGTTGGATGTTCAGCTTCCAAAAAACGTTTGCAAACTGGAACACTCACTTCCGGGTTTGCGGTATTCGGGAGCTGATATGTTCGACAACTAAGCCATTTGACAACCAAGGTACCATTGTAACAGCATTTCAACTTGGAGGATCCCTTTAAGCCTGTCATAATTTGTGGTGTGGCTTATTTGCTTCCATTTTGTGGCTATTTTCATAAAACCTGTAATTTGTCCTGCTAATGTGGTATGGGAATTGCTTCATTGGGTCACATTGAATACAAGTAACATTTGTTTACAGGAGTCTTCTAAAATCAGTGGATAATGTGGTTACTTTTCACACTAGCACTAGTATTGTGGTGTTGATGTAGGTGTAATCATATAATCAAACTGTCCCATGTGGTTCCTAGAAATAGACACTACAGTGGTGCCCCGCAAGACGAATGCCTCGCAAGACGGAAAAACCGCTAGACGAAAGGGTTTTCCGTTTTGAAGTTGCTTCGCAGGACGAATTCCCCTATGGGCTTGCTTCGCAAGACGAAAATACCTTGCGAGTCTAGAGATTTTTTTCGCTTTCCCCCTTTATCTAATCTGCTAAGCCTTTAATAGCCTTTAATAGCCTTTTAGCAGCTAATCCCTAAGCCTTTAAGCCTTTAATAGCCGCTAAACCGCTAATAGCGCTAATAGCGCTAATCCGTCAATGGGCTTGCTTCGCAAGACGAAAAAACCGCTAGACGAAGACTCTCGTGGAACGGATTAATTTCGTCTTGCGAGGCACCACTGTACTGGTGTGGCATGTGAGTCATCTATGCAGAACCTCTCTCACATTTCAGTGGTTGGTTACATATAAATTGGCCCTGAGTTATGAATGAGGCTGAATGTAATCTAGAATGCATCAGACGAATACCTTAGAGATGTTGAATAATGTAGAGCATGACTGATCCTGCTCAATGCAGGCATTCCATTCCCCAGGGTACTGTGGTTAAGCAGTAGCAATTAAATGTTTCTTTAAATATTTTCATTGTCTTGTGGTCACAGTTTATTTGTTTAGCTAGAGATTTAGGTTGGACATAATAATCTGTCATTAAAGTTATTTTACTTAATTTATGTGACGCAATTATGTGCATTTGCATCTCACTAAAATAAATACAATAAATTCATGTAATTGCATCAGCTTGCTGATTTCTAGAGAGATAATTTACTATTTATTGTAATCCATTGATCATAAATAAGGATAATAATAACAAAAAAAGACAAATCCTAAATTTTGAAATGATGAGCCATTAGATGAGCTTGTTGCATGGGTCAGTGCTCATTACTTTTTATAAATCTAAAATTATGTTTATCTTCATAAAACAGGAAAGTATGATCCATCTTAAATGAAGCACTTTGAAGGCCTGTTCGTTTCAGTTGGAGTTAAGCCCTTGCTCACTTCCCTCCCTTTGAAATTAATAGGATTTAAATATGTTGAGCTGTATCTGGATTCTACCCAATATTTGAGTAAGCAATCAAAGTTACTATATGTGGTACTTATTTAGTGGGAACAGAACATTCAAAGTATAGGTTTTGCACTTTGTAATCTAGTTGACCTATAGTGCCATCTAATGGCTAATTTATGAAATACGTTAAAAAATTTCCCATGAAAACCATGGTCTAATGAATACTGTGCAAAATAATACAGTGGTACCTCGGGTTACATATGCGTCAGGTTACATACACTTCAGGTTACAGACTCCGCTAACCCAGAAATATTACCTCGAGTTAAGAACTTTGCTTCAGGATGAGAACAGAAATCGTGTTCTGGCGGCGTGGCGGCAGGAGGAGGCCCCATTAGCTAAAGTGGTGCTTCATGTTAAGAACAATTTCAGGTTAAGAACGGACCTCCGGAACGAATTAAGTACTTAACCCGAGGTACCACTGTACTCTATATGGGTTGTTTTTGGCCATCATAGAAACCATTGAGATCAGTGGACTTAAGTTAGTAAAGACAAGCTTATTTCTGTTGATTCTGGGATGGCTGCTCTGAGGATGAGTTAACCAGATAAAGCCTATTTTTCATTGCAAATTATATTTAATAGATTTTCGCATCTGGTTCCCTGAGCCTGAGTGAGCACAGAAGTGAAAAATACTTTTGGCTGTGTGTACACTGAAATTACAACTGCAGTGTAATGTTTGGAGTTTTCACCTGCTGTCTCAGAACTAATACTTTGTAAGAATTTGAGAATAATCTTTTTTAAAGTGAGCAGTATTAATTGACAATAATCTGAAGCTGCCAATAATTATTAAAAACTTAATTTTTTATATGGGACAGTGGATGTCACTACTAATGTGAACTACTAAACTATGGTTGTCATAAAGAAGATCTCCCTGCCATGTTTTTAAACATGTGTTTTAAATGTATAAACCCAGATTACCCATGGGTTCAGAAGGCTGCAGAAATTGCAGTAGCCCCATACTTCATCTCTCACAAGTCAAGGTGTGGGCTGATATAGAGTGTGTCAGTAAGCCAGCATACTAGGATAGCTGGCATATGTGCCTTCACCTGCTGTCACCACTGCCTGGTCAGGTAAGGACTTGATAAAAAGAAGAGAAGGGAGCTGAAGTGGGGAGTTGATGGGGAGGGTTCTTTGGGGACCAAAGAGGGCTGACTGGAAGGAGGAATATTTTCTGAACCTTGGTTTATTTCTGAATCAATAAAGGCAGTGGCCCACTTGCACATCTCTGCTGTGGACTTCTGTTTGTCAGCTTGCTGTCAGCAGGTAACATAAACTTCTAGGAATATGCCTCTTCCATTGAAACGGACTGCTTTCTTGTGCCATAGTTTCAGTGATAGCTGTTCTACCCCTTTAACACTGGGGCTGGTCTCTGGGATAACATTATTGCAGATAATGATACTGTCTCTGTCTTAAATGGTCACTGGCCTATTAAGCCAAGAAAGCAAATAAAGGGGTACACATATTGCCAATAGTGATTTTGTTTTTTTGTTGCGACATGTATCCAGTGGGTAAATGGAGCAAAGGTTGGTTAAATACCCTTTGATTAATGAGGATCTTTAGAAGCAGCTAAAATAAGAACTTTTTAGTACTCCTTTGTTATACAGTGGTACCTTGGGTTACATATGCTTCAGGTTACATACGCTTCAGGTTACAGACTCCGCTAACCCAGAAATAGTACCTCGGGTTAAGAACTTTGCTTCAGGATGAGAACAGAAATCGTGCTCCGGCGGTGCGGCGGTAGCAGGAGGCCCCATTAGCTAAAGTGGTAGTTCAGGTTAAGAACAGTTTCAGGTTAAGAATGGACCCCCAGAACGAATTATGTTCTTAACCCAAGGTACCACTGTATGCCTATTTTAAACTTTTTAAATTCTATGCTGTTGTGAAAGAAATGAAGTTATTTAGTTATAATGAATTAATTATTATATAAATTAAATACCAATACTGTATTTGATACCTTAACACTGTAAAAACAGCATAACTTTTAGTACTAAGTAGCATTCAACTAAATAATTCCACAAGCGGAATGAGTTCCATTTGTGCAAAGGGACTTAACTCCTCCTAACATCCCATGCCATTCCCAAATCTGCTCTCGAGTGCTGGGGTAACCTCCAAAACAGATTTAGGGAACACAAAGGTGAGAAGAGAGAGGGTGAACATTCCCTTGTGCAAGGAGAAATCCTTGCTCTCATGGAACACTCCCCTTAGTGCTACTTTGAATACAACCCATTAAATTGTGTTTTTAAAAATAAGAGTTATGTTCATTGACCATCATGGGGTTTCAGATCAAGTACCAGTTTGGCTTGTACACAAGGCAGATACTATTGCATTGACCACATTAATAATTAAACTGTCTTGACATGCAGTAAGATAAATATATAGTTTCATACACTATTGGAGCAATTGAACAGTCAACACTTTATGTAAGTAAAAAAAGAAGTTTATAAATGCTTTTTTAAAGCAATTACCCTTCCTTAAAATTAAAGTTATTTGTTTTGGTTTAATGCTTGTGATACTGCTACTCTTCAAAAATACTTTTCCAGTATGTTTGAAATTACTTTTGGAAAGAGATAAAAACAAATTTAAATATACAACATATGTTGATTTTTGTGACATAGAAAACAAAAGTCCTAATATAACGACATTTAATTTATGGTAAGTTGCCAAATACTAATTTTGTTAGCGTAATTTATAACCTTTGAATTCATTGCTAGTATTTACAGTACATTACGATATTAATTTCAGTGAATTTCTTTCACCTGTTATTGAAATATAATAATGTTCCTTGAATTACTTTAGTTCATTAGATAGAACTTACATTCTTTTTGTCATTGTGCATCTGCTATGTTGAATAAAACTTTTCAGCCTCATAAAAACAGTTCTAAGATAGTCTTTACAGAATCTGTTGTATTTTGAAAGTTGTAATACTTTTCAAGAAGCAATTAATATTATTGTGGGTCATTAATTAGGATATAACTTTAGCAATATTTTTAATGGAGTGCATCCTCTGCATAATTGTGTTAAATTCCTTATATTTAATTTTATGAGAGTTACTATTACTATCTGTCCATAAAATAATTGTGCTTAATAGTTAATTAGTTAATTTAAGAGAATTAAATGCTTAATGTTAAACAGTGGAATGCAAACAGCATAGTATACTGTACTGCACATAATCCCTCATGGGGTTATAGAAATACTGGTTACAGGTTTAAGAATACTATCAGAATAGTCATGTCTTTCACATGTGATAAAATCAGGCTGCTTATAGTCCTAAAGATGAGTTCATGTATGCAAATTGATACAAGATAGATAATTCCAAATACTTGCATTTGGTGTTAAGGCAGATGAATAATTAATTAGTCTAGCTGAAGCTAAGGTATCATTCTTTCGTAAGGTATTAATTGCTGTATTCTCTTAACCTCAGAAAATGATCTTAGATCTATAATTGATATTATCATATTAAACACTAAATTTAACATTAAGCTAATAAGCAAACCAGCCATGCTCTGTGGCTGAAAAAAGTGTTATTCTATTGGGACAGTGCCCTTGCAGAAGAACTATACAGGCAGGAGTAACTTCAGCAATAAAATGGGGCTAGTCACAAATTCAAGAATATGTAGTTACCGTAATCACTTACCTTTTTACTTTTACTTTTTAGAAACCCTAATAACTATTTTATGCATTTGGGTTCTAACAGACTCCAAAGATTATGAAATATGTACCCTTTTACAATAAAAGGGTTTGAATTCAATTGTTCTGTGATCTTTCAGTGCTTTTCACATGATGATGATGTTGTTGTTTTAATTGATTGTTTCTGTGCTGTGGCATTATAGTCAGTCAAAATAAATGGGGGCAAATGAAACACTGCATGCCTGAAGGCATTGGCCACAACTTGATAAAAAGTCTATTGAAACAGCAAGTACTTTTCATAAATTTGATGCAGCACTTAAAGCAAGGCATTGTTAATAATTTAGAGATGAAAGCAGGGCTGCATGCCAGTGGCAGGCATAGCTAAAGTGAATGTGGAAGTCACTCAGGTTGGTGTGGCCACCCCAGATTCACAGTCTCTTGCAGTCACAGACTTGCAGACGTACAAAAATGCATGCAAATCCCTCTATAGTGGTTGCTCTGTACTACAAGCACCAATCCTTAATGAAACTTCATACAATAAAATTAGAATTGTGTTTCTAGACCCTTGGAAGACTAAATGTTAGATCTTCAGAGGGTGTTGGATGGCCACTAGTCAATCTGGAGGCAAGCAAAGAGAACAGGAAGCTGGAGTGAGAAAGCAGTGGCTTCAAAACCAGGTCCAGGTTACTGACAGGTGTGGGATCCAATCAACACCTTAAACATGTACTGGCTGTCAATTTGTTACCTGACCAAGTCAAAGATTTTACTATATATCTGTAGTGGGCATGAGAAAGCATGTGTTGAATTCATTCACAATGACAGGTTCCACATAGATCTCCATGTGTGGTAACTGTTTATTTGCAGCTAGAAAAAATACCTGGTTATAATCCAAAAGGATGTGATTTTAAACTTTGATTTAAACATTATGTTCATTAATGGGTCACATTGCTTTTATGAAATACAAAAGTAAACACAATTCATAAAAGTAGACATAAAATTGCTGCCGTATTCAGCCAAAGCCACGTAGATTTCACAATTGGCAGGAAGGGGATATATACACACGTTGGTCTTGACAGTAGATCTGTGATTGATGACTTGATTGAAAGTAGGCTGAAAAATTATATTGTAATGAAAATGATGGCAATTAATATTTATTTATTAAGGATTTTTATTTTATTATTTTAACTCTACAAGGCAAATATATAAACAATATGATAATATAATAAACGTTAGTAAATAACTTAAAGAGCAAATAAATGAAACAAGATAAAAGAGTTAAATAAAAGCATTCAAAGCACCAGCAGCTGAATTCTATTCTATGAACTCTGTTGAGCCTAAAATTAAACCATCTTGGCCTGATGCCTAAAAACTAACAAAAAAGAAGCAAAGCAACTTCCCTGGGTATGGAGTTCTACAGACTTGTTACCACCACTGAAAAGGCAGTGTGCCCATGTAACCACTTGAATGAAGGGGAATATGAAACTAGGCCTCTTGTTTCATCTTCCCCCTATTATGTACTTGCATGGAAGTTTGGGTCTGGGTGTGATTTACTAACAATCTAGTTTAATGAAATGTGTTGGCTTTCCATTCTGGTCATTGTTTGTGTTTTTTCTAGTATCTCCTGAGGCAGTTGGATTTCTGTCAGCAGTTGGACTGTTTATTATCCTGTTGTTGATTCTTTTTCTATATATTAACAAGAAGATGTGTTTTGAGAATGTTGGAGGTTTCCCAGACCTCAATTCACGATACAATGCCAGAAAAAATTCACAGGACAAACTTTGTAAGTATCAAATTCTATGGTCTATGGCTTTGAAAGACAGCAAACCCCTGGTGTAATATCATATGAATAATGTTATGTAGGCATAAAAGTTTGACTTGAATAAAATAAATATCTTATATAGTCCAAAATACTTTTACTAATCCATCTGTAGTGCTTAGTCAGAATTTAATGGCTTTGGGGTCTGTTGAATGTTGTGTAAGAGGTTGACATTTTAGATAGTGGAAAGAAACAAATGGTTTTATATTTCCCAAATATGCTTAATAAAAATAATTAGATCACAGCTTTTATATACCAGGAAACCATATTTTCTCAATTATGAGGGACAAAATCTTAGATATTTCTGAATCTCAAAAGTGGTAGGACGAACATCTTTTATTTGCAGTATATCATTCATTAAAAGTTAGAGGGAAAACACACAATAATCATATTTGAACTGAATTATATTCCATGACCGCAGTTCAACATAGAATTTAGACTGCATAAACTTGTTGATTTTACTGGGGTTGTATGCTTATATTTGTACAGAATTTGTACAGACTGTTGGCCATGGGTACAGAATTATTGTGGTCTGGGTGAATACAATGTTAAGAATGTAGTCCAGTGTTAAGAATTATGTTAAGAATTAATTTATGAGGAATGGCTAAGGGAGCTGGGCATGTTTAGCCTGGAGAAGAGAAGGTTAAGGGGTGATATGATAGCCATGTTCAAATATATAAAAGGATGTCACATAGAGGAGGGAGAAAGGTTGTTTTCTGCTGCTCCAGAGAAGCGGACACGGAGCAATGGATCCAAACTACAAGAAAGAAGATTCCACCTAAACATTAGGAAGAACTTCCTGACAGTAAGAGCTGTTCGACAGTGGAATTTGCTGCCAAGGAGTGTGGTGGAGTCTCCTTCTTTGGAGGTCTTTAAGCAGAGGCTTGACAACCATATGTCAGGAGTGCTCTGATGGTGTTTCCTGCTTGGCAGGGGGTTGGACTCGATGGCCCTTGTGGTCTCTTCCAACTCTATGATTCTATGATTCTATTCTATGTTTTATGGTTTCTTAATAACCGATACAATGTGGGGTATATTCTAGTGTTTTGAAACAATGTAGTATATCTGTCTTTATAATATATTATTTAAATACGTTTAAACTTTTTCTTTGCAGGTGTAGAGTAAATTCAACAATTTACATATAATATTTAAAATGTCTGGTTATGTTATACAATACAACATACAACACAACATAAAAAACAGAATAGATTTTTATCAGTTGATTTTGGCTTTGTGTAGTAGAAAACACTTGCTCCTATTTATTGCTTTTAAGGTAACAGAATTCAGAGAATGACTAATCTGCAGAGTCCACAATTTAAAGGATAGGGTTTAGGATACTTGAAAAAAATACAGTAGCAATGCATTAGAGGAATAACATACAGTATTTTCAAAGCAATAATGTACTAACAATCAAAACATGGCATTTTTCAAAAATTTTCAACAAAATCTGAGCCTTCCTTCTATGTCCTCTCTGGTTGACACACTCAGTAATGCTGTAGATGATCTAACCAGTGCTGTTGGAGATGTCAGCTATACAGTAGCTGACTCAGTTACAGAACAGGTAACAAGTATGATCAACAGCCTTCGGACAGATGATACTGCTACCGCCCAAGAAGATAAATCTATAGTAGATAAAGAGGAAAATAAAGAGAAAGAAGACTTGAAAAATGTTACCTTTCCAAAAGATACTAGGCAGAACTGCAATACATATAGAACAGATGCGTCCCTTAATAAAGAACTAAATCAAGAATTGCATGCTGTAGTAGAACAAAATGAGGGCCCGTTACATAAAAAAGCAAAACAAAGATCACCAGGACTTGACTTCAAAAACACCAAAGAAGTGCACAGTTTTGATTCCAGGAATTCAGAAAAAAATGAAGAGCAAACTCCAAAATTGCAGAAGTCAAAGTCTAAAAAAGCTCATGGGGTTCATGAAGTAAAAGAAAAGAAATGCAAACCATTTTCGGATGGCCACAGACAGTCTGTAACAAAGCAGGAAGAAAATGCACCATCTATTCTTTTAAAAGAAAGTAAAAAGGAAAAGGCTAAGGAATCAGAATGTTTTTCAAAAGAAGTGAGTAGTAAGAAGACACCAGAAAAAGGTGAGGTGTCTTATATCATACTTTATCCATGTGGCCTTTCCTGGATCTTTTACTACATACTTCTTTTCCCAACTGTTTTTTAGATTTCATTCATAATGATCTTTAAAACAGTCTCCTTAGTAGAAACTCTTTGTGATATGTATATTATTTTCTCTGAAATTTGCTTTATCTAATTTTATTCATACTCCTTGAAAACTGGTTAAATATTTTCTTTCCTGATTAATGCTACTAACTTTTGAATAGTGATTAATCAACTTTTTAAAAAAAAATCTTTCTGTTCCCTTAAATTTTACTACATCTTTCAGCGGATTACACTGGATAACAAGAATATTTTGTACATGATTCTTGAATTCTATATTTATATGCGTTTGTTTACCTGGTGCTTCAGGACATAGTGTGCAGATGTTGTTTTATTATAAGAAATAATATCTGGGAACCTAACATATTATAAGCTACATATAGCTTTTCATGAGGAGTAATACTAAAAGTGAGAAAACTAACATACAAATCATGAAGTGGTAATGCAACAAGTCTAAAATATATATATCTAAAATAAATAAATATAATTGAAAATATATTTTCTCTAAAATCAGTCAATGCATAAATTATAAAATAGGTTATTTCACATCTCTAATAATTGAAGGAAAACAAACATTTAAAGCCATTGCTAGCGAAACCATGAAGGTATCCCAAACTTTGCAGTTATACCTAAAAACAAATGCTGACATAAATGTATCTATCTAACAAGAAGGATAAACCCCCTATATCAAGTTACAGAAGAGCTTTCTGAATGCACTAAGGGTGATAGGGCAAAGAGGGAAGACAAAACAAAATGAAATGCATGGGGGGCGGATCTTCCCCATGGGCTGCAGTAAAAGGCATGTATTTAGGAAACAACCTTGGTTCATCCCTTTAAAACCCTGATTATTTCAGGTTAAAATAAATATTTCCAGGAATAACAGAAACAAAAAATAATTATGTTGGGGATAATACATTTATTGTGAAGTTTGAGCTCTTGCCTAAACTGGGTTAAAATGTGAACTATATTACCTTCTGTTTAGGAAAAAAAATGTATTAACAGTTAAATGTTTACCCATTATAATTTTAGCACTCTCCTTTATGGTGCCATCTGTTATCATTCCCCCCTCCTTTTTTTCCAAAATAGACAACTCATACATAAATAAAGATCAGCATGGTTCATCATCTGAAAGTGAAGATGAGGCACTGGGTAAATATCACGAAGCCTTATCCAGAACACAAAGTTCAAGGCCACCAGCAGGCGATAACAGACAACAGAAAAACTATATTTGGGAAACCAGACAAAAATATAGCCCTCTGTCTGCAGAGTATGATGGGTACAGTAGTGAAGCCTCAATAGATGAAGGTATGACATTATTTACAATAGTTTTTACTTCATCTTATTTCACATTCATCAAAAAGCACCATAGGATAAAAATACAGCAGTTGCAAGATATTAACTGTAAAGGTGCCAGTAAAATCTAAAACCCTGACTGAAATAGTTAGGGATTTAGGGGGAAAGACTGGATTTCTTTTATTGAGCTTTTACCTTCTGAGTACTTAGTGCTTTCCAAGCATTTCCCCTATATTCATATGGGAAACGTTTAACGAAAAGCATTGCAGTTTACAATTTATTGTTATGTATGGAAAAGTTTGTAAACATTTCCTGATAATAAATTGCCTTTGGTATATGGTGGTTTTAGGGTGACTAGATGAAAAAGACAGGGCTCTGTGCCTTTAATAGCTATGTAAAAGAGGGGTTTTCAGCATGTGTTACTTGTCATACAAACAACACCATCCCAAATTTACCTCCTCTATACAGGTCTTAAAGGTGCGCTCCTCTTTTTCATCTGGTCACCCTGGTTTGTACTGACTCTGGTTTAAACATGAGATTGTTAAGAAATCACTGTTGTTGTGAGCTAAAGGTACATGTTCTAGCCCTATTATATTCTTACTGGGATACCAGATAAGACATCCTCTGAGACTTCTATACCAGCTGGATGATAGAAAACTCACGTTTTGAGAATTGGTGATGATCTGGTTCAGTTGTGTAACCATAGCAGAATTTATTTAGAGTTTTACATATATGTGTCAGTTTATTTAAGGACCTATTCTGAGACAGAAAAAAGTTAGTTGGGTAAATTAGGAAGAAACACATAAGACTGATGACCTGTTGGCACATAATGTCTGTAAATCACCTTGGAAGATGATTCATAAATGTATTCATCATCATTCCCATACTGTAATGTCCAAGGGAATGCCCAGAGTGTCTAAGGTACCATACAATGTGTGACGCTTATCTTTTCTGTCTTAGATGACTTCTAATAAGGTAGTGGAATTCTGGTGTGTGCTCAGAGTTTGGGTCAGGGAATCATCATCAAGTGATTCATCATCAACAACAGACATATAATTTTGGATTGGGGACTAGTTAAAAGGGAGATAGAATCTGTCTCTGAGATAATAAAAGTAGGGCATGTTTATTTGAATAGTCTGTTATTTTGTCTTTCATCTGAAAGTCTCAGCTTCTCAACCAATTATGTTGTACATCCACTGTTGGATGAAATATGTATTTGACTGCCAGTTGCTGAGAATCACTAGTAGGGATAGTGCGGTTGTCCTCAGGTGTTTCTTGCAGGCTTCCCATAGGCATCTGGTTGGCCACTATGAGAACAGGATGGAACAGATGGGTCATTGGCTGATCCAAAAGGCTTTTTCTTATATTAATTAATATTTCCTGCTTCATTAGGGCATATTGTGTCAACTACTAATTAATGAAGTGTTTTCATAAGATATTTTTTGTAAATCCACATTTCCCTAACAAACAGTCTTACCAACTTTGGCCTTGCCAAAAATTAGAAAATGTTTGGGTGATGTTAACGAAATGCTTTTTCTTTCCACCTTTGAGATAGTTCCTTCTGCTTTTTCTTAAGGTAACTTAAGTGTTTTGTGACCCTTTGGGGCAGGCATTACTTCTTCCCTTTCTAAAGTGGCAAATAAGTTTAGGTTTATTTTTCATCATAGTATAATAGTGGCAAGTCTTTAGGCAGCTTGAAAGGAGTCTTTGGGAAATGATCAGCATCCTAGTCTTACGTTCTTATAGGTAACAATACAGTCCATGTCCTCAGGCTTTCAGTCTAAAAGATACAATAAAAAATAATAAATAGATTGAGGTAGAAGAGGGGGGAAAGCAAACCCAGGCACTAATGTTTAATTACAAAGAGTTTAAGGAAAAGAGGGATCCAAAGTTGCTGGTCTCTCAGCCAAGCCAATGGAGTGACTTGCTTCTTTCTGCTGTCACCTGATGTGATGGCTTCTGCCCATTGACAGTTGATTGGGGGAGGAGCCTGGTTATTTCTCTACAGACTGATGGTGACACTGCTTCCCTCATCTCCCTTTGATGTAGCCTCACTTTTAGGTAGATCACTGTCTTATGTTCAGTCAAGTTCCTAGCATGCTTTAATGATGTTATGACTATCATTGATCCTATTAGAACTTTAGCAGATTGTGACATGATGAAGTGTTGGTGCTATGGCTGGAATCCTTATGATTTTTCATAAGACACTGAAATAGGACATTGCTGAGTTGATCTGCTCATTCCTGAAAGAGCAGGGATGAATGCCTACTCATTACCTCTCTGGCTTCATGTGAAGTTCTCTAAGGTTTCATAGTATTTCCTCTTCCCCTCACACTTGCCTATTCACTATATAGAGCCGGGGTCAGCAAACTTTTTCAGCAGGGGGCTGGTCCACTGTCCCTCAGACCTTGTGCGGGCCGGACTATATTTTGGGGAGGAAAAATGAACGAATTCTTATGCCCCACAAATAACCCAGAGATGCATTTTAAATAAAAGCACACATTCTACTTATGTCAAAACACCAGGCAGGCCCCACAAATATCCCAGAGATGCATTTTAAATAAAAGGACACATTCTACTCATGTAAAAACATACTGATTCCCGGACTGTCCACAGGCCGGATTTAGAAGGCGATTGGGCCGGATCCAGCCCTTGGGCCTTAGTTTGCCTACCCATGATATAGAGGCTGTATTGAAATAAATGGCAATTTGCAGTTAGAAGTAATTGATATGCAGATAACTATCACCTATCCTTCTCATCTGTGTAAGATTCTATGCTTACCGGATGCTTGACTATTGCAAAAACTGGACGTGAACCATCCAAGACTGATGGAATTACGATCAGCAGGCTTTGTGTCTAGTAAATGTGAGTGGGAGGGATTTGTAGTTCTTTCTAGATCTGTTGGTATATTTGCACATTAGATTGTGTAAGGCATAGGCAGGAATACTGGTGAGAGACCAGGAAACTATCTAAAATAATAATCAAAGTGTTGGCTCAGGGGGACAATACAACCTGCCATGCCCTTCTTCTGACAATCCACCACTCTGATCTTTCTTCTGTAGTATCAAATATACTGAATGAAAACATTTCTGATTCAACTCTATGTAGTTATTCTTGCATAAATCAAACTGAAGTCATATGATTGTATCCGTTTAAGTCATACTCCAAGTAGACACTGAAACCAATGGACTGATTTCTTAATGACTAACGTGTCATTCATTTCAGTAGGTTTACTCTGAGTATTAGTCAGGTAGAATAAATTACGATTTACATTTGTGTTACTGGAAGCAACACAGCACTAGGCTTGTAAATAGCCAGTCACTTTCTAAATAGGAGTGAGTCAGAATTGCCATAGGTCTTCATCCGTTAGGGTGTAGCCTAATGGGTTGCAGCCTGATTCAAAGTAGGTCGCAACAGGAGTACTACCACATACAAATATATGGTAAAAGATTAAGAAAATATTAAGAAATGGGTCCTTAAATGCATGTTTGGGTTGCAAGTCGATCCTTAGTCTGAATGGTTTGAAGACACATGCTCTAGGTGACCAAGTAGGACAACTTTTGCTAATAGAAATGGAGCTGGCTCTCTAGGACAGGGAAGGAGAACCTGTGGCCTCCAGATATTTTGTATACTCCAACTCCCACCAGCCCCATCCAGCATAGCCAAATGACAGGGGTGATGGGAGTTGCAACATAGTATAACATCTGGAGGGCCAGGAGTTTCTCATCCCTGTTATCTTCCCCACTCTTTATGGTTCTAGCAACATACCTCTTGATTATTGTTGTTTAGTTGTGTCCGACTCTTCATGACCCCATGGACCAGAGCATGCCAGGCACTCCTGTCTTCCACTGCCTCCCACAGCTTGGTCAAACTCATGTTCGTAGCTTCGAGAACACTGTCCAACCATCTCGTCCTCTGTCGTCCCCTTCTCCTTGTGCTCTCCATCTTTCCCAACATCAGGGTCTTTTCCAGGGAGTCTTCTCTTCTCATGAGGTGGCCAAAGTACTGGAGCCTCAGCTTCACGATCTGTCCTTCCAGTGAGCACTCAGGGCTGATCTCCTTAAGAATGGCTAGGTTTGATCTTCTTGCACTCCATGGGACTCTCAAGAGTCTCCTCCAGCACCATAATTCAAAAGCATTGATTCTTCGGCGATCAGCCTTCTTTATGGTCCAGCTCTCACATCCATACATCACTACTGGGAAAACCATAGCTTTAACTATGCGGACCTTTGTTGGCAAGGTGATGTCTCTGCTTTTTAAGATGCTATCTAGGTTTGTCATTGCTTTTCTCCCAAGAAGCAGGCGTCTTTTAATTTCGTGACTGCTGTCACCATCTGCAGTGATAATGGAGCCCAAGAAAGTAAAATCTCTCACTGCCTCCATTTCTTCCCCTTCTATTTGCCAGGAGGTGATAGGACCAGTGGCCATGATCTTAGTTTTTTTGAAGTTGAGCTTCAGACCATATTTTGCGCTCTCCTCTTTCACCCTCATTAAAAGGTTCTTTAATTCCTCCTCACTTTCTGCCATCAAGGTTGTGTCATCTGCATATCTGAGGTTGTTGATATTTCTTCCGGCAATCTTAATTCCGGCTTGGGGTTCATCCAGCCCGGCCTTCCACATGATGAATTCTGCATATAAGTTAAATAAAAAGGGAGACAATATACAGCCTTGTCGTACTCCTTTCCCAATTTTGAACCAATCAGTTGTTCCATATCCAGTTCTAACTGTAGCTTCTTGTCCCGCATAGAGATTTCTCAGGAGACAGATGAGGTGATGAGGCACTCCCATTTATTTAAGAATTTGCCATAGTTTGCTGTGGTCAATACAGTCAAAGGCTTTTGCATAGTCAATGAAGCAGAAGTAGATGTTTTTCTGGAACTCTCACTAAAAATTGGCTCACACTATCAGTCTATTGCTTGTGCAATGTAACTTCAGAAATTTGAACTCACATGTGATCTCAGCATTTCAGTCAAAACAAAAAAGGAGTCATGATCTTACATGACTTTGCAGCTTTAATGTTAACAGTGCTGAAGTACATGGACCATTTAAACACAAGTTGTCTGTCAGGGTATTGTTAGAACTGACTCTTATACTAGAAGCATCAGTACATATTATCCTAAAATGTATGAACATATTTAGGCTATTTCTAAATTATTTCCGTTTAAGAAACTTTTGAAATATTACTACAATATCACAAATAAATTTACTTTGAATGCAGGAAAACATAATGAATGACGTTCACAGTTGCATCAGATTCGTGATGGAGAAAAATCTGCGCAGCATAGGACTATAGTGACTGAGAAAGCAGGAACCAGCAGGCCATAAAGGAGGCTAACAAGCACTACCAGCCTGTATAACTTTTAAAGAACTTTTAAAAAAAGTTTCTATCTCAAATTAGAAGTGATGGACATCAAGGGACATTTTAAACGTTCAACAGAAATAAAGGGGATATGCTTGCATTGTGAAAATAAGACAAGATGTGGTAAATTGCATTCACATCTGCTATAGTGCATGGGGCAGCAGCAGTTCACAGCCCTGCTCCTATTTTGTCATTTCATACTACTTCCTGTCAGGAGCATCAGACTTCTACTTTTTTGTATCAGTTTATTATTTTTAAATCTGTTTTTTAATTTCAAGTAACAAACATACCCATACAAAGAAAACAGAGCATAGTATTTGTACAGAGAAAAAAAAATAGTGGATGCTGGTTGTAGTTTTAGATGTTCCAAGAAAGGCAATCAAATTAAAGTGTCTCTCCATAAGGTTCCATGAGTCAGTGGAGGGTGAAAAGCAGATTTGATTGTCTTAAAAGTATTTAAAAGGATACAATGTTGTATAGACGGTGTGTGTCTTTCCCCACCAATCAATACTCTGTTTGTGAAATGATTGATTTGTCCATATGCACAATGTCCCATTGGTAGCCAGCATCCCAGTGTTGATGAAAACTGCAGTTCCCACCTTGGAAACCCTTGTGCTGAGTTTGAAATCAGCACAGTTGTACCCATCGCACCAAAAACCGGATGAAGTCACACCAAAGTCACATTTCAGACCAACATCTTGATTCAAAATGGTAGCTGGATGCCCAACACCAATGAAAACCAGTGCCCCAGTCTGAGAAACCCTTGTTCCAAGTTTGACAACAGTATCTCACAAGGTGGCCAAAGAAATGGAAAAGCCGTCTTTCAAAATATATACAGTGGTACCTCGGGTTACAGACGCTTCAGGTTACAGACGCTTCAGGTTACAGACTCCGCTAACCCAGAAATAGTACCTCAAGAACTTTGCTTCAGGATGAGAACAGAAATTGTGCGGGGGCGGCAGCGGGAGGCCCCATTAGCTAAAGTGGTACCTCAGGTTAAGAACAGTTTCAGGTTAAGAACGGACCTCCAGAACAAATTAAGTTCTTAACGCAAGGTACCACTGTGGTAGGTTCTCATATCCCAAAGTAGTACTTAATAGTTATTTAAATAGTATTTTTAGCTAATAGAAAGAATTAGGAAGATTATTATTCATTGTGAGTTTATATATATAGTTTTATACCTATGAGAATTCTACCTAAACCACACTGAATTGTTTGAAGTCACCTTGAGGAAATGAAAGGAATATTTTCTTAACTGCACCAGTATTAACATGATTGATAGGATCTGACCCACTGGCAGAATCACAGCTTTGGAGGAAGGAGTACACTAGACCCTTTATGGTACTCATTGCCTCTGAGATAGGGAGAAACACACTCAACTTCAGTTACCAGATTCTACTATACCTTCCTTCATCCCTGACAATGGCAAGTGGAGTCCAACATCTAGAATGCCAGAGGTTTTCTGTTCCCACCCTAGATTCCACTGCTCTGTCATACAGCGTAGAGATGACCTCTTTAGGATACACTGCTATCTATAGCTTCTGCTTCAACTCCAATGCAAGGTCAGTATAACCATAACTGATATGTAGTAGTGCATAAAGGTTTTTTTGTGTTTTATACTTGCAGCTTTTTTTTTAAAGGGCCTATGACCTACAGATATGAAATCTGTATAATTTTTGTTATTCTAGTGGCAGGATTCAGAGGAACCTGCGAAGATTTCTGTTCTAGAAAGTATGATGAGATTTCAATACTGCAAATGCTCAGTTTTATATATTCAACTGTGAATGCAACCTATTTGAATTTTCTTATAGAAAATCGTTAAGGTGGGCTTGATCTGTCTCTGCTGGGGTAACTTGCATGCTTTGGAAAATTGGTGCAGGAAGAGAAGTGCCCAACAAACCCCAACTAAAGATAAAGATTCACTGCTATGCAGTGAATGCCTACCCTGAACACAGATCTAGATTGTTTCACTATATTATTGAGCTTATCTTCTACAAGCTGGGTAGCCTAACCTCACTGCTGCTACAGCAAGCTCACCGGGATTTTCTCTAAACCTCAGGGATTGAACCTTTCTGGATTTTATATTGGGGCACATAGGGATATTGTTTTTGGTGTGTTTTTTTTTAATTTTGCATGCAAAGTGTGTGCTCTGCCACTGAGCTTTGTCCTTTCCTAAGGATATCTGCTAAATAATGGATTTTAAGGAGTGAAATTTTATGGAGCACTTTCCATCTGAAATGAATTTTACACATCAATCACTGCCATTCAGTGCCTTAACATTTGGCACGTACATATACTGTGTGGAGAGAAAAAGATTCCTTTGATAGAAACAGAGTTACCACTCCTAGGATAATTTCATTAGGAACAGATGTCTGCATAATACAAAAAATATACATTATAGTACAAGATGGATATGATACACACAAATAGCTGTGTGTGTATATGGATAGATAGATAAGGGTGTGGGTGTGTAATATCATGCCTTAATGGTCTATGTGGTAACTAGATGCATATCATGGGTTTGTACCCTCTCACTGACGATTGATTGATTGATTGATTGATTGATTGAATTTAACTACCCACTTACAGCACATAGAATGCAAGTTATCTAATTCACACTTCCCAAAATAATATGCAGTTCTTTTGAGGAATTATTATATTAATTTTTTAAATTTCATTGCTGCTGATTAAAAGTAAAATTATGGGAATCTTTGTACTGAAGAGCAGACTAGTAAATTCCTACCTCATTGAATACTGTAAAAAGCACAGTTTTGTAAACTCATATTTTACCATAGTCTGAAAAAAGGACTACAAGTTTAGCTGGCCAAACCAATCAGAAAGCTTGCGTCATTATACCAGGTTGAACTATAGTAATAGTTATGCTAGTAAAACAAAGTACTATGTACCAGTGCATTGTACTGATATTTTTCTGGTGTTCCCTGGCAGGCATACCAGCTCAAGATATCTCGTTTCATGATTATTAGTTTAAAATACTCAGAAACAAATATGGGCTGCTTTAGGATTATTCTTTTCACCTCTAGGTGGCCATATTAATCTTTTTTCTTTTCTTTTTTTAGCATGGGAATATTTTGAAAAGATGACTTACCGTACCAATATGGGAAGATCAAGCTATGATTAAACATGTTTCAACATGTAATATTTCCTATAATTTTTCTCTTATTTCTCATTTTACATTTTATATAAATAATGAAGTACATATATAAAACTTAAAATATTATAAGAATGACAGTTACTTCAAGCAGATATGGCACTTCAAGATACTATTATTCTCCTTTTAGAATAAATAGCTCTGAATCTAATAAATTTGCACTCCTATGCAACGCAGTTCTCCAGCCAAGTAACATGTAGAAAAATACATAAACTAGTGTAAGATATGCATATAAATGTATATATTATTGAAAACAAATGCAAAAATGCATGTTGTTCAGGAAAATTGCATACAAACATGTATATTAGGAGAAATTAGCACTCAAATGCTGATGAATTTTAATGAGGACTTTAAAAAAATAATTTGCAAACAGATGTGCATATGTGAAGAACTGAGTTTAAGGTTGGAATAACTGAAAGAAACAGAAATGGACATATTTGTGCATCCCTACTGGCTACTCAAGAAAAATTAAACAACTGCATAGGCCTGTTGGCATAAAACCAGTCTTCAAGAGCCACCTGAAAGTCAAAAGCGTGAATGCCTGCCGAATCTTCTGGAAGAAATTCCCTTCGTTGTTATAGTGCTTTGTCTTTCAGTTTTCATGAGCTAGTGGTTTTCAAATGTTATGCTTTCAGGGTATGTCAGTTTGTCTGTTGAGGGACCTGGTGCGCTGCAGAGGATTCTGGGTTTTATTCTAGGATGTACACATAATTCAGAAGTGTTTGGTCATAGCATTTAAATGCCTTGTGTTCTCTTTCCCCCCCCAACCCTCTACTGCATATAACACCAATGTCTCACAACAAATGTAACTGAAGAAAGAGACAGTGTGTGTGCTTTTGAAAACGAGGGGAAATTATTATATTTTTAAAGAAGAAAAGGAGTGTGTAGCAGCTCCCAGTATTTAAAGAGCCCCCACCCCTTTTACATCATTAGAACCAGAACATAAACCTATGACACTAGAAAAGAGCAAAAAATATCAATGTTTGGTCCAGATGCTAGGTACTGCACCCTCACTAAAGTAGACTGTATGGATGATTCACTAAATGATTGTAGGATGACGTGTGTACTTGAGCTTACGGCCTCAAATTCTCTTTATCTTATATGATGCTTTATTACAAAAATGACGACTAGACTACTGATCCTAAACTAAATAGTTAGTTGCCCAACCACCCCCTCCAGAACCCACCGCTCTCAACTGACTCTCAACTGCCTCGCATTCAAACTCCTTTCAAATCCTCATCCATTCATCACTCACCACCAGAATTCCACAATCTCTCTTTCCCCCTCCCTCCCTCCTTAACTTTCCCATAATAATTCTGATACAATTACCTTAATAACCCTGTTACATTCAATGTTTTATACACACTGCTCCCTATAACCATACTGTTAGAAGCACTTGAGCTTCCCATTCCTGGTTCCTAGGAAATGGGGGTGAGCAAACTGCAGGTTCTTTATCCCGTTTCTAAAAAGCAGATGTCTTCCCCCAAATGATCCTGGGAATTGTACTTTGTTAGGGGTTATGGGGATTGTAAGTCTGTGAGAAGGAAGCCACAAAGGCACGAATCCTTTCGGGGGAAGTCATATGCTTTAAAGGTGCATTGGATGCTCTTTAAAACATAGCACCATAGAATTGTAGAGTTGGAAGGGACCCCGAGGGTCCAACCCCCTACAATGAAGGAATCTCAACTAGATGATCCATGGCTGATGGCCATCCAAGCCCTGCTTAAAAACATCCAAGGAAGGAGAGTCACTGCTTCAGGCCCTAAGGGCCTCTGGAGCAGGTGAAAACAAACTTGTTCCATCCTCCATGTGACAGCCCTTTAGACTTTAGTTATTGAAAGGGCTGCATGGTGTGGATTTCATATCAGTGTTATTAGTGTGTAAGCAACACATTTCTCTCTCCCTTATCCCCACACCATGCAGAATTGCAATGGTAACCAGAAGGCTGGAGTTTGGAGCCCAGCCAGGACTGGCTATGGGCAGGATTCTTGCATTGCCGGGGGTTGGACTAGATGACCCTTGGGATCTCTTCCAACCCTGCCATGCTATAATTATATCAAGCAGCTAAAGGAACAAAAAGATGTTTCTGAAACATTTAGGAATCATAGAACACTCTCCCCACCAGTGGCTTCCAGCAAGAGCTTGCATCTTTCTTAGGAGAGAGGCAGTCCAGAACAAGGTGGGAAAGGCTCAGAGTTCAGGTAGGTGGAAATGCCAATTGAGTGCCGTATACTATAGGAATGCTTCCTTCCTGTGTCCCCCACCCTCATGCGCCATACTGGTGCTAGTATGGCTGGGAGCCAGGCACTGCTGATTCCTCCATTTTCTTTGCAGGGAGGGAGCCTTTCCCCAACATATACTTTGTTCTGGCCAAATCCCTGGAGAGACGTGATGACCCTCAGGTACTGGGGCAGAGGGAAGGAAGGGATCCTTGTGGGACACATTTGGGGAGTCTGTGGCTTCCAGCAAGTGCTTTTCAGAAGCATTGCTCTCTCCAACAGGTGAGGCTGAACATAACCATCACGACTAGTTGCCTTTGATAGGCCTCTCCTCCATGCAATTGTCTAGCCTTTGAAAGCCATCCCATCCAAGATGTTCTTGTGGTGCATCTGATTCTCCTATGCTTCCTTGCTCCTGCAAGGAGATGACTATTATGAGATCCTTGGGTTAACATCTGTCTGGGCTGGAAAATATTAAAGAATCAGAGGTCTGGTGAGCTTCCCTTGAAGCACAACTGATCAAAGGCAGGCAGATCTGTTAGCATCTTGATAAAGATGCTCAAACGACAAAGGATGCTATCATACCCCGCAAGTGTCTCAGAAAAAGCTCCCAAGCTGATGGAGAAGAGAGCAGTTAAGTGCTCAGTGGGGCTCCAGGTTGCCGTTTCTGGATCCCACCACAGCCCTTCCAAGTTGCCAAAGAAATCAATGTCACAACAGTTTTTTCCTCGCACCTCCTCCCCATGATCCCATGTGGGGTCTTCTCAGACATATGCTGTGTCTGAACCAGCAGATCCCACCAAACCAAGTAATCGAGGACCCAGTCAGAGAAGGAGTCTGCACAGTCATACCAGAAATAAGCAAAACAACTAAACAGGTACTAGACGTTACCCCAGAACTGGCCCTACTGAACATCTTTCATGATAACAATGCCCACTCACACCATAAAGAGCTCATAACCCACTGACAGCATATGATTCAATATGGCTAACTTAATCCGACAACCTCCTCACCCACGCACAAGCAAATCCCACTGCAGCCAGCCAAAGATGATCAACCACATATAACAAGCGAATAGAAAGAGAACTTCCCCAAGTGACGCTGACAGAAAACCCCCAAGCATACAGTAAATATAAGAACTTCAGCTTTGCCACCCCATTTCATCTCTCCCGCCTCCACCCCCCTTCCAGGGCCAGATTTAGATGAAGAGAGGCCTTAGACTACTCTACTTGTGAGACCCTTTGCAGTCCCCCACCCTCACACCTACAAGAAAATGGAAGAGTGTTATAAACAAAATTAAAGCCAAGGATGATGATGGGTATTTACAGTTTTGCAATTCACAATTTCTCCTCTAAAGGACATCAGAAAACTTCATCAAAATTTGTTTGTCTAAGTTTGTCACTTTCAATGTACAGAATACTCAGTGTGGACAATCTCTTTTGAGACATCGAGGCCCTTAATTCATTTTCAATTCTTTTGAGTCTTGAAAAACGCCTCCCTCCCGAGCAGTTAGTGACCATATAGCTAAGAAATATCTGCATCTGAATTTTTTCCTTGTATATAATTTGATAAAGGTCTGTATGAGACAGAGAGTGCTCTGCTGTAAGCCTATGGCTTTGTCTCACAGGTGAAAGTGCAGAAGTTCATCAATAAGTTTCAGGTCAATATCTTCTGGGTATGCTTTCATCAACAGTTCAACACCTTGCTGAATTTCTTGCTTAGATGCTATCAGAATAGCAAGAACGGAAAAACAATTGTGCAACATCACTGTATACAGTACTTCTTTTAAACTTGGCTTCAAGTGCATCTAATATAGGAATAAAGGATTTTATCCTAAACTTATCTCTTGACGAAAGTGCATCTTAAGGCATCAGGTGCACTTCTGTCATTTCTTTGCTGTCCCCTCACTCTTTGTCTCCTTCTTTTGTAGTTAACATTTGGCAAGGTGGCTTTTGTTTGTTTCTCAAGCTCATCAAAATCTTCTCTTTAAAAAATCCAAAAGTGAACTGTACAAACTTGCACAAGAACTCAATAACAGGTCTGATTTCTGAAGGGCTTTGCTGACCTTGTGAAAATGACCTAGCACATCGATTTATATCTCTAAGATTCTGCAGATTTTGGCTGTGAACTAGGGCCCCACAAATATTTTTCAAGTTGGTCCCTAGAGTTTCAAACTGGGACCCACTGGCTGGCCCGGAGTCTCATAGTTGCTGGGCCTGAGTTACCCTGCCCTCGCATGAAGTCTTGGGTTTACAATTTTGGGAGAGGGGAGACTGCCCGCTGGGGGGGCGGGCAGGCTGGGGAGCCCTTCTAGATTTAGAGGCCCTAGGTTTCAGCCTACTTGGCCTATACATAAATCCAGCACTGCTTCTGTAACCTGATGGTGCATCCTGGAACTTAAAAATCTATGACCCATGGTGTGTTGGAAGATCAGTAGTAATGCGGGAAAGCTATATTTCAAGAATTTTGTCTTCTGCTAATGTTCTAATTGACATCCTCTTAATAAGCTTCTGAGGAGTATCACGGGCCACTAGAACACAGTTTGCAATTCACTGCTCTTGTCTTGAAATCTGTGTTGTCCCTACCATCCCAAGAGGCTATCTCAGCAACCAGTTAATCTAGTTAATTAGATTCTCGAGTTTTCATTTTCAGTTCATTTATTTATTTAATATTTTTATGTCTCACCTTTTAGGGCAAAAATGCCCCTAAGGTAGTTTTCAAACATTTAAAACTAATGAAAATATTTTGATAGGTAGACAGACAAAGCCATATGTATTTTAGGGAGAGACTTCACTTTCTCTGATATCTCCTAATCTAATTAACTTTCATTGCAGGCCAGAGAGCAGGCCATGCAGATTCATATGAGTGTAGGTAGTCTAAATACAATTCTCCTTTAATTTCACAGGATATGGAAGCGAATGGGCCATTTTCTTTAAAATGTGCCCAGGTCTTATGGTGACTGTCTAGGTCCTAGTGTTCTTCTCAAGTATAACTGTTCCAGACATAATCCTGGCTTGACTATAGCTTGCTGCTGCGGATATAGCTAAGTGTTCAACAAACTCATTTACAAGCAATTTTACTATTTAGGTGAATTTGCACATGATGTTTTGGTTAGTTTTCTTTGGAACTCTTAAGGGAAATCATTAGTACATATCTTCTATAGCCTTTCTCAAAGGGTACATTAGTGCTCATCCACACTTCCTTCTGCACCATGCTTTGCATGGAAAACCTGTTTGCTGTTTGCTCCAGTTCAGCAGTAAAATACAGGTTTTCTCAGGGAATGCACTGGGACAAAAAATTCCATCCTGCTGTGACACAGAACTTTAAAGCCCAGGCCTGTGCCTAGAAATGTGGCACAAAAGGGAGGCTGGATGAGCCCTTAGTATAGCCTTTTTTGAATTAGCTTTTTTGAGGGTGGTAGAAACAACAACAATAATAATAATGGCAGTTAAAGAACATCTTTGCCTTTTCAGCAACAGCCCTTTCAGCCTTTGCTAGGTATCAGTATTACATAGAGTCTATCATGGAAGTGAGCCTGCTTAGAAAAGATTTTATTTTTAATAGTGAAAATGAAAGAGTGCAGGGGAAGATGTGAAATGCTTTTTAAAGCTGTTTTAATGACAGTTTTATTTTATTTTTTTAAAGTAGGCTGACAAAAAGGAACAAACTGAAGCATTTTTGATAACCTAGTGTCTTGTTTCTTTCCAGATGCCTTTCTCTCTCCAAACAATTCAGCATCAGATTCTTCCAGCTACAAGCTGCCAAGTTAAAAGCAATAACAGACTGTAGGCTCCTGGAAAAGGCTGATGTTTGTAATGTGTTTATAGTTAGTGAACATTAAAATTTTCCTACCACACTGTGGGTGCAAACCCACCTTCTATCCAAGTCACTGGCAAAAATCCCACTGATTGTAATTGATCTGAAGGTTTTGAAGATAGGGTTGCATGTTGAATTGTGCTGCGTCCAAGCGGTTTGTCATAATGTATGCTGTTGTGGGGAGATTAAAGACTGCATCAGCTTGCATGAATTCTGTGGTGAAGGATGGTTATGTCTGAAATCATTTCCCCTCCTTTCTCTTTTACTATTAAGTGAACAACACGACTGGAGTTAATACTTCTGTTTAACTCTGCATGTTGCTGCCTAATACTACTTATTCAAGGAGAAGAGGACATGTGCCCATTTAATCCTTAAGATACCAGAAATAATTTTAGGTTTATCGGCTAGTGTTGTAGTGTTTTGCAGTGATTTAGCTGTTCACAGGATCAGGTGTACCCTAGTGATGAGGCATGATCCCAGTTGTTTATTGGCAAGGATTTGCAAGTAAAACATGGTGTGTGTCTGTGTGGTTTATCGAGTACAATTGCTCAAAGAATATTCTTTTAAAGGAACATCTAGAAAACCTGATTTCACACCCACAACTTTTACTGGATTTGTCATGGATGCTGGCCTCCTGAGGCACAGTACTCCTCCATAACCATAAGATCCATGGTTGTGGTACCTACAGGAAGGACTGTAGCCCAGTAGTAGAGCATATGCAGCCTCCCAGAGAGGCTTTACTGTAGCCAGTTTTTATCAGGCAGAGAAAACAGGGTTGAGGAAGGGAGAATTTGAGGTTCAGGAACTGCCAGATCCAGGACACTGTTGGAGCAGAAGGGTGTTTCTCCCCTTATCTTTTCGCTGTATGTGGCCTTTAAAAAATGTTTCAGTGTAATAGAAAATAAGTATCCCATCCCAGATTGGCATACTACCCACATTCCAGAATGTGTTGAAATGACATCTGATCAAGATGCAGCGGCAGAATCCCACCTTTTTTGCCTTTTCTTCTAAGGAGGTATTGATGGTGAACCTTTCTGTGGCGGTTGGGAGAAGGTTTCCAAGGGCAGGATTCCCCCTCATAGGTAGAGAAGTTAATTTTACTAGTTCTGCTATTATGCAATTTTGAAGAATGTTCTACTGTTTTAATATTTTGGTTTTGATGCACAGTTGTTTTAATTGATTGTTTTAATTGTTCTGTGCTCCAGAACCCTTTGGGGTTAACAAGTATGAGCTACAAACAAAACATCTCAAATAAGAAGAAATTTTAAAAATTGCATTGTTGAAAAATATGCACATAATAAAAATAAGAAAATACAAAGAATAAACATTTAGCACAACAAACTTGCATATAAATGGGCATACATAAGCATAATAAGAGAACATTGCTGTTTTAATATAATTATCATAAAGAAGAGCAGAATTGTCAGCTCTTTTACATAAAATATAATTCTAAAATACTCGAGGCATGATGCACCAAGTAGTGATGGGGACCTGGTACCTTCCAGATAAGGATGGAAACCAACTTCCATCAGCCCCAGCCAGCATGATCCTTGGCCAGAGATGGTGGGAGCTCTAACCCAAGATTACAGATTTCCTACCCCTGTCATAAAAAATTCTTTTTTACCCAAGTTTGTCCTTATAACTAATTTGATACACTTTTTGCCTTGCACAGAATAGGATTTTGGTATGATACATGTGCTCTTGCCAACCTAGCAGTTCAAAAGCACAAAGTGCAAATAGATAAATAGGTACCACTCTGGCGGGAAGGTAAATGGCATTTCTGTGCGCTGCTCTGGTTCGCCAGAAACGGCTTAGTCATGCTGGCCACATGACCCGGAAGCTGTACGCTGGCTCCCTCAGCCAATAATGCAAGATGAGCGCCGCAACCCCAGAGTCGGTCACGACTGGACCTAACGGTCAGGGGTCCCTTGACCTTTATGATACATGTGATGAGCATGTAATTGGTTTGGTTTTTGTTTTAATTTGTTTTGTGGTCACTTAAACTTATGTAAGCTGCCCTGGGAACTGTTAAAGGGTGGGTTATAAATACCTTAAATAAATCAATCAATAATAAAGAGGCGGTGGAGTTTGTTGTGGTGAAAAAGAGTATTGTAGGTGTAGAAGTCTTTTGAGGGTGATTTGAAGGAAAAGGCAGTTTGCAGGATGCAGAATGGGTGGGAACTCTTCCAGATACAGAATGCCATATTGTAGAAAGCATGAAGACACTATTGGGAGAACGGAGCAAAGCTTGTATGTAGCTAGGACTGCTTTATTCAATCCCCCTACCCTGCCAACCCACCAGTCTGTGGCTCGAAGTTTAAGAAGGAAAGGAAAATAAAGTCCTTAAGATGACCTTGAGTTTATGTACTTGGAAAATATCAGAGACACAAACATTTCCAATGAGTGATATTCAATAAGTAGGAAACTGTCTGATCCTTCATCTGTCTTTATATCTATTTCTATAGAGGAGATATACCACTATATTGGTAGTAATGGTAGAGATATCCAACCCCCTTTTTTAAAAAAAAGACCAGGGAGCCAGAATAACCCCCATTCAGTCTTTCAGGCCTCAACAGCTGTTACCCATGTGCATTTCACTAATATATCCCCAGCAGCAGCAGAAGATGGCTTGCAGGTGCTAGCCTTGGGGCCTGTGAAAGGTTTTTGGCTTAGCAGGAATTGAACTAACACAAAGATGATTATGTGGGAGTAGGTTACCAAACCTTCCCTCCATGTCATGTTTGCTTCCAAGGTGATGCCGGGGTTTAATGGGTACACTGAGGTGGGGATGTTCCCAATTATCTCTGTCTCCACTTGCACCCATTGTTTCGTTTTGTCTTCTGGCGCACATGGTTGGCGATGTATTGAGAACTCCTTCTGAGGAGGGGAAATGCAGAAACTTGGAGTTTGTTCGTGGCTTTTTGTGTGAGACGATAAATGAGTGTAGTTTTTTCTTCTACAGAGTTGTGTTGAGGGGATCAAAACTGGGAGGATTGCTGAAAGCCTTATTTAGGCATTCAGTGCCAATTGGAACTGATCACACAGGGCTACCCCACCTTCTTAATCTGAGTTCTCATCCACACGATGGAAACCTTATGCATGTAGAAGGGGACTCCTTCAAACTGATGCCAATCACACTTTGGATGGAAAAGTCTGACTGGTACATGTGCCATCTTTGAGGAGGCAGAGTTATGTTCTTCCTGGTTCCTTCATGTGTTTCATACCCACATGTACTAAAGACTTAAAGTTGCAATTACCCTCTGCTCATTAAAGAGTAAATAAGTGTGTCTGGGGTCACATGCATACATTACCTGGGGAGAGCAGCTTTGGCCTAGGGAGGAATCATGTAATTAGCCCTATCCAAAGATTGGTTCCCAAAAGTTCAGGCCCTAAAACAATTCATTTTTCTTATTCCTCCCTTCTTTGCTGGAAAGAGAATTCAGTATGAAAAATAATTTCTGAGGAACTTAAAATCTTGCTCACTAAATTTTGTTGTAATAGAAGGTATTACACTACTGTTGCTCTTGGATTAACTCCCCCCACCCCAATGGACTTACATGGCTGCCTGCAGTTTTAGATGCATCACGTGACCTTTCTCATTCTATATCAAAGTAATTATGTAAATATTTTTTTCTCGCATATCTGGTTTACATATTTTCAGAATTGTGGATTCTCACTTTACATTTGGTCTGTGAGTTTGTGCTCGTATATATTGTCGTCTACTACTTTGACCTTGTAGATGAAGCATTAGAATTGTACATTCTCAGAATACTTTTTTTACGTGGATCAGCACCTTCTTCCTTCAGCTCAAAGTTATTTGATTTTTGTCTTTAGCTAGCTTGTTCATCTCCTTTGAAAACCAACAGGTTGTTTTCTGCTAACAGAACAGAAAGTATTATCTGGAAGCATTTGCTTTATTGTTACATGACCAGATACATATTTAGAAATAATTCACAGTACTGAGACTTTAATTCTAAATTTACTTAGTGTCATGGCTTTACACACCATGTTTGGCATTTATATCCTGTTTCCTCACAGATATTCAGACTTAGGGTTCAACTAAGTGACATGCCATTTGTGCAATTAACAAATGTGTGGATGTTGTTGTATTAAATTTGTATACTGCCCTTCATCTGTAGATTCAGGGCTATTCACAACATAAAATTACAATATAAAAAACACAAAATGCATAACAAAAACAAACAAACCAATAACCCCCTCCTCCTTCCACAAACACATTTCAGCCAAACGGTTGAAGGGGAACATTTTCGTCTGGTGCCTAAAGATGTATACAGTGGAACCTTGGGTTGCGAACGTGATCCGTTCGCAACCCACAGTGCCATGTCTGTGCACGCGCGTGACGCGATTCGGTGCTTCTGTGCATGCACAAAGTGTGATCTAGCAGTTCTGTGCATGCGTCAGTGCCAAAACACAGAAGTAACCCGTTCTGGTACTTCCAGGTTTCGGCATGTCCGTAACCTGAAAACGCATAACCTGAAGCATCTGTAACCGGAGGTACCACTGTAATGTGTGTAATGAAGACAACAGCTGAACTTCCCTGTGGAGAGTATTCTGCAAAAGGGGAGCCACTGCAGAAAAGGCCTGTTCTCGTGTTGCCACCCTCCAGACCTCTCGTGGAGGAGGCATACGAAGAAGGGCCTCAGAGAATGAATGTCGGATTTGGGTCAGTCCATATGGGGAAAGGCAGCCTTTGAGCCTTTAACCCAGGGGTCTGCAACCTTTAAGACAAAAAGAGCCACTTGGACCCGTTTCCGAAGGGAACAAAACTGGGAGCCGCAAAACTCGTCATTATAAAAATAATTTTTTTGTCACTTTTTTTTATTATTTCTTTGTTTGACCCCTCAGAATTACTCCTGCTCATGGAAATAAACGTTAAATTAACAAGTTACCTTTTTTTGTGTGTGTGTTCTTCACTCCCCTTCAAAACAGTGACCAACGTACATGCCCCCTTTCAATGCAGTGACCAGCGTACATGCCCCTTCCAATGTAGCGGGCGGGCGGGAAGGTGACGTTGGGACGGTGCGTGACTAACACACGCACCACCCCCGTGCGACGCCACAGCCAGTACAGCACCCGTCACAGTGGGGAGTGTCGGGGCGCACAATGCGCCTCCTCCCCTTGCTAGTATCCGCCCCGGAGCCGCTGCAAAGGTGTAAAAGAGCCACATGCGGCTCTGGAGCCACGAATTGCCGACCCCTGCTTTAACCCTTACCCCCACAAATAGAAATCCAATAGAAATAACAGGCATGATCAAGACTGGGACCACAGCAAGTGCTAAAGCCCTGCGTCCTATCCCCTTGCTAGCCAGGGTCCTGGTCCAAATCAGACCCTTCTTGTGCTAACTATTTAAAAGAGCAACACTGACATAGTTGCTAATGGCATCTTGTCTAATTTACCCTCGGGGACACAGAAATAGCTTGCTGAGATTGATACAATAGTTTCTGGGCCATCTTCCTCTTGTCTTTGCAAAGGCCTTTCTCAGCAGTTCCAGCATGTTGCCTTTTTCCATGGCTTGTATAGAAATGTTTTCAGAAACCTTCTAAAACCTGTTTTTCATTTCCAATTTGTGAGCTAGTTTATATTTTTAGTATTTAGAGTTTATTGACTTGGTTTTGCAGTCTTCAGGTTAATTTTATTTTGTAGTAGTTCATCCTTCTACCAGTAGTTTACAAATGCACTATTATATGGATGCCGCACATTAATAGCATTCCTTTGCAAAATGCATCAATTTGTCAGATAAAGGAAGAAATTAGCTACACTTTCTTCATGTTAAAAGTCACACCCTATCTAATTTAGAGGCATCTTTGACTAGAAGTTGCAAGCCTTAGGATACTGATTTGAATTATGCATGACTGTCTGGTTTGCAGTTCCATTAGCCTGCTGTTTGGATAATGTAAACATGCTCTGAATTTTAAGTATACTATATGAGTGGCAGGTTAAAAATAGAGCTAATAAGAGTACATATTTGGAAGATGTGAATCTCAGAACAGAAGGCTGATCACTCCCAGCAACTTGAATTAGGATGGAAACACATGACCTGCAGCATGGTGATGCTAACAGCAAGGAGAGATGACCATCTGTGGCCTTTTGCCATGTGGTAAGTTAACATAATCACTACTGGAAATAGACTGATGTTAATACTGCCAGAGGTATGTAAAGCTAAACTTATAACATAGTTTGAGACGACAGGTAATGATGGTTCCGGGCCTGAGAACAGGAAGTGAAAGTGAGAGAACACCACTTACTACCTACAACTTTTAAATAGACTATCTCCCAACATTTAATCAGTTGTCTACAGCCCCTCCTGGACAATTATATTTGTAAATAATGAAGTCAAAAGGCCAAGGGGATTCAATAATTGATCTGTTGCTGATGAATAGCCATTATAGTGAGGATAGACTTACTACCCAAGGCCTCAGATGGAGAGAATGTGTATCCATGTACATAGGTGGGGAGGGTGATTTATTTGCTGAAATTTGTCACAAATACTTTATAGTGCAACCATAGCCATATCTATTGAAGTCCTGTTAAGGGTTAGCATTGCAACCATAGATGGCAATTCTATAAATACTCACCTGGGACTAAGGCAATTGGACTTGCTACTCAGGTGCTAAGGACACACCTACAAATTTATTTTGATTATCAGGCCACACTTCAAATGTGAATTTAGATTTTTTTTGGTAGTCTATAATTTTTTCTAGTACTGATTTTTTATGAACTGGATTAATATAAACTTAGAGCTTTCACTGAAGTATAATTTGCCATACTTTTGCCTCAAACCTGGATTTGGTTATCTGATGTCTGAATTTACCCAAGTTAGTGTGATGATAGGAGAAAAGAAAGGCTGACAACAAAAAACATCACTGGGTCATCAGTTACAACTGTGCAACGTACTTCTCAGACTTCTTAGTTTGTATAACATCACTCTGTCTAATAGCAAACTCAGGTGTCAGTGCAAACAGGAAAGAATCTGAAACAGAGACACTGAGGCAGAAGCAGCATTTTTGGAGGGAATCCCAAAGTTTGCAAAAATACAAAAAATACCTAAGAAGATGCCCCTTCTTAAAGATTGAAGACTGAGCTGAGGGTCAGTTGTTAAAGGAAAGTGAAAGACAGGAGGAAAGAAGAATGGATTGCTTTTCTTGAGCTCCTTACAGCTAATAAAATCCTGGAAGAAGGCATGGCAGGCTCACCGGAGTGTGGTGATATATTACTACATTGTTCTTTGGAGGGGCCACTTGTTGCATCTAATAGCAAACCCAGGTTGTTGAGTGATGCCAACAGGATTGGAGCCCAAATGGCCGCTGAGAAATGAGAGGGCTGTATTGGAGTGCTTGAATGAACCACAACCCAGTGAGGACTGAGCATGCTTAGTGACTTCCAGGAGCCACAGAATGTTGAGTGTCAGCTGGAAAGGAAAACAGAAAATGGGGATGGGATGAATTGTCCTGCCTGGGCAGTTTACAGTTTATAATACCCTGTCCATCTGATTAACTTTGAACAGGAGCACTTCTGTTAGGGGATGAAGAGGACACACTGCAACATTTTGTTGCATGTCTCACTTGTTACACCAGATGATATTTATGGGGTCTTTTTTGCCTCAAGTGTGTCGAATTGAGACCCAACATCACAATTATATGTGTATCAACCTGTGCCCTTGTATTATGTCCAGTTATGCTGATTTTGCAGATGTATGTAAGAGTAGTTGGTTTCAGGGCTGACTAGCAATTTTTTATAAGGGGATATGACTTCCATAGAGAGTGTCAGGAGCTGGAGTCAGGCGTAGGTCAGCAATAAAATAATAGAGCACCCGATGTCAGTGAAGTTAACTTTTTATTCAAGGAAACAAAACAGCTCAGTCCTAGTGGTCACAGCAACCCTTGCCCCAGTGAAGCAGTTGTGAGGACTGAAGGTCTCTGCCTTTCCACTGCTCTCTAAAGCTTTTCCCCTGGTTCCTTCCCCAGCAGCCTAAGGCTCCATCATCTTGTTTCTCATTGCTGCATCCTCTTCATTTCATTGTTCTGGGAAAGGGGAGAGGAGGGGGAGCTGGTCACAGCAGGAGGGGAAACTCCCTGGATTCTTCAACAGCCTTCCTTATCTCTTGTCTCCTGCCCCCCCCCCCCCCAGGGCTGTGCAAAAAATCACCACACCCTTGAATACCGGTATTGAAATATCATTGTGATAAGTGTTTCAACAAGGCAGGTGGACACTTAACAGCTTCCTGGGAGTAGCTCAGCTGAACTGATATTTTAGTTGCTTTGCAGATAATTTGCAGGCCTGGTGTCGCCAGCTTTGTATGCTCTCTCCCTCCTAACTGATAAGAAATTAAGATAGTGTTGGTGCTGACCTTTAAAGCTCTAAACGGCCTCGGTCCTGTATACTTGAAGGAGCGTCTCCACCCCCACCATCCAGACTGGACACTGAGGTCCAGCGCCGAGGGCCTTCTGGCAGTTCCCTCGCTACGAGAAATGAGGTTATAGGGAATCAGGCATAGGGCCTTCTCGGTAGTGGCGCCTGCCCTGTGGAACACCCTCCTAGCAGATGTCAAGGCAATAAACAACTATTTTACTTTTAAAAGACAACTGAAGGTGGTCCTGTTTAGGGAAGTTTTTAATGTCTGACGCTGTTTTAATATTCGGTTGGAGGCTGCCTAGAGTGGCTGGGGAGGCCCGGCCAGGTGGGTGGGGTATAAAAAATAATAAATTTTTATTTTTGATATGATATGATATGATACGATACGATATGATATGATAAACTCTCACACAAACCAGCAAACTCTTTCAGCTTCACCAGTATCTTTCCATTTGGAGCTCAGCTAATTATGCAGAGCCTGCTAACAATCCAGAAAGAGCCCCCCCCCCCAATGACTGGACAAGAAAGAACGTAAACAAAGAACTGGAAAGCACTTCTTTCTTTTTTCTTTTAGAAAAAAAGAGGGGGAAGAGTTTTTGTTTTTATTTTCTGATGGTGTTTATGCTGCCCCGCCCCCAAAATAGTTTCCCTCCATATCAAAAGGGAAGGTTTTATTTATTTATTTAAAGGAGACTATATTTTTGCTTAATTGCTTGCTTGCCCTCTCTCCCTTTGATAAAAAGGGAGAGATTGGTGGGATGAGGCCCTTCTGGGGGGACATGGAGGGGAGAAGATTTAGCTGGCTGCCTTATGCTGAAATGGGAGGTTTGGTGTTTTGCAGTAAGCAGTGCAAGCAAATGCATGTCTACTCACAAGCAAGCCCTCCTGAATTCAATGAGGCTTACTCCCAGGAAAGTAGAAGTAAGTTTAGTTGAACTCAGTGGGGCTTATGCATGCATAGAATCCGCTTAGACCTCTGAGTGGGGAAGCAGATGCAACTTGACTAGTAAATCACTTAAACAACTCTTAAATTAGTTGAAAATATATTAAATATATTATATGGAAGTTTATTTAATATTTTTATTAAATCTACTAGTTTACATTTTAAGGCCCTCCACCGCCACAGGGAGCCTCGTCAAAGCCTTCAGTTGCTGTGGGGAAGCACACCCTCTGCCACTGTGGGGAGGTACGACGGGGCCCTCTGCTGCCAAGAGGGGGTGCTTCAAGGCCCTCTGCTGCTGCAGGGAGGTATGGCGGGACCCTCTGCCACTGGGGAGAGGCCTGGCAAGGCTCTCTGCCGCCGTAGATATATATTGTGATATATCAAGGTATTATGATATTTAGCTGGTGATATATCGTGATGTTGAAAATCAGATATTGCCCAACCCTACCCCCCTCCTCTCCTGCCTCTGAATCTGCACTGCTCTCTGCCACAGTCTCTTCCTGCTCACTAAATCCTGTTACCTCTTCGGCTTCCAGCACCACATCCTCTCATTCGGCTCCCTCTTCTCCCTCTGACCACTCATTGTTGTCCCACCACCAATCCCCAGGCTCTAAGATTGCCCAGGAACCTCAAATATGCTCCCTTGAGTTAAAAGAAAGGCAGGATATAATTATAAATATAAGAAAAGAGTCCCTAAATTTGGTCCACTGAATAATTTTCGAAATGTCTCACAATGCCACATGAGCTCAGGGCCAAAGCTGAATGTCAGCTGTTCTTTGCTTGAGAACTTCAGTGTTATTTCTGAAACTCTCATATCATCGCTACTCGTTGCAGCAGCGGTAGAAACTGAAACCCTAACCTTTTTTTTTGGACACTTTTTTCTTTTTCTTGGAATGCAGTCAGCTGGGTTAAATAACTCCTCCCCCCCCCCCTGAAAATTAATCTACGAAGTCATTTCATTTAGAACTCAAGTGTATACAATATTGTGCAGCTTGTTTGTAAGGGTGGGGGTGGGAACCTCAAGGAACAGTACCAAGAGATTAGAAATTCATCCTATATAGATGGCTCAGATTCCTACTGTGTCAGTTTTCTGGTGTTTGATAAGACACACAAAGCAGTTGCAAGAGAAAGCATGTCGTTGGTATCCATGGCAACACCAAAGATACTTTGGAACTCTGGGGGATAGACTGTGCCACAGTAATGGGTCGCATTATGAGGGCAAAATGCATAAAAGGCTCAGACATATGCTTGTAATTAATTGCCATAAATAGCTTAAAACAAAACGTAATGGTTTGTTTTGCTGGTAGAAATCACTAACCTTTGAGATTTTAAAGATATGTTTGAACTGATTTTTTTAAATAAAAAAACCTTGTTGTCCTAAAAAAGGGCATGGTACCTTGAATACTAATATATTTGTGAAATCATGTGCCAGCCATGAGAGAGTACATGCTGATAAAAGCTTCTATAAATCTCATATGTCCAAAGGTTTTAGATGGCGCATTTCAGTTTTAATTCCCCAGTCCATCATGCAATTTCTTACGATGACTTTGGACTGTAAAGCATTGCCCATATGGTGCATTGTGTAAGGAATTACTCAAAGGTATGTTTAATATATTCCTTTCTTTCCAAGGGAATGATGCAACAGACATTGTTGAAAATGATACTTCAGTTTAGACTAGAAATCCTTTTTTTTTTTTTTTTTAAGGACATGTCTTGAATTTATTTATAGGAACAGCAATTGCAATGTAATATTTGTCCAGGTACGAGGGTGCAGGGGGATTCAACAAGCAACATACTTAGATAGGAAAATCAGAATAATTATTTAGAGAAAATGTTTTAATTTGAAGGGGGGGAGGCTAAACTTTTAGCAAAATAATCCTGTTTGCAAGGAACCCATCTTTGTGTATTACAATGCAATTCACCACATTATTTCTTCTTGGTTGCTATAGAAACTAATTCTGGTGCAGCTGTGATCGCCTATCAAAATTCTAACATTACCCTATGTTACAATACACATTTCTTACTTCAAAGTAAATTGCAATATGGTGTCTGGTTAAACCATGTACTTCATCATTCAAGAATTGTTGAATGGCCAAAATGATAATGCAATTATGTTTCTGAAAACTGTCCCTGCCTACTTTTTTTTGCAACTTTGTACAAGAAAACAAGAGTGCTTACTTATGGTTGCTTTTAACTGAAATCAGGCAGCTCGGGGAAGCACATGATATTTTGCGAGCCCAATCTTTGTTTCATTTCATGGTCATACATTGTTCAGCCACAATTGTTTCTAATAGGAGTTAATTTGAAAGTATTTGATTATGCTGTGACTTCTCTTCTGGTTTATAATTCTATAAACAAACCAGTCTTCTATGATAACAGTTTAAAACAGCTGCTTTGGTGAAGTGGGACAAGTACCATAACAGTGGTATACATGCTATGAAAACTTGAAACAAAATAATCTTACTGTGAGCATTATATTCAAACCATTTTCTTTTAGAATCTTAGAGCTGGAGAGTTGGAAGATACACCAAAGGTCATCTAGTCCAACCCCCTGCATTGCAGGAATCACTGCTTTTAAGGTAGGGTGCAGTCAGCAGTCCCTACCGACGTCCTTTGATAAACATTTTAAGATAAGTGGATTTTGCATAGAGCCATGAAATAATTTTATTCCTGTTATTGAAACCTTAATAAAAAAAATTCCAGGCAAGGGAACTTTATAGTAAGGTTGGCTGTTGAATTCATGGAAGTCTAATGAGATTTGCAAAAAGTTATTTACCTTCTGATGCAACCTATCTTATGATGATAGGAAGGAGAAGGAAGGGAAGCATGGGCAAACAGGAAAAGAATATGCGATTATTTCAATTGCATGTGCTTAAGGCCTAACTGCATATTGCATTTAAAATGTTACTAGCCATCATATTGTGAGTTTTTTTAAACATATACTACCGGGCACAGAGAGAGGTGGTGGTCAGCACCTTTTAAACGGTTAATGGTGTCCCCCCCAAGTTTTATATTTACAGATCATATTTTCATCCTTATTTAATAATTCACATAGAGTTCCCTACCCAGGTTTCCGTGGCAGTTCAGATGCATCTTATTTAGCTACATATCCATTAATTTATCCATCCTGTTTTTACCCCCTTCCATATCGTTGTTGTTATCAACTGTTAATCATAACATTCCAAGTCGGTAGGGAAGGTTTAAAACCTTCCCACGCAGCTGTGATCTTGATAAAAAAAATCCCCTCCCAAGCACAGTGTAATGAATATGGGTTGCTCGTGCGTAAGTTGCCGCCTCTCCTGGCTATGTTGCCTGGTTAAACCTTTCTGTCTGGACAGCCCTTCACTTCGTGGCTGCCTCAGTCGCTAGCAGAATCCGTCAGTGGGCGTTTCTTAAACCTTTTCCAACATAAAAGTTGTTTGACGCCAAGTCTCCTCCTACTCTCCCTGCGCGGAAGTCTTCTGCGCAGGGAGGGCGTGGGTAGCGGAGGACCCGTGCTCTCCCCGCTGGTGTCCGGTGAAGAGTCCTGGAGCCCTCTCGCCGATTCCCCCATCTGCCCCCCTTTATCCCTGGTGTTGCGCTGATTTGCTTCCCCATCTGCTGAGCTGCCTCTCTCCCTGCTGGGCCCTTCTCCAGCATCATTTGAGAGCCTTCCCTCCGCCTCTAGCTCCGATGTCAGTTCCCTGACACACAGTGATTCACAATAGGGAAAAACTCCCACTGGTACCTAGCCAATTCATGCTTAATTCATGCAAAATCCATATTACTAATGTTTTGATTGGGTGGGGGAAAGAGATGAAAAACGAAACTAAATGATAATTCTTTTCTGGTGCAGGTGCAGCATCTGTTCACGGAGCAGTCCCCACAGGGCTCAGTCAAGCTCCATTTCTCCTCCTCTAGGCAGTGCATGGGAATATTATGGGGCCTTTCCTCCCTTATCCCCATCCAGTCTTCCCTTGTGTGAGTTTTTTCATCTATGAGACATGTGCAGGTTGCATACAGTCATGATAAAACACTGGAATGAGATATGGGAGGCATGCATAGCTCTTTGTTCCCCATAATCTTAAGGTGGGCAAACGTGGGAGGTTGGGTGTGAAATAAAACAGTTTTGCTGAGATGACATGGCTCAGAGACTAGATCAGGGGATAGCAAACTTTTTCAGCAGGGGGCCAGTCCACTGTCCCTCAGACCTTGTGGGGGGCCGAATATATTTTTTGTTGGGGGGGGGAATGAACGAATTCCTATGCCCCACAAATAACCCAGAGATGCATTTTAAATAAAAGGACACATTCTATTCATGTAAAAATACGCTGATTCCCGGACCATCTGTGGGCCAGATTTAGAAGGCGATTGGGCTGGATCCGGCCCCCGGGCCTTAGTTTGCCTACCTATATACTAGATGCTACATTTCTTGTTTTTAACTGTAAGCTGCCTTGATTCCCATCAGGAAAAAAGGCGGGGTATAAATAAATATATTATAAGAAGATGTTAGCTACATATCTTTGCATTTAAGTACCTTGTTTTCAATCTTGGAGACCAGGGTTCAAATCCCTGTTCAGCCATGAGGCTGTGTAACTTTGGGCTGGTCATAATCTCTTGTCTCTTGCACAGGGTTGTTGTGAGGAAATAGCATACGCTTCAACATTTCTCCGATGAAAATAGGGACACCCCATTCCATAATGATAATTTTACTATTTATACACCACACATCTTACTCTGTTGCCCTAGCCACTCTGGGCAGCTTCCAACATATATAAAAACATTTTTTTAAAAAAACAACTTCCCTGAACAGGATTGCCTTCAGACAGCTGGGGTGTGTGTGTGTGTGTGTGTGTGTCAAATAATTCCATACCTGCCAACATTTCTCCAATGAAAATAGAAACCAGGGTGGTTTTTCTAAATCATCTACATCCCTGGAAAATAGGGAAAGTTGGAGGGTCTGCTATAACTCTCAGATCACTAGCTGAGAGAACGCTTTTCACAGTTTCTATAATGCTTTTTACTATTTTAAGAATGCTTTTACTACTACTATTACTACTATTATTGACATCTTTGCCAGCTTGGTCTACTTCAGGAGGAAGAGTGGGATATGAGTTAACTGAATGAATGAATGAATGATGGGCAGCCAGAGAGCTTTGTATGTCACCTTGCAGGAAATATCAGATATAAATGTAACAAATAAATAAAGTGTAGCTTGGGAGAAGGGGCTTAACCATTTGTCCTCCACTATGCCCCCACTCATAGAAAAGCAAATGATACTCCTCCACCCCTCTGCTGTTCATATCGTAAATCTGAATCTGGACCAAAGTGAAGGAGTTAAATGCAAATCTCCCTATTTATATGTTTTAAAATGCTACACTTAAAAGCACCGATACATAGGTGTTGCAATATATACATCCCCTAATATCTTTTTTCTGATTTGCTATTAAATAATTTCCACACCTTCAAAACAGTGCCCAGTTAATACATGGTTTTAAAGGATTGGCTGTTCAATTTTTTCCCTGTTCTACTGTGCTGGCATCAAGGGCTAGAATTATTATTTTCTTACTTGCTTTTTATTGACTAAGCCGTCCCAACATGCAACGATTTTTTCCGCGTAGAAGAAATCAAAGTGGTCTTTGTTTGTATCCCTGTAAGAAAACATTGGAATGTTTTAATCGTGTGGTTTTTTCCAGATAAGTCATTTAGCTTCTGAATGGATCTTCAATAAACCATTTTCAGTTTTGGAATTATCATACAAACATTTTGCAGCTGTAGCTGTCAGATTTGTTAGTAATTAGCTACTTATCTGCCACCTTCAAATGGGTTGTTTAACAAGCTGTATAAAACAGTAATTTCAAATTAGGTATCTAAAATGTTACATTTTATGCCCATGAAAATGTTGAGTGTGTAAACTAATAACTGTAAATAGTAAATACATCAGCATTCTTTTGAAATATGCTTTTACAACTTCCATTGTGACACTATTGACTGTAAGGTGGTAAAACCAGCACTTCAGAGTAGATTGTTCAGTACTTGTGTCTCCCCACAGTCAGATTGTCTTCTGATGATTAGCTTTCCATTAGGAAGGAACTCATTCTGGTTCTTGAATTGGCATAATAACCTTGTATGTTTTCCCATGTTGGTGATGAAGCAGTTTGGGTCAAGCAATTCTGAGCTGAAGCGTCTTCCTGCAGGATCGGGAGAAGGTTAAATCTCTGCCCACATCTCCTTCATCCACAAGCAGTGAGGAACCTATGGCCTAGCAGTTGTTGTGGAATTCCCAACCCCCATCAGCCCCAACCAGCATGACCAAAGATCAGGATGATGGGAGTTGTAGTCCAGCAATGTCTGGAGGTCCACTGGTTCCCAAACCCTGACTTAGACGCACAGCCTGCCCAGGCTGCATTGGATTAAAATAAATAGTGCTCAGCTGAAAGTTAGCTTCAGCAATGTTTCAGTCTGAAATTTTGGGACAGGGGACGGAGTGGCAGTCAAGGGAAAATGACGCCAAAGTCACCCTACAGTTTACCCTTCTTCAACATCACTTTTCTTATGGTGCTGGCAATAGCACTCTTCCAGCAGCAGCCATTTCTTCACCCATAGGATGGTTCTGAGGTAGCTTTTTGGGGAGAGGGGTGACGGTGGTCAAGGGACGCCTTTTTGTTTTGACAGAAGCCTCTCACAGAATGATTAAATTGTGTTGTTCCCAGGAGGGATTCTGGGGAAATAAAATGGTAGTCGCAGGGAAGAGAGCTGGTACTAGGAAGTTTCCCTTATCCCCATTTCACTGCTTCTCCCGCCTCCCCACATTTCTTAGAAAGAGAGTAAAGAATCACGGGATTGGTTGTAACATGTTGCTTGTTGTGGAGTGACAGCAGAGAAAACAATGGGGGTGGGATGATCGGTGGGGGGGGGCAGGCATGTTAAAGGAGGCTTTGAAAACATTGGATCTAGGCACTCCTGTGTCTCCAATCCTAGAACAGGGGGAACAGATACCCCAGGTGTGCTGCATGGAAGCAATGGCATGGATTTAATTTTTAAAAATGTAGCAGTAAACCAGTGAAAAGGAGGACGAACCCACACCACTGCTTTCTGCCGTACTGACACAAGCCCAATGGGGCTTTGGATTAGGCGGTTTGCTCGCCTTCGATTCTCCTTTCCTTTTGGATTGTTCTGCCCAGCAATCAGTTAAAGGGAATAGGTTGTGTAGGTAGCAAAGGAGAACTGGCTTGTCTGATTGATGCTTATTTCAGCTTTTGAGCAAGACAGCTGAGCTGTCTTCAAGTGAATGTAAGTGCACTCCCCGCTCCTTTTTTCTTCCCTCCTTGTTCATTCATTCTGTCAGACTGCCTTTTTCTTCTGCTCCTTTCTAGTACAGAGCTGATTACCAATCGAAAATCTTGTTATGACACATTTCTTTAATAGGTTCTTTAATAGGAGTTTCTCGCTTTTCAGTGGGATTCTGGGGGTGTTACTTTCTAAACTGAATTTTAGTTTATTTTGTTAAGCACAAGAGAAACAAAACTTCCTCTCCACCCCCCCAAGAGCTGTGCTATTTATTGCTTTTGGGCTCCAATGTCAGGTCAGCATGGTTCACCAAAATATGGTGTCATTTGTGTGGTATGGTGACAAAGTATAGTAACTTAGTGGAGGCAGGGGCCGGCCAAAAGGACACAGTGCAGGTATGTGCTAACCAAATAGTCAGTGGTGCCCAGCATGGGTGTGCGTTATGCTTGCATTCAGCATAGCTCCCGGACCCAGCCAGCTCAGGGTTAGTGCTTGTTTTACTGCTCCCTGCTCTCATCAAAGCTGCCTGATTCCATGACTGCAGTATTCATGCAGAGGTTGGGTGGCCATCTGTCATGGATGCTTTAGCTGAGATTCCTGCATTGCAGGAGGTTGGACCAGATGACCTTTGGGATTTCTTCCAACTCTACAATTCTGTGATTTTATGGTCTGATGAAACTACCCCATGTTTTTCCTACACAACTAGCGGAGCAACCCACAAGTGCCTTCTCCTTTTCCCCATTTTGTCACCCAGCACTACATGTACATAGCATGATTAACAAATTTATTATTGTTGCCATTACTGACAACAGTAATAATAATTTATAAAGCACCTGCAGCTTTTTAACCACTCTCAAAAGTTTTTTAAAAAACAACAACAACCAGAGTTCCTGCGTGCAACGTATTGTCTAATCAACGTGATGCAAAAGGAAATAGGATTGGGGAGAAAAGAGGGGAGCAATCCAACTTGGGCCCTAGTTTTTGGAGTTATTTAATTTTTCTTATGATGACCAGCTAGAATGGAGACAGTCCAGGGAGAGGAGGAGCCAAAGCAGGCTTCCTCAAACTCGGCCCTCCAGATATTTTTGGCCTACAACTCCCATGATCCCTAGCTAGCAGGACCAGTGGTCAGGGATGATGGAAACTGTAGTCTCAAAACATCTGGAGGGCCGAGTTTGAGGAAGCCTGAGCCAAAGAGAAGTTCATTTCTCAGCTGAGCTGATGGGGTGAGCCTCTCCTTTCTCAACCTTAGTAGCACCAAAGGGTTTCACCAATAGATGAAAACCCAAGGGAGAGGAGGGTGTGAATGGCAACTGTGAATTTTCACTGCATTCTAATGCGTTTGAATGCACGTTCCCTGAGTTCAGCTTGCTTTCAGAATTTAGGAATGTCCAAAGTAGCAATTTATTTGGAAATGAAATCAAAACGATTTGTCTTCCTCCCAAACAACCCAGTAATCTACTCGTAAGGTATATTTATTTTCTCGCTGCACAAGTTACCCTTCATGTTTAATATATGTTGTTTCCATTTTGGTAGGCAGGTGGTATAAGCCGAGATTCCTCTGTAGCAGGATGCTGAGACAACCCACTTCATTGTGAAATAACAATGTTTGCGTACGCTCCTGTAATCTTTCTGTTTTAAAGGGGGGGGGGAAGCGCCCCAGGTCTTCATTAAACATTTATTATTTATCTTCTATACTCTCTTTGCGGTGCAGGGTTATTTGGCGAGATGAACTTTTCCCAGCTCAAAAATATTAAAACATGAAAATTCCATTTGCGCTCATCGGAGTAGCATAGCAGAAACCTCTGTGGGTATTTAATCATTCAAAATAAAGGGTTTTCTTTAATTTTTAAACATGTATTTCATTTTATGTTTTATTTAAATTGTTTTAACATTTGCCGAGAAGCCCCTGAAGTACTAAAACTTTTGAAACTTAGGTTAGCTTAAAAATAAACATGAATAATCCTGCATGTGGAGGAATGACAGGAGGGAGAGGGGGGGAGAGAGAGATGCAAGTATGCTGCTGAGAAAGAAACCAGCCATGATGATTACAAAGCATTACTTGCAAAAATTATCAAGCTATACAAGGAAGCCGGAATTGGGTTGCTCATTGATAACAATAGGCCTTTTTCTGATTATTATGAATATTTAAAGGAGCTCATGAGAAGCTCAAAGCTAATGTGCAAAACCAGATTTTGGTAGAGCAGTTCTCTGGCTAGGGATTTTGAACCTCGGAGATAAGGCAGCAGTTTCCAGATGTTAATGAGGCAGACAGTGTAGGCATGGTTCGGGGAAACCAAATATAGAACAAGAAGAGTTGAGATGATGAAGACCTGTGGGAAACTGCAAGTCGCGCAATGGAAAAGAACCTTACTAGCAAATGCTGTATTTTTGTGAGTAAGTAGCATGTAAGGCAAGGGACCAAACTTGCAACTGAAACGAAAAAGTTGAACATTTCAAAGGAGAGAAAAAAAGAAGGAATAAGATGGAGCTTACATCTGAAACAGTAATGGTTGCAGTTAATATGGATTCAATTTGTTTCCTTCTACAGGAAATTTGCAACCCACTTAAATTGGTTAGTAGCATTAATCACTTCTCTGCTTCTTTCCTGACTCCAAAATGCACCTTTCTTTTCTTCATTATCTTATCCAGCTTTTAGAAGCATCCCATATACTCATACACTATACTTCATATAAATCCTTGTTAATGGAAAACACTAATTTGTTTCTGTTTTGTCTTATGGGGGGGGGCAAACGCAGTGTGTTCATAGGTTCTACTTGACTATTTCTTCTGTATGTACTTTCCATCTGTCTTGAAATATATTAGGGCTGCCATTCTTCTTCATTTCTTAAAGTTATTTAATTAATTGTTTGAGGTTTACAGTGCAATCTTATACATATCTGTTCAGAAGTAATCCCTACTGACTTCAATGGGACTTACTACCAGGTAAGTGGGTATAAGATTGCAGCCTTCATTAAGTAATTAATCAATTTTATAGTTGCATATGAATAAGACACTTGTTTTTTAGGGGGTGGGGAGTGCCTCCTTGTTTTCAGACAAGGCTTATATGTGCCACAGAACACACAGTCTTAGATGTATTCCCTCCTGTGTCATAGAAAAAGAAGTTGGAATCTTCTTTTAAGAGGTGCCATACGTCCAGAAGGGTAGACTATGGCAAATTTTCTTTTAAAGAACTCAACAACTTTGCCAACTGTTGTGCCTGGACTTTCACTTTTTAAAATATGGCAACCCGATTCTAATATGCTGTTGACCCTGTGCCCTTTTTATATGTGTTAATATTTAACACAATGTATTTCCCTATTAACTGGGGGCACCTTTTGATCAATTGAAAAGCTTTTAAAGTGATAACTGTTTAATCAGCTAAATGGTGCAGCCCCCTAATAATATTTAAAATATACTACAGTACTTGCAAAGTTAAAACAAAGATCCATTTAAAAGAACTTGGCTATATGTTTTGGAAAACGTAGCCGCAGCATTTGGCACTCTTGATGGTCTTTGCAGGGTCTGGACTGGGACTGAATACACTCAATACAGAATCAGAACTGTAGGTGAGCTCTTAGACTCAGAACCAGGAGATGAACTCAACTATAGCAGTCAAGCAAGCACATGCCTCATAGTGACAGACTCATGGGTATGATTCAAGTATCAAGCTAGGAAAGTTAGGCAAGAAAAGAAGCCGCAAGAATTGTCAGAATCTTATCAAGGACAGAAGATCACACCTAGGAAGTACTATTTATGAGAAGGCACGGGTGGCAATTTGAGGTAGAATTCAACCCGGTGCTGCATTGTTGGATAGCAGATGAGGCAAAAACTGTGAGGATATTGAAGTTGGGTCATTTTGGAAGTTCAGGATAATCAGGGCAGGGCAAAATAATATCTGGATCCATGGGGCAGGAGTGGTAAGGGAGCATACCTAGAGATGAGGGATGCAGTTCCTTCTTCATGCACCAGGCTCAGCACATAACTCTTTGGATCAGGGCCACCATGTTTGAATTCCTCGTAAAGCACCACCTTGCTAAACAAATGATGTTTTTCTCTTCCAGCCACATTTCTTACAGAATGAAAGCCTATGATAACTGTTATTTATTCCTAGCAAACTGCATTCAGAGAATGAGACAAACACCTCCTCTTGATGAATTGCAGCCCCCACCGTACCAAGATGATAGCGGCTCCCCGCATCTCTCATGCACGCCCTCCGAAGTTGGTGACAGCAAATGTGAATTCTCTCAGTGTAGCAACAGTCCAAGATGCTCATATAAATGCCCAAGCGAAGGGAGCACTGGGCATGAAATAGAAAGCTTCCATAACAAAGGATATGAAGATGTACCCAGTGACAGCACTGCAGTCCTTAGCCCAGAGGTAAACACACGCTCTCCCAATTGTACCAAAATTATTCAGGATATAATGAAGCAGCATTGGTCCGATACATTACAGCTCAGTCGGGTCTTGAAAGATGGCTTTCCCCATTGACCCATACATGTACCACTTGAGACAGAGGCAGAGAACTCTTTAAGCTCCTCCTCCTGCTGAGCATGAGAACTGAGATGCAGCCTCTATCAAAGCCTTTGCTAGAGTTTACATCAGAGAGGATGTAGTAATACTGCTTGTTTGCCTGGATAGAGGATCAAGGAATGTGTGTGAGAGTATGTAGAAACTTTGTTGTTGTTTAGTCGTTTAGTCGTGTCCGACTCTTCATGTCGTGACCCCATGGACCAGAGCATGCCAGGCACTCCTGTCTTCCACTGCCTCCCGCAGTTTGGTCAAACTCACGCTGGTAGCTTCAAGAACACTATCCAACCATCTCGTCCTCTGTCGTCCCCTTCTGCTTGTAGAAACTAGCCCACTGTAAAAAAGGTAAAAACCACCTTTCCCTCTGGCCCCACTCATCACTTCCCTGTGGCCCCTGGAAACTTGCCCAGAAGAAAAGGTGGCCCCCGGGCTGAAAAACACTCCCCAATTCTGACATATCAGAAGACCACCTCAGGGCCTGAAGTTAACTTCTCCTTCCCCATCCCTGCCCCTGAGCCTTTCTTCCACCAAGTACCCTGTGGGAAGAATAGCCATGACTTTTTACTATCCTCCTAGTAAAATATTGCGTACTTTAAAAAAGTAATGTCACTAATGAGCCGTCGTGGAAGGATTTGTATCCTGAAAGGTGGGAAAGAAGTAATTGCAACAAATAAGTATATAAATATAAGTCTATTATAGTTAGACGTGCTAACTTTTCAGTGGAATTCTTTGACTGGAATCTTAATGTTTGGTACACAGATAACACCATCGTCATCCACCACAACCATAATTATTAGCAGATTTGGCTACGCATGTGAATCTCATTCTTACTTATAATTAATAATGTGCTTGGATAGTTTAAATGTACAGCATGCAATTAGGAAGGTGTTTTATTTTTAACTGAGTCTTTCTTCTCACATACCAAATGTCACTTTGACTGGTCATTTGACCAGTCTGGTAGCAGGGTTTTGGTTTTCTTTTTAGTAAAGCACAGGGTGAAATAGGTGGAAAAACACTGTGGTGGCAGGGATTACTTATCTGTCCCTCTCTTAAATCTGGCATTCTGAAGAATCACCAGGTGTTTTGAAAAAGCTATGATTATTATGATTATTATTATGATTATTATTATTATTAATCACCAGTGGAAGTTCTTTCCCCAGTAGACATAGCAGGTGCAGAAGGCCTAATCCTGAAAGTGACTATAGTAGGGGGAAAGGGGTTAGCTTACCCTCCCATTCCCTGTATCAGAGCCTGATCCAGATCAGACCTCTAGCACATGCTTTTAACTTTTAAAATGCCATGCCCACAATTGATAATGTCATGAACGGCATCTCCTAGTCTTGCCTTAAAAAGCACAATTTCTACAGCCCCTGCTTCTATGTAGCAGGCTGCACAATCCAAAAATTGTCACTTATTTCTATGTTTTATTTCTGTGTTATTCATTTTTATGCAAACATTTCAAAATGGTTTATTATGTCACTGATGAATTAAATTGTCATTTAATTCTCCAAATCCTCCCGACCCCTTCAACATTGTCCTAGCCAATTCTCCCAACTGTTCCCAGACACTTTGACCTTATTGCTATGAACCTTTTATTCTTGCCTTTCTCTCTTCTGATTGGCTCTTTTCACAAGCAGTAAAAGAAGCCCTCTCATTTTTTGTTTGACTGCCTGACAGCATGCTGTCCTTCCTTGAATATTCAAATATCTTGTGTGTGAAATGAACAAAAACATCATACTCCGTCACTGAGGACAAGCATTTTAATTTTAACAATTTATGTAAAGACACATACTCGCGAAACCACTGTTAACAAAATGTATCACAGAGTGTATCGATACAGTTATAGATGTCTAAATGGGTGTGAATGTATGTAAAACCTCTGCTCCGTTTCATTTAGGATCTGTCAGCTCGAGGATCATCATCACAGCTCCCTAAATCTTTTGATCCTGAACCAGAAGCTAAGTATGGCACCCTGGATGTGACTTTTGACTACGACTCGCAGGAACAGAGGCTTCTGATAACAGTGACAGCTGTCACAGACATTCCAAATTATAGCAGGACAAGTGGAAGTTTATGGCAAGTACACCTGGTTCTTCTTCCTATCAAGAAGCAGAGAGCAAAGACCAGCATCCAGCGGGGTCCATGCCCTGTCTTCACTGAGACATTTAAATTTAATCACATTGAGTCTGAGATGATTGGGAATTATGCAGTGCGCTTTAGACTGTACAGTATACGCCGTGTAAAAAGAGAGAGGATTTTGGGAGAAAAGATATTTTACTTAACCAAATTAAATCTTCAAGGGAAGATGTCGGTACCAGTGACATTGGAGCCAGCGTACCCTATTTCCGTGAGTATTAAATCATGCAGAAAAGTGTACAACCAAGGATTCTGATTAGAACAGTTATTTGTGCCACAAAGAAATATATTTCTGTACAGCAGAAAAATCGTTTCAGCGGGGCGATGAGTAGTTGGTTTATTTAATGAAACTTGCTCACCCTTCTTTTCTGATGGGGAAGGAGAGCATTCATTTTGGAGTTCACCTCAGGTGCCGAAATGGCTTGGACTGGCCCTGGTAGTAGCCCTAAAACTTTGGAATTCCCTCCCAGCAAAGGTCCATGTAGCATTACCATTATTCAGTTTTTGTCATCTGCTAAAGACACACCTCTTTATCTTGGCCTTTGAAGAGTGTGTGTGTGTGTGTGTGTGTGTGTGTGTGTGTAAACCTGAAAATACTAAATTAATTAAATATTTATTTATTTATTTAAAAAAAAGATGGATGCTATTGTGCTTTGAACTGTATTGCTTTTGCTGTTGCGTGTCAGCCGAGATTCCTCTGTAACGGGATGCTATCAGAAATACAGGAAGGTTTACTCCATTGGAGACCAAGACAGAGAGAAATATGAGACTTCTGATAGTTGTTTCTGTAATAATTATCATCTGAGAGGGTGCTTTCAGGAAATGTTAAATCTGAGGTAATTAATCCAGCTCAATGTGTGCACATCATTTTATCTTACAATGTAACGTAAACAACATGGCTCTCATTTGTGTAATACAAGATGAGTATTACTAAGTTGGAATGTGTGAGCTCTTTGAAATAATGTAAGTGGCCTGTCTGAACAGATCCACAATGAACAACTGTTGCTCAAGTCTAGGTTTAAGACATGGGTAGGAGGACAGAGGGGTGAAAAGAGAAGAAACAGAATGATTCAGCTTCCTAAGCTCCAGTTAGTTTTCCCTGCATTTACTACACAGTTTCCTCTGGGTTCCTCAGATATGTGTTTATTGTATCACCTTGTGAGAAGCATGGTACGATTCTGCCAAATGGCTTGAATCACCTTGCATCAGCTGCAGGCAGCACTAAACCAAATCTTTCCCAACTGAATTTGCAATAAGACAGGGGAGCATTAAATGCTATATTCAAGAAACATCTGTCTGCCGTCAAAAGACTATAAGGACAATGGAGCTATCTATCGCTTACAGGTCATATAGGGGCGTGGGTGGCGCTGTGGGTTAAACCACAGAGCCTAGGACTTACTGATCAGAAGGTTGGTGGTTCGAATCCCCGCGACGGGGTGAGCTCCCGTTGCTCGGTCCCTGCTCCTGCCAACCTAGCAGTTCGAAAGCACATCAAAGTGCAAGTAGATAAATAGGTACCACTCCGGCGGGAAGGTAAACGGCGTTTCCATGCCCTGCTCTGGTTCGCCAGAAGCGGCTTAGTCATGCTGGCCACATGACTTGGAAGCTGTACGCCGGCTCCCTCGGCCAATAAAGCAAGATGAGCGCCACAACCCCAGAGTCGGCCACGACTAGACCTAATGGCCAGGGGTCCCTTTACCTTTACAGGTCATATGCTTTCTTTATAGAATGGATTCCTAGAATCATAGAATCATAGAATCATAGAGTTGGAAGAGACCACAAGGGCCATCGAGTCCAACCCCCTGCCAAGCAGGAAACACCATCAGAGCACTCATGACATATGGTTGTCAAGCCTCTGCTTAAAGACCTCCAAAGAAGGAGACTCCACCACACTCCTTGGCAGCAAATTCCACTGTCGAACAGCTCTTACTGTCAGGAAGTTCTTCCTAATGTTTAGGTGGAATCTTCTTTCTTGTAGTTTGGATCCATTGCTCCGTGTCCGCTTCTCTGGAGCAGCAGAAAACAACCTTTCTCCCTCCTCTATGTGACATCCTTTTATATATTTGAACATGGCTATCATATCACCCCTTAACCTCCTCTTCTCCAGGCTAAACATGCCCAGCTCTCTTAGCCGTTCCTCATAAGGCATCGTTTCCAGGCCTTTGACCATTTTGGTTGCCCTCCTCTGGACACGTTCCACATTCTCAAAGAATAGTGGATCTACACACACACACACACATACCCACACATGCAATATTCTCTGGGGGATTTTCTATAAAGCTTGCAAAAAAAACATCATGAGGTGACTGCCATTATTTTGATAATGGGCTGTTCTTTCAGAGTACCCACACCCACGAATTAACATTTAAGACCACAAATTTTAGTGGGCTTAATCAGTAGCAGTGTGTGCTGTGGCCTCCTGTGACTGGCATTTCTGCGGCTTACCTGGACAAGGCAGGGCAACAGTGAGGTTAGGGCTACATGGTTGCATTGGCAGGACAGTGGCCTGTTCCCACCCCAGTCCAGGTAAGCAGCAGTGATGCCAGTGTCATACTGCTACTGACCTTACATGTGGTTAACTCTATGCTAGGTTGTGATTTTTGACTTGGGATCCCTTTATCGGGGATGCCTGAAGACGTTGCTCTTTGTGAATTCTGATAGAAACTGAGCTGACCCCCCCCACACACACACCTCCCAAGCTATTATGCAGATTGGAACCTAGTTATTCTTTAGATTTAGCACTCCTCTGAATTTTCTGCTGCAGTTTTTCACTCAAAAAGATGTAAAGTATCTGAGGTGAAATACATTTATAAATGCATATTTAGAGATAAAATATCTTCAAAAGGTATTTATTTAAATTTGACTTTTGTGAGTTTTTTAAAATCTTGTAGACTAATGCAGAAACACAATTAAATGGATTTATGAAAGAACATTGCTTGAAAGAGGCATAAACCAGAAATAGACTGATATGTGCCTGCTTACCCTTTAATCAAATGTTTGAAAAGTTTTTATGGCTACATTCTTACATAGTTGTGAAGTATGTTTGTCAGCGAAGGATGCCGTGCATATGACACTATTAGACCCTAATGTAGACTATAAAAAGGGTATCTAGGCAATAATTTTAATGCTCTGTCACAGCACATTCCAAACAAATTAAATAATCTATCTTCTCATTTTTACCCACTAAGATGTGCTGCATAATTTTTATTAGAAAACTTATAAAGACACTGCACTGTGCATCAAATGAGAAAAGTGGCACAAGGGTGCCATTCTTACCTTGCCAAATGTCTGTTGAGGAAGTTGGAACACTGATTTGCCAAAACATATAAATTCTGTTTTGTCATTTCATTTTGAGAGTATATTATTCACAGTAGCTTAAGTTTGGGAACAAAGCTGATCTGTGAATAGTGTGATACTTTTGTTCTCAGAATAATTTGCCTGTGCATATATTTCACATGTTATTTATGATTTGCAGAAGGAAATTTGATATAACTTTATAGACTCTGTAGTAATAAATTACAGCTGTATGTAATAATTTTTAAAGATTTGAGTCTCTTGATTATACCCAGTGAAGGAATTAGGTTTTTCATTTGATTTTACTTTAATCAGTGTTTTTTGCCCAAGACAGAAGGAGATTTTTAATAGTGCATCTACCAGTTTGCCCTCTTGAGATTGAAAAAAACAAATTAGAAGCAAAGGCCTTTGAGAAGTTGTCTTTTAACCAATTCTTCTAAAACTCTGATTAGGTGCTTCATGCAATTCTATAGAGTCTATGCCAGGGGTCAGCAAACTTTTTCAGCAGACCTTGTGAGGGGCCGGACTATATGGGGGGGTGTGAACAAATTCCTATGCCCCACAAATAACCCAGAGATGCATTTTAAATAAAAGGACACATTCTACTCATGTAAAAACACGCTGATTCCTGGACCACAGGCCGGATTGAGAAGGCAATTGGGCCGGATCCAGCCCCGAAGCCTTAGTTTACCTATCCATGGTCTATGCAGAATTAAGAACCAATGAGTTCTGTGTGGCTTTCTCCTAGATAAATGGATATAGGATTGTAGATGAGCAGAGCAGTCCTCTGCACTGGAGTGAATTCAGACGAGGCTTCCAACTGCATGTGACTGAACTATAGGCATGTGGAAGCTACCACTGGCAGTGTCAGTGTCAGCTGCAGCTTGTGTGTGCCTCACAAACAAGGCTTTTTAGGGGTGAGGAGTGGAGAGTTTTGGGTTGGCAAAGGAACCACTGATCCTAAGCCAGTCCATTGACAGGCCCAATCCAGGTCTCTCTGCTGTGTCAACCTGGAGCTGGTCCAGAATGGTATTTTCGTGCCACCCACCTTCTGCTCTGATTGTCATGATTTCCAGTTGTACCCTCCAGGAGTTTGGATTGTTCCCTTAATAAAACAACAGTCTCTTTTATCATTTTTTACTGTACCACTAGAATGGCATGTGTTTTTTACTGTACCACTAGAATGGCAAGATTTTTCATAAATCAATAAAAGAGCTTGGCTCTAAATTTTATTCAAACTAGATCTCACCCCCTCATCTTAAATAGAAGCTATACTGTGATTAAAATAATAATCACAAATATTCTGATTACAAATATGGTCCAATGGGGCTTTCGGTCCCACCTGCCTTAATGGACGCAGCCCCCACGACAGCGGGGGATCGCCAGCAAATGAAAAACAAGGATAACAGAGGGTAAATCACCCTTGCAAATTCCCTCCAGGGACAGGGGGAATGGGCTTCACTCTTAGTTTGACTCGGTATCTGGCTCTTGCTCCGGTATGAGACAGGAGACCTTTAATCTTAATTTAGCAGCTTGCTTTTCTGTCTCTAACCATGAGTCAACCTGGGAAGCATGTAGAATTGTAGAAATAAAGTAAGTTACCCTTTCAGTGCAAAAACAGGAACATTCCTATTCAAGATAACCTTTTCTAAGAAGCCAGAAGCTTTTCTTTTAGGAATCCTAGGTGCAAAGATTCCAAATGACCAGAAGAGACTATTTATGTATGTGACTTCAGCTGCCCGGACTTTGTTAGGTCAGAGGTGGAAAGAAAATACAACCCCTACCAAGAAAGAATGGCTAGTAGATTCTTTAACATATTGTGCATGCCTACTTCTTCCACTGGAAAAAATGGAGATGTTCTAAATGTGTGCCAGAGATGATAGTTGCATATAAGACAATCCTAGCTTGAGGCACATTCATTTGATACCTGATTCCTGAGAAGGCAGGAGGACACCTCATTGTAGCACTTCTCCACCCCATTAAAGCCTCGCACCAGTGTTGAAAAGAGGATATCCTGAGTCACCAAGAAGCCCCATGCTGACATTTCCAAAAAGTAGAAAAGATCCTTGAACAATCTGGTCCAAATAGATTCTTGCTATCTTGGGTAGTTACCCTCACCTTGGTATTAACCCTGGAAGAGAACATCTGCTTCACACATCCTCTGATACCCAGTTGCACCTGAAGTAGAGGTGACAGAGTGTCCTAGAAGACAAAAGTGGCATCTGGAATGAAGTGAGAAATAAGAAAGTATATTTACATGGGACACAGGTGTGTTTCTTGGTAGCCAAGAGAAGGCACAAGGAGATGGAGGTCAGGCTATAACTACCTTACCCTTCTTGTCAGATGTCCAGCTTAACAGGAGTTGCAGGTCTCCAGGGCCCTTACCATTGATTGAAAAAGAGTTGTTTAGTGAACTTTCCTCAAAAGCAGAGGTGTCTGTTAGGAGAGAAATCCAAGTGGGAAGAGAGGTCTCAGATTTCCTAGTTTTCATGCATGGGATGTGGTTGCTGCCAGAAGAGGTGCCTACAAATGTCTACCACATAGCAAAGATGGACCCACATCTGATATCTTACATCCTGGCTACATTGTTTACTGTCCACTACATTATTTACTGTCCCAAACAAAGGCAAATACAGGGCAGCCATTTTGAGTAGCCAGTGTGGTGTAGTGGTTAAGAGCAGTAGATTCGTAATCTGGTGAACCAGGTTCGCGTCTCCGCCCCTCCACATGCAGCTGCTGGGTGACCTTGGGCTAGTCACACTTCTGTGAAGTCTCTCAGCCCCACTCACCTCACAGTGTTTGTTGTGGGGGAGGAAGGGAAAGGAGAATGTTAGCCGCTTTGAGAATCCTTCGGGTAGTGATAAAGTGGGATATTAAATCCAAACTCCTACTCCTCCTCCTCCTCCTCCTCCTCTTCTTCTTCTTCTTCTTAGCAGCAAACACATGCTTGCAATTGCTTTCTGGAAAAGATTCCTAATTTATAAGAACACGAACCAGGGTTTTGAAAAGGCAGGTCCCTGGTGGAGAGTTGTCTCTTCAGTTGAGATGCAATACACCTACATACACATTTCAAAAACATAATTTTACATTTGTGTCTGTGCTTGCTTCCTTGAGTGTTAGATTTGTGCTTGCAGCGATATTTCGTTTACACAATGTGGGGTTATTGGAGAACATTTGCCGGTATCTTGCCGAGTCATTTGAATTGCTTGCTGCTTTGTTGCACCCAACTGATTTGTAGAAGGTTGCACTTGGCTTTGCACCACACTGAGTGTCGATGATAGATCCTTGCCTGCAGTTATGGGAAACCTGCAGAGGAGGGAGGGGGAGGAAGGGAAAGGAGAATGTTAGCCGCTTTGAGACTCCTTAAAGGGAGTGAAAGGCGGGATATCAAATCCAAACTCTTCTTCTTCTTCTTCTTCTTCTTCTTTGATTTCCAGCAACCAGATTTATCATACTGCGTTTCTGACTTAAGGCAAGGTAATTCCGGTTCTTTGGGCTGGGATGGTAATGTAATCCTGGCTTAGAATGTATGTGATGAGATTTAATTGTTTTCTGGGGTGGGTGAATTGAGCATCGAATTTCACAGCTTGATATTTTGCCTCGGCTTTGCTCTGAACATTGGGGGCCCCTGGAATCTTGCCTTGCTGCATTCTCCTACAGCTGTTAAAGAAAGATAGAAGAAACAGCTTCCTGACATTGATCTCTCTGGTAGAAAGTGATCGGGGCTGGTCCTTGGTTTAATGTTGTATGAATGGTGCAGGGACGCTGTGTGTCTCTCTGCAGGCGTTGAGCATGGGAATTCATTCTGAGACCAAGAGGGTAGTGAAAACCTTTCTGTGCATGGATTTTCCCTCCTGACCCATAGTTTATCACATGTAGCTCTGTTCGAAGTGCAAAACTGAGCATTTTCCATCACTTTGAGAACTTGTTATTCCTATTTGTGATACTGGTTCTGTTGGCATAGAAGGTGGCCTTCTTTATATTTTGAGGAAGGTTATATTTCACTCTTATATGTATTGTTCTTTCAGATCCACACCCCCATTTTTTATTTTCATTAAGCTGTCATGTGCTGTTAAGATCAAGTTAGAGTCAAAATCTAGGGAGATATAAATACTGGGAATGGGTTCTTCAGTATCTTGGCTGCATAAAATGCTTGCAAACGCTTTGCTTTTGCTTCTAGGGCTGCGACTCCCAAATGAGCATGTCAGAAATGTCCTGCAGTGAAAGTACCTCCTCCTGTCAGTCTCTGGCACATGGCTCAGCTCCAGAAATCCTCATTGGACTGCTTTATAATGCCACAACTGGAAGACTAGCAGCAGAAGTGATAAAAGGCAGCCACTTCAAAAACCTGGCAGCAAACAGACCACCCAGTGAGTGGAATATATTTTTTTTATCCTAATACTTCTGCACTTGGGGGGATTTCACTGGTGGGGACTTCAATCCTATCATTTAGCTTTATCCAGTCAAACTGAAATACTGCAATCATCAGTTAATCTGTTTCATGTTTTATATTTCCAGTCATTGGGGAAATGGCAGAAATCTAAAATTCAAAATATTAGTTGTGATTTGACAAGATCCTTTTAATTTTTCATGACTGGCTGACTAATAAATTGCCTTTATCATAATGATTAATTGCTAAACTATTAATGCCTCACATCACAGAGCCAATATAAAAAGTTATAATGTATTTTAAAAGTGTGTGCCAATGAATGTTTATGTAAATGTGTTGATGCTACTGCGGTTATGGATCCTCTTGTAAGAGTTTATCAGTCTGTGAGAGTTTAACTGATACCGACATGTATAATTTAGATTTTATATTCTCATAGTATAATATGATTTATATTATATTTATTCCTGATACCAGGTATGAAGAAATGTTGCACACTCTAGAGATAGACAAATAGGAAGACAGTCATACGGTTTGTTCTTGGCTTCCTGCTTCTTCTTTGTATGCGGTACTCAAACAACAAACCTGAGTTCAGACATAATGCTAAGCCAAACCATGGGGTAGCATTGGGTTGGACAGCAGTAGCAAGACCAGGAAGGAGCAAAGTGGCTGTGATTTCTGCTGTGAGTACCCGTGTACTTGAACAGTCATGCTGAGCCATGGTTTGGCTTGCTGTTATGGATAAACTGGGCAAATAAGGGTGCAATCCTAAGAAATTGCAGACCTCCCACTCCATGGGTGGAGAGGGAGATCTGCAGGCAGAGGAGATCTACCCCAGAGGGAACTTCTGTAACTGGAAGTCTCTTCTGCATCCAGTGTTTCTGCTGTGTTGGTAAGGGAAAGGGGGCATGTCAGGGAAGAATGAAAGAGACATTGGATCCACATGATCTCTCATGCCCCTGGCATGCCCCCAACAATAGATGAAAAGGATGTCTTGGAACTTCCACATATCTTCCCTGCAGTGGCCTGGCACCCACCTACCAACCTAGTCATCACAAGACTGTCAAGGCTCTGTTCTTCCACTGTGAATTCTTCCTTTCCTGCCCCCACTAGACTGCTCCACCCCGTAGCCTCAGATGGAGCTAGGAATGTGTTTGAACTGGGCATAATTGAGTTCCTTTTGTTCACTTGTCGGAACCAGAATGTGCAAGCGGGCCCAGGAATCAGATGTACATTGTGCTAGCACCCAAATTTAGCCCCTGGGAGCCACGCATATATAAATCAGTAAAGGAAAAAGTAAGCGGTAGAAAACCACAGTGGTAGTCGGAACCTAGGGAGGAGAAAAGACAAACTAGGTACGATACTCAACAACCATTGCTACCAAGATGTTAAGTCGTAAGAACATAAGAAGAGCTTGCTGGATCAGGCCAATAGCCCATCTAGTCCAGCATCCTGTTCGCACAGTGGCCAGCCAGATGTCTGTTGGAAGCCTGCGAGCAGGATATGAGTGCAACAGCAATCTCCCCTCCTGCTGTTTCCAGCAACTGGTATTCAGAAGTATTACTGCCATGGAGATAGTCGTTGTGGCTAATAGCCATCAATTGCCCTCTCCTCCATGAATTTGTCTAATCCTCTTTTAAAGCTATCTAGGTTGGTGGCTATCTCTGCTGCTGGGGGACTGAGTTCCGTAGTTTAACTATGTGCTGTGTGAAGAAATACTTTCTTTTATCTGTCCTGAATCTTCCAGCATTTGGCTTAATGTCCTTGAGTTCTAGTTTTATGAGAGAGGGAGAAAAACTTTTCTCTGTCCACTTCTTCCATGCCATTCATAATTGTATACACTTCTATCTATCCGTTTGGGTTGCTGCAAGCATTATTTTTTTAAAAAACATTTCTAACAGTCTTGAACATCCAAGACAAGAAAAAAGTTATACGTGTTCTGCCCTATACAGTGGTACCTCGGGTTACAGACGCTTCAAGTTACAGACTCCGCTAACCCAGAAATAGTACCTTGGGTTAAGAACTTTGCTTCAGGATGAGAGCAGAAATCGTGTGGTGGCGGCAGCAGGAGGCCCCATTAGCTAAAGTGGTACCTCAGGTTAAGAACAGTTTCAGGTTAAGAAAAGACCTCTAGAACAAATTAAGTTCTTAACCCGAGGTACCACTGTATCTTCTTCCATTTTGTTTGAAATGGACCCATATTACAGTCATGAGTTTAGGAATCTGGTGCCCTGATCCAGAATCTCCTTGCACATGCAGGTGTTGTGATCCACACACCAATTTTTTATGTCTGTTCATTGCAGTGTTGGGAACAGATCTAGGCACTAATCTCCACTGTGTTTTTCACTCAGGCTTCCCTGACACTGTAGTTTGAGTAGAAAGCCTATGCTTACAGGAGAGCTTTATGGGTGCATTGAAGCAGCCATTAAGCTTTAGATGGTCTGTGATCACATGATTTTGCACTTTGGTGTAATAATTTATTTCAGATGAATGATGATGTAAAGTAGCATTAAATGTACAAATTAGTGTTGTGGTTGTTTTTTTAAAAAAAACAAAACACCCAACAACCAGTGTATTGATCAAACTAATGTTTAATCCAATTAGCTTTCACCTTATTGTTTGTAATATATACAGGATTCAATTCAGTGACCGCTTACCCTTTTGTAATTCCATTGACCTCAAATGAGGCTCCACTAGTTTGAGGTCATTGAACTGACCCTTACTCAAAAAGCTGGAGTTTGCATGAAAAAGAGGATGGTCCGGTAAAGGTGACACTATGATTTCTGTAGTTTCGTAGTGTAATCTTTTGCATGAATCTGTATGTTCTGTGTTAGAAACACAATAGAAATTAATACTAAAATATCCCATTACTTGAAACGGTGTAATTTTTTTCCCTGTTAAAGATTACACAGTGACCTTACAGAATTCATTTCATTCAATTGTACCTGCCAATCCTTTTGTTTGGTCCCTCTCTCTAAACGGATTTGTTAAGGTTTCATTTTCTTCCACTCTAGTGAATAGTGTTTCCTCTTAAACTTTAACCTTTGATCCTCTCTCACCCAACTATTGACATCTGGTCATTATTTCTTTTACTGCTTTCCACCCCCTGTTGTCAGACGGACTGTTCTGTTGTCTAAAACACTTGATAGGTGGACAGGTTTATATAATACGAGGTGAGTTCCTGTAGAGACTAATTGGATGTTGTCTTTTTCATGCAAAAGAAAGTTGCCAGCAGCAAAGCTCTCCACCACTCGCCACCATGTTGGTTTCTGACAATTTACCTTAATTAACTATTTCACTCTTATAATGGAGATAGACCAAATCTCTGACTGGATGATGGTATTTCAAAGATCTGAAAATTAAAATGTGAAGTCTAACGGGTAAGCCAAAAAAGAAGACACAAAAACTGTCTGTTTCTAAATACCGTGAAATACAAATAGGGATGCAGCATGCTGCATTCAGTGGCCGTGAGTGTATTTTCCCAGACAAAGTGGAAAACACTATAATGAAACTGATAGTTTTTGGTGTCAAATGTTGTATTAATGAATTCATGTCCACGATTCAGTAGCTCTGGTGCACAGATAGAGGCTTTCCTGTTCTCTTCTATCAACATTGGAATATATCACCCTGTGCAGATAGGATTTTGGATCGTGGCCTGAATATCTGAGCTATTGTTATAGCATAGTACTTCTTAAAAGCACTATAAAGCAACTGTGCCCAAATAATTTAACAAAACAACACATTGAATATTAAAAATTAGACATGAAGAGAGAGCATTACTCAGATGAGTAAACATCAGCTTGTCAATGCATTTTGTTTTTTGGCATTTTAAATATTCACAAATGAAAGAAAAAACTGACAACCCTTGAACCACATCCATGCAGAGAATTTTTCCCTAGTAAACATTTCATTCTGAGCACCCATGACGTCATCACTGCACTCCACCTCATACATATATTTTTACTTGTAAATTATTTGTTTATTTCATTTCTCTTTTTATCCACCTGTTTACATTATCTGAAAACTCTGAAATGCTTTACAGTGTTGTGGCCAGTTGTAGCTTGCTGAGTGTTAATGCTACACATGTCTGCTTTATGCAACTGAGCAGGGGGTGAATGGATAGAAGGATTATGAGGTATACCTTTAAGTAAACTTGTTATGTAAGGATAATGCAATTAAGTAAAAGTTGAATGTCAATGTTTACTTCCTTTTTTAAACATGGCTTAAGTTTAGTCAACTACTCAAAATCCAACATGGTATACGCCATAACCTTAAAGATAGACTGGTGTATTTTCATAGGAGAAATCCTTTGTCTAAAGCATCTTATGCATGACATTGTTTATTTTGTAGATACATTTGTTAAGCTGACGTTGCTGAATTCTATGGGCCAAGAGATGTCCAAATGCAAGACATCTATCCGAAGAGGGCAACCGAATCCAGTCTACAAAGAGACCTTTATTTTCCAGGTGGCACTGTTTCAGCTTTCTGACGTTACACTCATATTGTCTGTGTACAATAAACGCAGCATGAAACGAAAGGAAATGATAGGCTGGATTTCTTTAGGTTTGAACAGTTCTGGCGAAGAGGAACTAAATCACTGGACTGAGATGAAGGAATCCAAAGGACAACAAGTATGTAGGTGGCACTCGTTGTTAGAATCTTAATGAGTAGTTGTGGCTCCACGTAATGTCAGGATTCCACGAGGCTGCCCCGCAGGTGCAACCAAGAGAAAGTGTTGCAGAAGTTACAATTCAACATTCCACTTTTACAGATGCACAAAATGCCGTGGAGCAGAATTTACTTTTGCATCTTCAGTTGACACCACTGAGTTCAGGTAACATGCACTGGACGCAGAAGAAAGAGCAATCCCAAGTCCTTATTTTGATGCTTTCAGGATTGTTTTGGTTCACATATCAGTTTTCCATTTAACTAATAGGTATTTTGTGTAAATCATCTACTATTGCAAAATTCTCTGATTGTGTTTGTTTTCTTAGAGGTGCTATGCTGTGTTATATATGACTTGTCAAGAAGCAGATTTAGAGAGCTGGGGGAGTAGTTAAATAGTGGAACACAAAAATTAGAATGTTGGCACACAGTAGTTGGAACATTGCTTCCCCACCCCCTTAGGAACTTACCATTTCCTTAACGGAGTTTAATTTTGAAGAACAACATGCAAGAGCACTCCTGCATGTTGACTGCTTATCAGATACACAAACAGCTCCTCTGTGGTGCCTGCTTTAGGCTGGGGGTTGTAACTCCCTATTCGCTCCCAAGAGCGGAAGTTGTTAGAATGATGAATCACTGCTAATGGTGTGCATAAACCCATCACAATTCATCCCTGGCAAACACCTTTTTGTGTTGTTTCAGGAGCTTACAGACTTGTTTGACCGGTGGCAGCAGTGAGAGAAAAGAAAAATGTGTGTGTACACCATGGGAAGGGAAGCCTCTCTCAAAAAACTTTCTGCTCTCTTGAACTATTGTGAGAGTGCCAATTTACCATGCAGGATCCTCTTGCGTGTCGTTTCCTTGGATCTGTCAAATCAGGTCTCAATATTTTTGGCATTGATCAAATTGTCTTTGAGTCCACCTCAGGAATAATCTCCACTTTATGCAGCAATCATTTTTTGTTTTGCGGATCCCTCACAGGCCTATTTAGACAGGTTGAAAACACAGGATCTAAAGAGCTGCACAACTAATTCAGTGTGCCTAAAGGAGCTTTAGACATGTGTTTCTCAAATAGCAGCCCTCCATGCTTTGAAACTGAGAGGAATTTTCGCAGTATAGAGGTCGAGTTAAAAAAAAAAAAAAGTTTCACTGCATGAACAGAAGCACCAGGACACAACTAAATTCACCCTATTTCCCCCAGTAGTAGAGCATGGTTGAAATCCTGTATGCAGTTTCTGGCAAGTCTCACTGATACCAGTGGCATTTTTGTTTAGGTAGCAGACTGCAGGACTACAGCTGATAACTTTACTAAAATTTCTTTGTCATTAAATCAGTTGGTCTTTATATGAACCTTGTATTACGAACCTTTGAAAATTCAAAGGTGATAAAATCTAAGGATTAAAACAGCTGGGAATAAGGACTTGGGTAATCTTAGATAATAAATAAGGGAAATAAACTTCTATGACATCTGTCAGTTTATTTAACCTCAGCAATGTGTTAATCATAATATAAATCTTGGAAAGGCAGCTTCATGCATTATGAGATTTGAAGCACAAAGGAAAGTATGACTAGAGTCTGCTAGTTTTAAAGTTCTTGCAATAAATTGTTTCACCACTTTCTGTTTCATCTACTGGTAAATTTCAGGGATTCTGTGTGATACTGAAGCTTTTCTTGAGGATGAGGTTGGCATCATGATTAAAAATTAGTACAGTTTAAATAAGCACCTAGAACTTCTATTATGCATATCTGAGGATGGAATCTCTATCTGTTGCAAGTGTTGTCAGAGCTCATGAATTCTTAGTTAAGTGCCAGATTCAGTTAAGATTTCTGGATGAGGCGAGTCTGTGAAAAAAGATTCATGTTTCCTTTATTTATTTAGAGTGAGCTGATTGAGAAAGTGCATATTTATCACTGTTTTCTTCACAATATTTTTGAATGCCGCTAAGTTTGAGATCCAGTTTTTGCATGAATGGATACAAGTGCATCATATGAAATATTTGCAATGTTCCCAGTCTCAAAATTCTTAAGAACCTCCTTAAAAATTCCCAGCTGTTGTCTTGAAATTGTTATTCAGTGCCTTTCATGTTTCACCACTTAAATTTGTAACTGTAATGCGATGCTGAACTGGATGATTTAAGTCTTGATTGATTCAAAGATTTACCAAATGAATTTTCCTTCCTGTGTTGCATGAAGAGTATGGCACACAAAATATAATTTGTTAAAAGAAAATCATTCAGGAACTTTTGCAAACATAAATAATGTTAATAGTTGTTCAGTATAGAATAATCTTTCCAGTTTTGTTTCTTATTGATTTCGCAGTGCATCCTTATACAAGCCTTATTACAAGATTTTTTGTTTCAGAAGTCCTTACTTTACAACCTTTTTGTTAAAATGGAGACACTTGGGATCTACTTGTAGATCTAAGCCTCCAGTTCCAATAAGGCTTACCAGAAAATAAGTACTATTGAACTCATTTAAACTTCTGAGTAAGCATATTTAGGATTGCTCTGTAAGACTTGCACTGTCATAGTGCCTTGAAGATTGGATTATGCATTCATACAGAGAAGGAGCAGACAAATAAACTGTGGCTTCATAACAATATTCCTAATTTTAAAAATGTATTACTTGGTTGGTGATTATGACCTAAGAGATTCCTAATTCACAAAGTTGTCTAATCAGGATTGTACCTCTGCATATTCTTTGCTTTTTAAAGTGCAGTATAGATACAGCTATTGAGTAATTCTGCTAAAAGGCAAGATAGAAGTGAGCAGAGTATTATTTTTTTATGAACGTTGTTTGTCATATTAACACCTTTGCCCTAATTTTCACATTGGTTGCCTTGTTTGGAAATTACCTTGTACACATAAAGCATTTGATGGGTAAGAAACATTCAAATCTTCTTCCATCTTTCTACAGGATTATTGTACAGGTATTAACTGAAAATTCAACTTTTGTACCATAAGACTTTTTAAAAACAACAACAAACATATTTGGGTATGTATTTAGAAAGGCCTAAAGGGAATTCACCAAGTCACATTAACATAAGATCCTGTTAATAGAACACTCCTTTCGGTGGTTCTTATTTTTATTTTGTTGTTTGGGATTATCATTACTGTATTAGTTACTAGATCCCCCCTCCCTTCTCCAACTAGCTCAAGGCAACAGATTAATGCCATTTTCAACTGAGTGAGGTCATATCTCTGTAGTAGAATACTTTGCATAAATGGTGCCCTAGGGTTAATAATTAATAGGTTCAGTGACTCCTTTTAGTGCAAGAAATGTCCTAAATGCATAGCAATTTGATGTCGGAAAAAATCATATAAAGTCTGTGTAAATTGTCACGTGCAATAACTGCATAATGTGTACACAAATTGGAAATGGCATGTACATGTAGTAACACAGGTACAGGTTTTAAAAGACAGTGTATGTGCAGTTTCCAGTTTTGTGCACACAACAAAATAGAGGCTAGTACATGTGAGTTAACAGTTTCTTCCTATATGGTGGAGTAACATGCTTAGGAAAGCAGTATGTGCTTAGCTTTTCCACCACCATGATACCAGAATATAGTGTGAGCTAGGACCAACAGATGTATAGCCGTTTCGGTGTAGTTGCTGCCATAACACTGCCTCTCTAAAGCTAGTTCCCATGTTGTACTAGATCACAGAGCCATTTCCCATGCTACCTGACTTTAGTGTGGGAAGTATCTACATGGTCTGATCCAGCCTTCACCAGCCTGATACTTTCCAGATGTTTTGTGCTGGCTAGCGATGATAAGAGCTGTGGTCCAAAATTTCTGGAGGGCAGCAGGTTGGCAAAGGCTAGTCTGCCCTAACAACAGGATATAAATACAAAATATTATCTGGGGCAGACACAAGCAACTTTGTGACAGCAGTTGCACCCAAAATACCATATGGATTGTCCCCATATTTTTTTTTTACCCAAACATTGCAATTTTTCACGTGAAAGTACTGTGGGTTGTATCCCACTCTAGTCCTACACAGAACTGACCCATTCAAGTTAATAGACATGGCTGACTTACTTTCATTAATGTAATGGGTCTACCCTGAGTAGAACTTAATTGGCTACAACCCTCTTTTTCTTTGAGTGCAGAAATCATATCTTGATTTGTATGTTTAGGGAAAGGGCCTTGTGGTGTTGAGGACTCTCGCAAGGGACTGTGTTGCTTCAAGTTCCTGTCTAGCAAGTCGCCCAGTGATTAACAGGGCTCTGTACCGCTTGAGAGCGAGGCATTTTAATGTACTCATTTTGGGTGTCTTGGAAATATTCTTGCTTGATTGCTGTTGGCAAAGGGGCCGTCATGCTTTTCAAACTCTGACTTGGCATATTCTCTGTATCGTTTCCAACTGTTCCAACTGCTTTCTTGCTAATCTGTGGATTATTGCTGAATGCCAGCAAGGCTTTTATGGGAGGGGTATGCCTTTTATGGCAGGATCTTGCCTGCAGAAGATCCCCGGTTCAATCAGTGTCATATGTAGTTGAAAGGAACTCGGGTTGCAACGTTGGTGAAGATCTCTTGTCCAAAACCTTGAATGCCACTGAAGTACTGGGATAGGCAGGCCAGTGGTTTGACTCAGAAGTGGGAATCAGCCTCATGTGATCAAACTCATTGGGGCTTTTGTTTTTGCTCTTGATTTTAGAAGAACAGAAATTGCATCCTATGGGTGGGGGGAAGTAGTGTGGTGCCTGGTTCTTTTTCTGCTGTTGATTTTACTCACTGTTCATGTTTGGATTCTCTTACATTGTTTTAAATCGTGATGATTTTTCATTTTTGTTATGCACAGCCGTCTTGGGTGTTTTACCAAAAAAAACCACAAAACTGGACAGGATATTAGTTTTTAAAATAAATGAATAAATGATGCCACTAAAGGCAAGTGACATTAGGTAACTACAGATGCTATGTGAATGACATGTAAAGTATAGTACCCCTTTTAACATGGATGAGTTTGATTAAAAATCCCCTGTCTTCATTTTAATATCCTGTTCATCCTTTAGCAGCTTGGAATTTGTCTACTTTAAAGCTAAAAAGAAAGGGAATCGTTTGAGGAACACTTCATTCAAATAGCAGTTATAGAATATCTGTCCTCGTGAAAAGAGAGATTAATTATAGATTCTCTTTTTTGGCAAATTGCTCTGTTCAAAGTCTGTAAGGCACTTACCAGGACTGGGAAGGTAGGAAGCCACAGATTCACTGCTGCATCCTCAGCCCTACCTGCTGCTGCTGGACACAGGGAAAGGAGGGGTATTTCCTCCTCCGGCTTACTGCTGCTTCAGCTCCAGGGCTGGCACAGGATTGGGCCCCTTGGGGGATCCATGGGGATTTGGATTCCATCGGTCCATAATCTGTGGTGCCCCGAAATGCCCCATAACCTCTTGCCCAGGCATCTTCGTGGTAGACCCTCCCAACCAGCAGACACAAGTATGTGCCATCCTAGCCTCTCCCCCTGCCAACAACATTGTGAGGTTAGGGTGGCAGCCTTAACTCCTGAACAAACCACTGAGAGCACTTGCTTTTGGTTCTATGTTGACTGTGTGTTGTTCTCCCACTTATTATGATTTCCATGTGGCAGTCCTTTCATTTTCCTGCTGCAAGAGAGAACGCACGTGGGAGGGAAAGTGTTTTATCTGATCTTTAGCAGAGTTCATATTTCTGAATGACAAATTTAAAACTCACCTTCTGATAGGTTTGGGAACATCCCTTCAGGACTCTGGATGTTGTGCACACCTAGTTGCTTAAGACTAGAACTGGGCTGGGACCTGTTGCATTAAGATAATTTCTCTGTTTGACACTGGCATCACTTCTTATCTTTTGGCCTGCTGCTATTTTAAACCATGTAGAGAACTCTTATTAATTGCAAGAGGGTTTTCAACCACAGACAGAAATTCTAGGTGTGGATTAATTAGATACTGTGGTGATTTATGTATTTATTTGGCCTCCCTTACTATGGGAACCCTTGGGAAATGAGCTGCTCTGGCATGAGACCACCTCCATGGCCACCAGACTCTCATTAAAATCAAATAGCGATTAAAAAAACAAAACGTGGTGGCTGGAGACTCAGTGTAATGCTAGAACCCTTTTCTACCATGATGCTGCACAAGGGATTCACCACAGGGTGATTGTGAACATTCACCATGGAGTGAACAGATCATTGTCTGAGTCGATCCTGGAGCTTTATGTCCTGCCTAAAGATTTAATCTTGTCAGTTGCAAGCCTTGTTACCCCAGTAACTGCTAGACATACTTCTCGTGAGCACAACATTTCTCACACATCAGCATGAGAATAGCATCCCTCTGCTTCCCCACAATAATAGAATTGGTAGGTTGGATAGTCCTGTGGATTGGCGCAGGAAATGCACAGCTTCCTAGAGCTTAAAAAAAGAAAAGAAAAACAACACAATGTTTTCTTCACAGCTTTCGCTGCGCAGTGCAGAGTTTTTCATTCTTTTTCATGATTTGCATACCTGTTTCACAAATTTTAAAATCTCCCCTATCAAGTAGGCACATTTAAACACAAAAATTGAAGCTTGCGAAAATTTGGTTGAACTCTAGTATTTGCCTTTTCAAATTTCCCTATATTTTAAAGTTGTACCTTAACATTTAATAAAACGTTACTCAGTACTACCCATGCATATTTACTTGTATGAAGATTTACTTGTATGAACAACAACTCTGAAATTCCCTGTAGCAGCAACAAGATTTGGCATGTATCTCTTTAACGCTCGCTTTTAAGTTTTAACATTCATCAGAGGGGTGGAAAGGAGCTGGGAGTTGTTGTTGTTTGTGAGGTTTTTATATGAAATGTACTGTTTGCAGTTTTAGCTGCAGTTTTTATTTTTTAAAAAGCTAGTGAAGAAGAAGTAAGCAGCAACTTTTCAGTTTGCATGAACATTGTTTCAATCAGCAAATCCGGTCAATTTCTCTGTAGTGCAGGGGCTCTAAGCAAATAGTATCAAAATCTCCCCTTTGATGTAAAATCTGAGTTTGTATAACTCCACATTTAGAAATGGCACAACCGAAGTCTTTTGGATATTGTGGCAAATTGTACGACAATGCAGAACAACTTTGTTCTTAGGCTGTAGCTGCCAACGTCCTACCCAAGGTCCTAGTTCCCTAATGCAGTGGTTCCCAAAATTGACAGACCATGCAATTATTTGTCTGCCTGTTTCAGCAATTGTAACGCACTGTGCTAGAGGCGATATCTTTTCAGTTGTATTTTATTGCTTGTTTTATTTCTTATATGTTGTACATATATTACATTGTGTTTGAATTTGAATTCCATAAGAAATAAAAGAAGCAATAAAAAACTGCTGGTGATCTACAGGCCACAGGTTGCGAACCACTGCCCTAATCTTGCACTGAGTACCTGATGCCTCCCCCCTTTGTTCTTCTGTATGCTGTGCAGCCCAATCCTTACCCCACTTATATCCATGGCCTGACAACCTCCATGGCTACAAAGCAGCTTATGGGTCCAGTCCCACTCACATAGCACCACAGCATGTGCCCCCAACATCAGCGCCATGGGCAACTTGCCTGCTCTTCCTGCCTTGTCTCACCTCACCCAGCTGATAAATGCAGACATCAGGTTCAGGCAGCCCAGGTTAATGTACTTGGTACGTCTTTGTAACATTTTAAGCAACTATATTGTAACTTTGGACATTTAAGAAAATGTTTATTAACAATGCAAGTCACAGGCTACAAGGACGCTTCTGAGGGCGACATCCAATAATGCTTTAAAAATATCCTTTTAATAACAATGTGTGATAAATGAAATGTTATTTCCTTTCCTTTTTTAAAATTAAGGCAGGATTCCCCCTTACTGAGGTTATGAACTTTCCTACAGAGCTTTCTTAACTATTTTTATAA